CTTTTATAGTAAGTTTGAAGACTATAAAAAAGTGAAAGACATTTTTTATGGATACGAAATAAAACCAGTTCATATCGATAACACACATCATTTTGTTGAGGATTGGATAGCAGAGAGAACTGGGCGTGGCGTTTTTAAACTTTATAATGGCACGAGAAAAAACGTGTGTTGTGAAATCCTTGGCAATTGTCATTTATAATAAATTATCAGTGTAGGAGACGTTCGCTTTCATATTAATAATGCCACCTCCGTTCGAGCTGATTTGTTTACAATATGCAAAAAAGTCGGTGATATAAAATTTCGTAGAAATGTAATATTTTAAAGTGATGCAATATGGACGGGAGCACGGCAATTTCCATGGAAAAATCCAACAACAATACACTAGCATTTCGAATTTATTCTCCAGCCTTTTTCCGCACTGTATAAATAATAGCAATAACATTAAGTAAGAAGGCGTATACGCAAACATAATATGACTAGGTATACTAAATTTCATAGTTATTTCTCAAATATTACAATGAAAGGGAACCATCGAAAAAGGAATAAGAATATTCAATAAATTTCGCAGAAGTGTATATAAGGGTGGATAACAGCTCTGTATTTAATATTACCCTATGCCTCAGCCGGTGGAAAAAGCGGGCTCCTTTAAGAGCCTTCATAAAAACGAAGGCACTAATTTATTAAAAAAAAATCAAAAATCTAAACTGGGGGGAAAATACTCATATTGTTCAACAACATCAACGTTTTCATTATGTTTTTTTTATAAGAACGCATGATTAAAAAAATGCAAAGATTATTGGAATCGATCGATTTAATCGATGGCACGTCAAGAACGGATGCGATATTACGAACGAGAAGCATGACGTTCTTTGCGCCGAAGAAGTTGAGAAATTTTAGAACGGCGTAATTTCTACTCGAAGTCACGAAAATCTCATTTATTACCGGCGGGAAGATATTGAAAACAATAATCAGAAACAGGCGGCCGGTCGGCATTTCGCCTTCTACACGAAATTTCAATATTTCAACAGATATGACAAAAGTATCAATTCCCTTTCGAATGAAATCGCATCGCAAAGAAGATATCCTCCCCTTCTTAATTTCCTACACGACCAAAGTAGTTCTATTTGCGTAATGCACGCTGAATAATAATGAAAAACCTCGTACATTAATTGGAGTTGCGATTGAATCTAAGCTAACTCGATAACTTTTAATAAGTCGGTACAAATTTATTACAAAAAGTTTTTGAAAAAATAAATGTTGATATTCATTGCGGCTATAAACTAATTTATTAGGCCTCATGTTAGAAGTGAAAGTGCTGTAATTATTGAAGACAATATTATGCAATTAAAAATAATTTTCGAGCTCATAGAGGTTAAAATTCTATTGTAGGTGAAATGTGTAATTACATTGAGCTCTTAAAAATGTTAAATTACGGTTTAATTAAACCTTTGGATATTATTTTCTGCGTGAATATTACATAACAGTTTACAGGGTGGTCCATTGTCGATTGTTTTAATTAGAAATTTCCACATACAATAAAATATTACTACAAGGTGTATTGAAAAATTTCTCAAGTATAATATATTATTCGAATGAACTTCTTTGCGCTTAAAAACGCAATACTTTATTGACTAAAGCTTTTACATAGGTATGGTTATGAGCTAAGCAAATACAAGTTTTTACTTTCTACACTTTTTATTCAATTGGAAGAAAGAACATTTACGAAAAAGTTCTTATATTTGCGGACGTTTCAGGGTAACGGTTGCCCTAACTTTCAAAGACGAAAATAAAAGTTGGGAAAACTACGTTAAGAACTACTTCATAAAAGTATATTTACAAATACAAAAAAAAAGTCTTTTGAAGAGCTTTTATAATGTAAGACCTGTATGAGAAATATTTTCGATATTTAAGAAAGTAAATTCAAAGAAATTTCAGATGTAAGTAAGACAGGGTTTAAATACATATTTCATTTAGTAATTACACTTCTGAATAGTGAATTCAATTTTGAATGCAATTTTTACATTCCGGTCAATATTCTTTGAAAGAAATCGAATAAAACTGTTCCCATACAAAAGCCCACATTTTCAAAAAGCGAGGAATTAATAGAGAAGTGAATTAAACAGTAAATAGAGCAAGATTATGACTGAAATGCGTATGCAAGTTTCCTCTCGTTAAATCTCAGCGTTCGAATTAGAACAATCCGAATAATGATACAATTCAACATACATATAAAGGAGAGAAGCGTTACTTTTTCCACAAGAAAAATTTCCACACTTTACGATTCCGAATCGTTATAACCGGTCAACTCCTAGGAACGTTTTAGCGAAGCACAGTCGTATCATTTCAGCGCGAACGTGCAATTTCCACGTATTTGTATGTATCATTACAGCTTGTAATCGTCGTGTTCTTCTCTAATGATTTTAAGTGCTCATTAAGGAAATTAATTTACTATGGCAGACGCAATGGTAAAGTTCTGTTGGATATAATTAACTTAGTGTAGTATTAGATTTGAAGGGTTCTCCAGTTTGACCTTCACGGATTTATTAATGGCTCAACCCTCCTTAGAGAAATTTGTCCGGTTTAGTGGTGGAGTTGTCGCAGGGGTGTTTTTTTTTTATATATCTGAGTGATTTGAGTTTTATTTTTGTATTCCGGCGACGATTTTTGCCGTCGTCTTTTATTCATGGCGCCTGTTATAAGTATTTAAGTTCATAAGTTGCCACCCCGTATAAGGTATAGAGGTTAAAGGGAACCACATTTTTTTTCTCGGGAAAATTCCAAGTATGCGAGAAAAAGTGAGTGCAAATTTCTAAAGGAGCTCCATAAATAAAGATCTGAGCTCATTTATCAAGAATTTTTAGGCGGCGAATAAAAGTCAATAACGCGAGGAAAGAGAATTGTCAGTCAATTTTATGCAAAATCTCTTAGATTTATCTCTCAAATTCAAGGGTAATAGTGGAAAGCTTTTCCATACATTTTAAAATCCTACGAAAACTTAATTTATCCTGTAACCCTGTGTTTTCGAGTATGTGATCATACTTTGAAATTATTCCCGTTTCCAACCGAAATGCTCGATTTTCCATCGATCAATAAAACCCTAAGCTATTGGTGGTGTTGCAGCAGCATTACTGTTGATTTTCCTTATCGCGATTTACTTGTTATCTTATTTAATTTACACGTTTTCTATCTAGTAAAATGGGGATGATACTACCTACAGAAATAATTAGAAATGTATTAAGAATTATATTTTAAACAACCTCATGTAGAAGTTCATAGACCTAAAAACATTACTTTCCCATTAGAATGCTACGAAAAATAAGATAGAAAGGGTCGGTCGTTTTTTATACGTTTTCTATACCTACGTAAACGATTTAAGATAAAGTAAACTGCCTGGACTTTAGATAAAAATGAAAAAGTGAGGTTTAACAGTTTGAAACTTGTGAACGAAATCTGTTTTAAATACATTTCTTGAGAAAAAAAAAGAGACAAGAGGAAGATTATTTTACCTGTTTTATATGTATGTAGTAACTTTACTCTGGCACAGTAACAATCTTTTACTTCTAACGTGAATTCATTAAGAAATAATATTATTTTAATTCAAAGGATAAATGTATACTACGGGCTATTTAAATACGGATCCGGTTAATTATGGTGTTTAATAATTAGTTGAAATCAACACGGCATTAATTAGAACAAAAATATTTGGATGTTATTTTTGATTAAAAATGTTTTCCTTTGCAAATATTTGGGTAACTGCGATTGTGTACCTTCTCTAATGAACCTTTATTGAAATGGCAGTTATTTATGGTGGGTCGGTAGGAAAATGAATTTCCCCTCCATTGTATATAAATTGCGATTGAAATTTCTCTTATATTTCTATTTATTTACCTTCTATGTTTATAAATCTTTTAGTTGATAAGAAAATATTGAAAATTAATAGTATTTTATACGGCATTTGGGAATTCGGATTAATCAGACCCGGACTTAATTTTAAATTGCCTTTAATATTTCATTGCAAATTTGTTATGCTTGCATGCTTGGAATTTAATAGCGCATTTTTCTTCTGTTGATTAAAAGTTTTCATGATAAATTGTATCGGTTTATGAATGAACGATCAAATGAAAACTTACTCCTTATTTTAAACAATCATATTTTTAAGACTAACGCCCGTAGTTTTATAATCGGCTGGTTATTATTATCGTTACATTAGATTGATTGATATAAAGCCTTTAATGCGAGTGACAACATTAGAGATAATATTCGACTGTTGATTATTTTACTTATCAATACGGGCGTAAGCGAAATCACTGGGATCACACGGGATTGAACTTGTAATAAATGGTTCTACAATGTGTATTCATCTACAATGTGTAGGCAGGAAAAAAAAACCGAGTGACATTCAACTTTTCAATTTTTCGTCTGAAATGGAATATCTATTCATTAATACGGCTTCTTTCTCTTATTGTTACACATGCAATACGGTATATTAAAAAAGAACCGGCGACTTTTTGAAATTTGAAACTCTAAATTGATTTTAGCTCGACTAAGGATTTTTCCAATTTTTTTCCCCGTCACCTTTGAATATAATTAAATTTCGCATTTTCTGACGATGAAGTGGCATGTGCCCACTTATTTAATTACCAGCACGCTTTAATAATTAAATTATAACTGTTATCGATGTTGTTTAAACTTCGGCGTAACTTTTTTCGCAGTAGTTCAATTTCTTTAGCAGTAAAGATCTTCCTTTAATGGTGAAACCATGTCTTATGATCGACTTTTAAGATTTACGATGCGGGGGCTGAGGACCGAAAACGAATTGGTTCGTAAAGTAGGAAATAATAATTTTACAGGATCTTTTGTTCAGGAATTCAGAAGAAAAGGTTTTTTTTATTCGAGCCTTACTCGTTTCGGGCACTCTTATCCTGATTGAACAAGCTTTTATAATTCTCGATTTTTCTAAAGTAGAAACGTTTGAACTAATTTCGGCGTATTCGTTTCAGAAATTGCAAACAATCGGCGAGGACTTTTGCGGATTAGATGTAAATACTCCTTTGGGGGGCGAACAACCCGTGTCAGCAGTACCGGTTCTCCTTTTTAACACCCGCTTGACAGCCGTCGTTGCCACTTCTACGGGGGATTTCACAGTGGTCTTCATTGGAACAGCAAAAGGCCATTTGAAGAAGGTAACATTTTCTCTATTTGAATAAAAATTTCTACTTTCAACAAAAACGCGTTACGTAATTATTAAATAATATACGATACGTAGGTAAATCAATACTGGTTACAGGTTTTATTGCTATCTTCGATATTTTATTATTCACAAAATCGATTTGATAAGTGTAGGCGTACGGATTTATTTTTGCATTTTAAATACCTTTCGAACGACGCGGTATTGTTAGGAAACGTAAAAATTTCACCTTTTAAATCGATGTCGAAAATTTCCCAAATTACGACGGGCTTAGACGGGCAACGTCTGAAACTAGATGGATATCGAGTTCCTCGGTAATTGTAGGAGGATCACGTAAAACACAACACGGAGCGAAACTGCCGAAAACGCCGTAGCACCACCTACCCTTCTAATCAAGAGCCCTAATGATCGGGCAATCAAACAGTTGAATCAATTCTACTTCTCGTTTTGTGTAACCAATTTGTTACGGAGAAGAAAAAAAGCCGTGTGAAGAAAAGCAAATATAGGATAAGCGGCTACCGGGTAAATTTTCCATCTTGATTGCGAAAACAATTGGCGAAAGTTCATTATCCCAAAGTAATAGAGCATTTTAACTGAATGTTAAAACGTCGGATAAGGAGTTTATTTTAGTTTCAATGAAACGATAATAAATTTAACCCTTCTATAAACAGTTTTTACTTTTGATATGAGAGAGTTTAATCGGATATATTGTGGTGTTAAGTTTTCTAATAACACTTTCACTTCTAATAGCAAATTATTGGAGTGTACCTAGTTTATAATAATAAATTATTTTAATAGATCGAGGAAACTAATAAAATTTCGCAATTTAGTGCCTAATCCCATTATATTTTAGTAGTTTCATTGATTTCTCGAGAGCGTAAAATAAATTTCTCATACAGCGATATAGGTAAAAATTTTTATCGAACATAAACGGTTTTAATGCGGCCGTATATTGGTGCACTCGAATGCGGTACATTCTGAATGTATGCACCATGCTGGCGCGCTGTTTTTCCATCAACGTTATCAAAACTTAATGCATAATACATTGTCTAACGTTTTAACATGGAGGATTTCAAACTTTACGATTATTAATGCTCCTGAAATCCGAACAAAAAAACCACCTAACCCAACCTTCGGAATGGAAACCGAATTTTCGATTTCACTTATTTAAAAGCGATAATCCGTTGGCGAAATTTTTGTTTTTCGGAATTCGTAAAATATCACTTCGCGAACTTACTAGTAAATTTCTCGGAGCATTCCATCCGGCGTTCGAATAAGTTCTCAGACGAGATTCGACTGAAAAACACAATTAAGAAAAACTCAGTTTAATTGGTATTCTGGTTTGATCCCCAATTTCAGTGAAAAACGTTCAGGATCGAGCCGATAAAATATTTGAATGAATTTCATTTGATGCTTCGGAATTTTAAAGGCTTACCATGCCCGTGTCCGATGAAGGGTTGATTTTAGGCGTGGCGTGGGAGTTTTTCCTTGTAATTGGGATTTTGAAATTTCTTTTTTTTTTTTATTAGGCTGCGGCCGAATTTGCTCTTTAATTTCGCCCGGCAGGATTGATTCGTTTGCTTCCGTTTTTTTTTATTTTATAATATAATAAATGTCGTAGATAAACGAGAATTTATTGACCTTTACATTATCTATCTAATCTTTATTCTTTCACGTATCCTGTTAAATCGATGTTTTACTAATTGGACATCGAACTGTATTAGGAATTAATTGCAATTAAACATATAGGAGCTTCGTATTTTTTTAACCAAATTTATTTAAATTTAAATTAGCTGCATATTTAATTATCCCTGTATTTAAAAAAATAGGCCATAAAGTTTAATGGCGTCGTTAAAATTCCAACCCTAAATCCTAAATCATCTATTTCTCTCGATCAGATAGGACAGTATTTATATCATTACCAAATCAAATTTAGGTGATCATTATAAACCAATCGCACGGGATTCTTTATCGCCTTAAATCTTTCCAGTCCATTAGCAAGTATCGCGAAATAAATAAAAAAAAAATGGAGGAATCGTAAATTGAATAATAGAATGGTATTTCAGAAATACATATGCATAATTGTATGTAAGTCTGAATGTTATCCGCAAGTTCAAAGGGTCATTTGTATTCTCTATACGCGGTCGATGTAGCACCGTTATGATTTCGTAGCCGTTAAATTTTTAAACGAAATATTTCCAGGTCTTCGGAATGTCATTCGGCTAATGCTCGAGCAATTCCGAAAAAGCCGGGATTGATGATTAAATAAAACACCCGGACACGCACGTATCCTTTTTCCGCGTCCCGTGAAAACTCTTTTATTATCTACGGTCTAGCAACAATTATTTAGTTTTGTTTGAAAGCGTCTCGTTAAACTGAGCAGTAGTAAAATTTGAGACACACCATTTCCTGAGAGATTCAGCTTTCTATTTAATTGGAAAACTTATCTTCTTTACTAGTTCTTAGACAAAGACTTCGGCCGAAAAGGTTTTCCGTTCTATTTTCATGACCAGCGCTAATCGTTTTGTATGGTGAAATTCGCGAGTGACATAAAAGTTTTTCGATTGTGCGATTTAAGGTGGACATATTTTTCAAATACCTTGCGAACGCAAGTTCGCCCGATTTATTTTCATTAAAATTTATTGAGTATTAAAACCAGTAACTAGCTTAACTCTTGCTTTTTATTATGGGACATATAAAAGCTCATTGTCCTGTATAATAAAATACGAATCACTCTTTATTGTGTTTTATCGCTATTATTTCATCTTCTGAATAACAAAATGAATCAAAACAGTCACTCATAAAATAAAAATTTTATCTCGATAATGGCATCGTATTTCCTATATTGTATAAAATGATTGCCGATATTTTCAAGGAAAATTCAAATAGATTTTTTTTAGCTGCCTATTACATGGTAAATGTACTTCAATTTATTGCTTTTTAATAAAAAAAATATTGCATTTCATTAAGCAGATTAGTTTATTTACAAATTTTTAATATCGGTCGAATGTAAATAATACAGTATGCATTAATGTTTTACTATTTAATAATAAATAAAGTAAAATGAGTAAAGGTATAATATTTGCTTTAGGTCATCAATATATTTATTTCAAATATTATTTACCTCGTTACCATTACTGTTCTAAAAGTTGTTTCATTATTATGTTTGTAAATATACAACATTTATATGGAAACGCATTAATGGGAAAAAATTTGTTGAAAATTTACCTGAATATCGTGCTTTCGATCTCACTATCGAATTACTCAACCGTTCGTTCGCCGGAATAATGACCACTCTTCATTAAAAAAAATCAATTTATTTGACTAATGTTTTATAATTGATTTCACATGAATATGTATGAAATGTTACACCGGAAAAGATCGAGCTGATTGACTAAATTAATGTTGACAAACGAATGCAATTAGAGGGAATTACAATGCAATTCGAACGCTATGATAAATAACAATTTTACTCCGGTGAATTTAATCCCTATTGTCTTTTAGGTTGTTGTCGAATCATCCACCTCTGCTTTGGAATACGGTGATTTGATCGTGGAGGAAAATTCACCTGTAAATCCGGATTTACACTTTGATTCGCAATCGATGCATCTCTACGTGATGACGGAGAGAAAGGTGAGAATAAATCACGATCCTCGATAGAATCAGCTCGCTAAATAAATTAAACTTTCATTATGCAGGTATCCAAAGTTAAGGTACAGGAATGCACTGTCTACAGGAATTGTTTAGAATGTTTGGGCGTTAAGGACCCCTATTGCGGTTGGTGTTCCCTAGAAAATAAGTAAGTAAATCCCAGCCAAATGCGACGTGTGTGTGTGTTTTTATTATATCTTATTATTCGAATTTTCCCCTCGCAGGTGTAGCTTACGTTCAGACTGCCAAGACGCGGCCAAAGATCCTTTATATTGGATTAGTTACAAAAGCGGAAGGTGCACAACTATTACCTCAGTTATACCGAACCAATTACAAAGAACAACAGCAAGAACGGTAGGTTTATGTACTAAATCAATAATTATATAACTAATTAATTGCTTATTACGATCAAAGTTTACGCTAAGACCGGAGGCAACTCTTTGATCTTTGCGTTAAATACTCTTTATCCATTTACATTGAAACCCAGGATATTAGAATCGAAATTGAATTCTGCCATCGACATAACTCCACAAAGAAACTTAATAATTTAATTAACGGATGAAACTGTTCTGGTTTTTTTTTCCAGTTGGATCTGGTAATCGACAATCTGCCGACGTTACAAGGCCACTTTTTGTGCGCTTTCACTGCTTTAGATAAAACTTTAATTACGAACGCCACCAGGAAGGGATCCGGCGTGAATTGCACCACGCCGAGAACGGACTCGTTACCTTCGATACCTCCCGGACAACGTACGTAAAAATCTCGCCACCTTCGCGGGCGGAAAGTTTCAAGAAAACGCTTCATTTTACAGATCATTTCACTGCCAAACTGTCAGTCCGGATGACTTCCGGACCGGACTTCGTAGCGACCAATTTTACGTTCTTCGATTGCAACACTTACAGCTCCTGCACCCAATGCGTGTCCTCGTCGTTTCCGTGCGATTGGTGCGTCGACGGGCACCGATGCACCCACGACACCGCCGAAAACTGCCGAAACGACATCCTAGTCACCGGAGTCAGCGTAAGTTTTTAACTAATTTAGCGAACAGCGACGCTCGGTACATTGAAAAGCTTCCAGTGCGTTAAAAGTGTTTTTCCAATGCAAGATTAAAATTGCTAAAATACACGAACGGGAACGGGCGTATGGCGAAATAATCCGAATAGTGCAACTTTGGTGCAAAAACAATGAGGAAATCTAATAAAAAGTATTCCACATTCGAACAAACGAATGGATAACATAATACATATGTTAGGCGTTCTATCTTTCGGAGTTTTTTTTTTTTGAAGTGAAAATTTTTGTTTAGTTTCTCCTGCACCTCGATATTCTTTCCGAGCGGCGCCGCTTATTCGAAGAGCCTCTATCCTCCGCACTCTACACATAGCATCTGTCAGTATCCACGCCTCCATTCCGTATAATTGTATAGAAAAACAATACAGCGACGTAGGTTTCGTCTCGAAAGAATGCCGAGATTTCGATTGCACGGTTCGCGTTCCTTTCCATCCGTCCCGTCCCCGGCGCGAATTCCTCGCCCTTGAACGGTTTTAATACATATGTCTATTGATAGATGCTTTCAGTCATTGCCTTATTAATTCCGGCGCTTTTCCTATCCACCTGCCTCTTTCTTTTCCCCGACGGCTTTATTTCGCGGGAAACCTTTCCGCGCGTATGACGAAAGGGGAAATGGAGAGCGTGGAAATTAAATCGCGCGTATTTCGAAAATCGATAGCCCGCCGGAATCTATTTATTTGTTTGATTGGTTATTGTCGGAACGTGCGAAGTCCAAAAATTCGTTTTCGAAAAATCACGGATGTGTGTTCGCTCGCAATCAATAATAGTCGATAATTGCGATGGAGATGTATCCGTATAGAAATTTTTCCGATACGCAGTCACCGAGCAATTTGCGTGCTGGTTTATTGGAAACGAAGCTTATATTATTATCATGTTCATACCAGCTTGGCCAGAATTCGGTGTACTGAAGCGACATGCACATAATTTAATTGAAAGCTATTTAGGTGATAATTTAATCATTGATCGGCCCGGAGTGCATTAGTGGCTCTATTCACGGTTTTTCTACGAATGTAGGTACGAGATTGCCTGCCCAAATGGTGTGTGCAACAAATTTTTTTCTTCCCAGGTTTCGCTTTATTAACAGCTATATTCAGTCAAATAAAACCAATTCAGTTTAATTATCTACCGTAATTTGAGCTACATTTAGTTTGAAATTTCAAATTTCTAATTATTTGAATAGTTCGCCATAACTATTGTCTCGTCACTTTTGTGCAATGAAGTTAGCTACAAGCCAAAGAAAAGACATACGCATGAAAACCGTTAATCTACAGCTGTCAAATGTCACTTTAACAGACAAAGATAGAGAAATTTATTATATGAATTTATGAAATTTAAATTTTTCATGGCGATTAATTCAAAAACGTTTTATTAAATCGCTCGCGATCGATGCTGCAGTTTTTGACGAACGTTTTATTATCTGCTTGCAGAGGGCCGGTCCGAGTTACAGATCGGGCCCGGGATTTTGCCCCACGATCAACGCCACAGTGGGGAATTCTCCAGAAATATTGGTAGCTTCCGGGATAAAGAAGGCCATCAAAGTAAAAGTTCACATAATCGGTCAATTTATCGTCCAGACCAGATTCGTATGTCAATTCAACATCGAAGGACGGGTTACCAGTGTAAATGCTCAACTATTAGGCGATACTATTTACTGTGATGCGATGGAGTTTTCCTACACGTCCCGGGCGCCGAATATCACCGCTACATTCGCCGTCATTTGGGGCGGCTCAAAACCGTTGGACAATCCGGACAATATTCATAGTGAGCACTTGATCTCCCAACCGCGTTTGTATCAACCACTAAACCAACATTTTTTTCCAGTCGTAATTTACCGTTGTCGCGATATGGCCGACAATTGCGGGATTTGCTTGGCTCTAGCCGAGAAATACGACTGCGGCTGGTGCCAAAGCTCCGACAGGTGCGAGGTGAAGGACCAATGCGAGAAGGGCTCCGCCGTGTGGCTGAACAGGAGCCAAACCTGCCCCAATCCCGAGGTCACATCCTTCAGCCCGAAACTGGGTCCTTGGGAAGGCGGCACCAACATCACCATCCGAGGCATCAACCTCGGCAAAAACTTCCAAGACATCTACTCGGGCATAAGCATAGCGGGAATAAACTGCCAGCCCTACGAGCAACTCTACATCAAGACTAAACAGATCACCTGCCAGGTAAATATCCCGCTGTTAAAGTCTTTGAGGTGTTCTACAGGTCGTTTGTATTAAAGGTGGACGGGCCGGGTACTAAAGAACTACGCCAAGGACCGGTAACGGTGAAAGTAGAAGACTATCGAGGCGAATCCAAAACCCATTACAGATTCGTTAACCCCAACATCACGGGTATATCGCCGAGGTACGGGCCGAAATCGGGAGGCACCATGTTGCAAATAACCGGCGAATACATGAACGCTGGAAGTAACATACAGGCGTTCTTGGACGGGCTTCCTTGCCGAATTCTAACGTAACATTCTGCGATTAACCGCACTAAATCATCCGCTAATTTCGATCGTTTTTAGAACCGAACAAAACCGAGCGTTGTGCATCACCAGCGCCTCGAACACGACGTCCAAGAGGAAGCTGAAGATGAAGTTCGACAAAGGCGATCGGTATTTGGACAGCATGATGTTCGAATACGTCGACGATCCTATCATAGAATCGGCCGAATCGGGCGTCGCCAATCAAATAAAAGTACCTAAAGGAATACCCGCCGGAGGTATTCAAATATCGGTCACCGGAAGAAACTTGGCTTTCATTCAAAAACCCCAAATGTATGTTTTCTACGAGCAAAAGATGCACATCAGCGTAAGTATTTTAATTATCTAGCTAATAATTTACGGTTTATTAACTCGAAATGTGTGTTATATTTTCAGGAATGCACTGTATTGAGCAACACGAGCATGACGTGCCTCTCGCCGGTTATCGACGCAGCCGAAGACGTTAAATTAGACGCGGATAATCCCGAAAAACTCGAATACGGCTTCCGAATGGACAATGTCACCGGGGTCCAAAATCTCACCATGCACAAATCATTCAATCCGTTTCTTTTATACCCGAATCCCATATTCATACCGTTCGAAAAGGAAGTGAAATACTACAAATCCGATTACTTGAACATCATCGTAAGTACTCGCCCGGTCGCGTTGTAAATATATTAAATTGCGCCGTTGCAGGGACAAAACATCGACCGGGCTTGCCAGGAATCCGACGTGGAAGTGTTGATTGGAAGAAGCAGGTGCAATGTCACGTCTTTATCCCGCCAGCAACTGACTTGCAGACCTCCGGAGACCCAGCCTCTGCCGCTCAACGACCAAGACATCTCCAGCGGTGAGGCTCTGCCCGAGGTGGTCGTCATCGTCGGCGGTTCGCTGAGATACAACATCGGAGTTTTGTCTTATTCTTCACCTCAAGGTTCAAATGAATTTTTTTAGCGAAATTACTCGTAAATAACGCAAATTTCTTCCAACAGGTTTGAACAGTTCGATACCGAAACCTCTGGTCATCACGATAATATCCGTGGTCGTCGTCATCTTCGTCGTTTTCGTCATTTTCTTAATAGCTTACCGCAGAAAATCGACCGAAAACAACAGAGTGCTGAAGAACATGCAAGAGCAAATGGACATATTGGAGTTAAGAGTGGCAGCGGAATGTAAAGAAGCGTTCGCCGAATTGCAAACGGAAATGACCGATCTGACGGGCGATCTCACCTCCGGAGGCATACCATTCCTCGACTACAGGACGTACGCCATGAAGATCCTCTTCCCCAACGAAGACGACCACGTCGTCCTCCAATGGGAGAGACCGGAACTCCTCTCGAAAGACAAAGGCCTCCGGCTGTTCGGCCAGCTGATCATGAACAAAACCTTCCTGTTGCTCTTCATCAGGACCCTCGAAAGCAACAGATACTTCTCGATGCGAGACAGAGTCAACGTCGCCAGCCTGATAATGGTCACGTTGCAGAGCAAGATGGAGTACTGCACCGACATCCTCAAGACCCTGCTGGCCGAACTGATCGAGAAGTGCATGGAGGGCAAAAGCCACCCGAAGCTGCTGCTGCGGCGCACCGAGAGCGTCGCCGAGAAGATGCTCAGCGCCTGGTTCACGTTCCTGCTGTACAAGTTCCTGCGAGAGTGCGCCGGCGAGCCTCTGTTCATGCTGTTCAGGGCCGTCAAACAACAGGTTGACAAAGGACCAGTCGACGCCATCACATCGGAGGCGCGGTACTCCCTCAGCGAGGAGAAGCTCATAAGACAATCAATCGATTTTAAACCGATGGTGAGTTTTGTGGAATTTATCGATGAGAATCGTGCTGATTTTGTTTCGATTTCAGACCGTCTATGTCTCGATATCACAGCAAACGGTATTCGTTGGAGGCATGGATCACAACACTGATAATGTTCCTGTAAAAGTATTAGATTGTGATACAATTAGTCAAGTCAAAGAGAAATCGTTGGACACTATTTACAGAGCAACGCCTTATTCGCAAAGGCCCAGAAAAGACGATTTAGACTTAGGTAAATTTAATGCACCAATGGTAGTCTGAAATTTTCTAATTGTTATAAACTTACAGAATGGAGAACAGGTACATCTGGTCGATTAATTTTATACGACGAAGATAGTACCACGAAAATAGAAGGCGATTGGAAGAGGAGAAATACCCTGCAACATTACCGAGTACCTGATGGCGGATGTCTGAATTTGGTGTCCAAACAAAGTTCTATATATAATTTAAACATTTTCTCGGAGAAGAACGACAAGTCCCACAAGTACGAGACGCTGAACCTCAGCAAATTCAGCTCGGTGAGCCCGCCGCTGAGCCGGGCGACCAGCCCGCTCAACCACGACCACGACCAAGGGCTGAAGGTGTGGCACCTGGTCAAGCACCACGACAACGACAACCAGAAGGAGGGCGAGCGCGGCAACAAGATGGTGTCCGAGATCTACCTGACGCGGCTGCTGGCCACCAAAGGTACCTTGCAGAAGTTCGTCGACGATCTGTTCGAGACGATCTTCAGCACGGCCCATCGGGGATCGGCGCTGCCGCTCGCCATTAAATACATGTTCGACTTCCTGGACGATCAGGCCCTGCAACACGGCATATCCGATCCCGAGGTGGTGCACACGTGGAAGAGCAATTCGCTGCCGCTCCGCTTTTGGGTGAATCTCATCAAGAATCCCAATTTCGTGTTCGATATACACAAGTCGAATATAGTCGATTCCTGTTTGTCAGTGGTTGCTCAAACGTTTATGGATTCCTGCTCCACTTCTGACCATAGATTAGGTAAGTTTTTCAAGAAAATTATTATATCGACATACAATTTTTTAATTTTTTTTAATTAGGTAAAGATTCACCCAGCTCCAAATTGCTGTACGCTAAAGACATTCCAAACTACAAGGAATGGGTAGAAAGATACTATTCTGATATAAAAATCATGCCCGCCATTTCCGATCAGGACATGAACGCTATGCTGGCGGAAGATTCGAGGGTAAGTTAAAGCTTTAACATACCAATTGCACGTACCGAATTGTAAAAATTTCCAGCTACACACCACGGAATTCAACACGAATTGCGCTCTACACGAGTTGTACAATTACGCCCAGAAATACAACGAGCAACTAACAGTTACCTTAGAGGAGGACGAATTCTCTCAGAAGCAACGATTGGCCTACAAGCTGGAACAGGTGCACGTCATAATGGGGGAGTCGGGACAGCCGTGATACTGGCCTGACCTGACGTGCCCCCCTACGGCCCCACCTCTCTCTCCCGTATTCCCGTCGGCACCTCAGGAACTCGCCTGCTGATAAACGTTTCATGCCAAAAATACATATCCATCAACAAACAAACAAACAAAAAAATAAGTAAAACTATTTCTCTATGTGTTACGAATTGCTGTTGTGCAATTATTGTTCAGTGTATTGTGGACCAGTGCTCACTCAGTGACTTCGAAGTGCCTCTGGTAGATTGAGTGCGGTGCTGGCTCCTAAATTGAGTGTATTATATTTTTATGATAACGCTAGGTTTGCGCTTCGCCGTGCTGAACAGCAGCGTTTATAGTCTAGAGCCGTTGTCAGGAAAAGCCTTCTTCTCTTTCGGTGAACGGTAACCAAATTTGTACTTAAAATTTTTATACAAAAACAATTATTTTGGATGTCATTTCAACTGCTGTTGTTTATTTATTTACACGGAAAATAGTCGAATCGTTTTATGAATAATTAATTGTATACCATTTGGTGCGGGATATTTTTTTTATTTTGCAGGAGTCGAGATGAAACCGTAGATGTATAAAAAAAATACTAGCATATCGCATTCGGTTCACGTAACATATCTGCAATATCATTGATATAAATGATGACTACTTAAGGGCCTATGTTTCGTCTCAAAAAAAAACTCTCCTGGTGTAAAAAAATAGTTCGCAACAAACTGGGAGATTTGCAAAAATATGTAATTTGGAAGAAGAACTTTTCATTATTGGTCCTAGGCTATTAGTCCATTATTGTCGATATTCACTGAAATATCCACTCTAACAATGCTTTTTTGATATTTGTAATATGATCGTAACTTTATACAGTTTAATATTTTTGTATTTAGTTGAATGCAATCATGATGATTGTCTTCCGCAATGAAGGAAGCACCAGGGTGTAGTATTTAATTGCGACCTTTCAATCAATGGATGTTTCATTCTATATTACATACTATGCACGAGGTCGTATCAATGTTGTTTGTGTATGTGTAATAAGGCTGTGTAAATTCTCTTGTTTGTAATTTAATGAAAAAAAAAACAGTATCTTCAATTGCCACATCTGATATTTTGTTTTTCCGAAATATTGCTGCTATCTGAAAATATATTTGTTCCTATTTTGGGGCTGATGGAATTACGTTTTATATACAGACAGTAACAAAGAGGATTTATCGCTGCATGACTATTTGTGACAAAAAGAATTTCATAATTCTAGTCAGACTATTATATTTAAGTAATTCGGTCAGCCATTATTTTTTACCTTCATTCTTACGTGCAATTTATTTCATATTTTATATACATATTTATATAAATATACATAGCTTTACATTTTTTTATTTATATTATATATGTAAAATGCTGAATGTTACACTATTTCTTCGAGTACATCATTCGCAGGTGCATTTTGAAAGCTACGATCTCAATGAAACAAATTTAAAGGTAGCTAACGCGAACAAAAGTTACACCAACAAGAGGCCATTTTTTGATGAACTTAAAGCACTGGGAATGTTGTACGATTTGTATTAATAACAATTAGAATTTGTATAAAATAAACGATGCATTCCGTAATAGTAATGTAAGAAGATATTTTATTCGTAAGTGGAACATTCAGTTGGAATACGAGGTAAAAAAATATACTTCACTGGCTCACATTTCTAAAAATTATTTATTAATTGATTGAATACACCATTACCATTTTCCTCTCATTATTTCTATTAATTTTTATGCATTGATCTTCCCCTTCATTTTCTTGTCTTCCACTTAATCTACTTCCAATACGTAGATTAATCATTGTTCAATTTTATTTATACACAATCGGCAAAAATTCACCACCAGCATACTCTGTAAACGTGAGACAGCCAGGAGTATTTTTTTTAATCAAGTCATCCTCGTATTGTGACTAGTTCTAACATGTTTTTTTATTTATAACGAATTAATTTGGAAAAATTTTAAGAGTGGATTCAATGTCTAAATGTTTTTATATATATTTTGTCGCTGTCATTTCTCCTTCATTCCTATGTCGTTTGAAGCGCGTAATTATTCTTAATTAAGTCGTACCGGCAATTAGTTTCGTTTCTGCTGATTTCGTGTGTGCACCGAAAATGATCCGCGTGTGAAATAATATGTTATGGAAACGTTTTGTACTCATTGTCTTGGAAAAGATGCTCGGAGTGAGGAACGAACCGATCGGGCGTTCTCGGTTTTCTCGAGGCAATGAAATGAAAAATGAAATGGGAACAATATTTTTAGTATTTTATCTTTTTGAACGAAGGAAAAAGAAAAATTTAATTCTACGCTTAAACTATCGTAATTATCATAAATTGATGTGATATTAATTGGAAAACATTTAGATAGGTATAATCGTTAGCAATGTGTTATTGTTATTTTTTTATATGTATTTTTTATAGTCAATGTGAATGTAATACTTATTACATTTTCTTTTTCCTTCTCGTATTCGAATCTTTCACCTTTTTTTTTTAATCATTTTTTTATATGATCAAATTGCCACCGTCCTGATATTTACAACAATGTATTTTAATTAGCTTTCCGACAGCTGTGCATGATAAAACCAGTCTTTACGAAAGCTTTTCGAAGTTTCCTTTTTTTTACGCCACAATTCGTATTCGTATTTTTTTGTATTCCTTTTGTAATTTAAGTTTTGTATATAAAATTTTATGCCAAAAATGCTTCTGGACAATTGCATAGGAAGATTGTAAATATTAAATAGATGTACGTATGTTCGTACAGATGAATGCATAAATGTTTGTATGTTTGTACGCATGGTCGTTCGATTAATTTATAAAGTTTAGCAGCTAAACAAGTCTTTATTTCCCTCGCTCGCTCTCCATAGCGACAGATAAAGCGATTTCTGTAAACTGAGGACTTTATAATGCAATCGATGGTACATATTTATAGTAATGTGTGTACATTCGATTATGAATGGTAATGTTCTACTATATGTTATTATAAAAGACTGAATGGAGTTACTAATATAAATAGAAAAACACATCCTATGTTGGTTCGTTTTATTTCACTATGACCCGATCCCTGCTAGGTAAAAGGCATCCTAATTAAAGTTGTTCGCCAGATCGCTAATCTATCCTAATTTCAATTAAACAACAAAGTATGGCGAAAAAAGCGCGTGGGACTAAAAAGTTGCATCGATTAATAATTTGCAAATTGTATTTGCATGCATCGTATTCATGCCCGTGAAATTTTTAATTACCGTTAATACGTCAACGGTGCTTTCTCGTAAACATCATTTTTCTTTTTCCGAACTAATAAATTACCTTCCGATCTATTTGATTGATAAATATTTAGTAGTTAGTTACAATTCTCTGGGCACTTTTATTTTAATTGGTAATTAACTAATTGTAATGACGTCCCGCTAATGAATCAAGGTAATATTTCACCAGACGGAAGGACTACTGGTATAGTTTAATTGGGTTGTACTACGAATTACAAGATTTTACTATCAATTTAAACGAGCTGAATTTATGTATTTCCACTATTAGCAAAAATAAAAAATTTCCATACCAAACAGGTAAATTGCGGACTTAATTAGTCCATCGGAATCGCTTGACACGCATCGAAATAGAAAAATACTCGACGAAATTATTGAGCATTTATAGAAAAAAATGTGTCCCATTTTTAAGAATCGCGTTCGAATAAAAAATAACAGGTAACAATTAAGCTCGAGCAAAAGTCTAATTGGGTTATCATGTAGGAAAACCATGTGTTGTAGACCTGAATTAAATACTCGTACAAGTTTAATTAATTCCTGTCACAACAAAGGACCCATATGCTGTTTATATTTTTTCTCGAATTCGCCAAAATTGCGGTAGTAAAATAATAATAAATCGTATAATTGTCACATTTTCCGGCATGTCGGCCTTTGTATTATTTTACAAAACAATAGATAATAAAAGAAAATTAGATAAGATAGATATTAAAATCAAAATAAAAAATATGCGGTTATTTTCAATGAAAACAGGTAATAGGTGAATGAAAATTTGATTCGGTAGATATTGGAGGAAAACACGATGCGACTTGTTTTTGCACTAAAAATTTAATTTTAGTTAAAAACTAGAATGTTTCATGTTAATTTCGATGAAATTTTAAAAAACCATTCAAAACATCAAAAGAGGGTATGTTAAGTGCGTTAAGCATTTACTAGAAGCAATTTATTTACAACTAAATGCATAATTGTCCCAATATACAAGGCGATCGAAATAAAGCGCCTAAAAATACGCACAATGTCAAGGATTCGGTCGATCATTATGGAATAAATTAAACAATTTGCATATAATTTTCATTCCGTCTAATGCAGATCACATAACAATAATTTAGATGGGAAAGTCCTTAAACCCCCTCTCCGGCGGTGCCTTCAATCCTGCGGAATCTCCGATGTTCCGCCAATCAACAACGCGCTCATTCATCGTCGATTCACCGCGTTGCTAAACGATTTTTGCGAACGGAGCGCGAAGAAATGTGAAAAACCGAAAATGAACCCGGTATTGTTTCTGTTCCTGCTGTTCCTGCGGCCCTCGATCGAAGTGAGATTTAGTGACGATTTGCCGAAATGCTGCGACCTCGACGAGACCGTCGCGAGAACGGGGGATTCCTACAATTGCACCGGAGATTCGACCCGCAGGCGGCAAATATCCACGAGAAATTTGAGCGCTCTGAAGACCGAAACGGCCGGGGAATGCTTCGATGTGTTAGACGATGCGTTCGTTAAAATCGACATCAAAACCGGCGTTTCGGAAATCTACGACGGCGACTTTTTCCCCAAATGTTGCCCGATGAATTCCGTTTACGACTCCGAGCTGCATTCCTGCATTGAAAGCTCCAAGTATCCCGATTTCATCAACGAGACTTTCGTTAAAGTCGGCCTGCCGCATTGCAAAATCATCCACGATTTCGAGATAAGCCCCGCGCTTTACCGGTACGCCTCCGGTAATTTGGACAAAAATTCGTTTTGTTTGGACAGGAACGAGAGAGGCGCGTTCGTTCTCAGGAGGTGCCAGGAGGGCTACGATATTTGCAGGAAGATGAGATGCGTGAAGAAATGTTGCCCGGACGGTCAAAGTTTCGTGAATAGCTCCAAATGCGTCGATACGTATTCCCATGGCGTGAATGTGAGCTCATTGGAACGTTTTATTGAAGGCTCTCCGAGTAAGTATAATGAAATTTTTGGTAGTAATAAATTTCAGTGGGGTCGAGATTGGACACAAGGACTGAGGTTTTTTTGCGAAAAGTATCAGGATCGGAAAATCGACGTTTCGACTTCCGGAAATTTCATCTTCAGTCGAATTTACAATTTTTTTAGGAGCTCGCGCAGCGAATGAGCCCACTCAGCTAGCCCAGCGATATAAATTTATAAATTCGTAATTCGTGTATAGACATAAATAATTTATTTTTTTTAATCTCCAATTAGTAAGTTAATTCTTTGAAATATTGTTATTGTACTTGCATAATGCATCACCAGTTCAAATGAACGCATAATTAGCAATAATTAATGAATTGTATATTAAAATTTCGCTCACCTTTTTAGTACAGGAGGTTCTCACTTAGTCGATCTGCTTCTGCACTTAAATACCTGTAACAAATAATTTAAATTAGTAATTTTACAACTTTAAGGTTGGTAAAGGAAAATATGGAAAAATTTTCAAATTTAAATTCTGCAATTGAATAGCAGATCATGTGCGATATGTGTTAATTAATTTCCCCTTGGCAAACGTAGCATATTTTTTTATATAGACAATATGATAATTTATTATTTATGAATAATTAATTTGATTCAGCCTATCAGTGTAGCAAATGTCGCATAATACGCGTATTTATACAATGTTTTTCGTACGATGCGGCGCAAAATGAATTCATGTTTTTAAATTTACATCATAATGTCCCTTAAAATTATATTTAATATAAATCGACAATATGCATTCCAACAATGAACACTAATGGGCTATTAGTGCCTTTAAACACGTAGGTAAATGCCCACCCAATGGTTTTCTCGTATCATATAGTATCTATTGCTAATTATCCGTCATTAAAGAACTCAATTAGGTAATAATGTTGTTTAAAGTGGTGAAGATTAAAGGATATGGGAATCAATGCAAATCAGTTACCCGAAAGCGCCATTAGGATTACGTGACAGATCTAAAATCTAAATTTTCATTTCAGATAATTACGCTATAATTCATAACCGCACGTGCAAACAAATCTACAAAATGCCCTCCGATGCGAACATAACCGTGCACAAAAACGGGAGTTTCACGGAGTTGATTGATAAAACTTACAAAACTGAGGATGTTGCCGATGCAAACTCCTATTGCATAGAGCATTTTTCCAGAAAAGCGACGAGCGGTTATTATTTCTTCCACTGCTTCTCGGAAAGCGAAGAACTAACCAAATTCGATTTTTCCAAATGGCCATTAATGCTATCCTGCGTCTTTTTACTGATCACTATAGTAGTGTACGTGGTTATTAAGGAATACAAGAAGATGTTTGGAAAGATTTTGATACATTACTGCTTGGCTTCGTTCATCTTATTTGCACTTTTGTTGTGGAATAACCTCGTGGAGAATATCTCCTCTACCAATTGCCAAATAATAAGTAAGATTTTTTTGTCATTAATTTTACAGGCTCCAATTTTAGTCGTTTTTGAAAGTTCGGTTATTAGCGGATTAAATAGTCATGAAATTTTTATTGCATCATTCTGTTGGTGCTTGCAAAAATATTTTCGAGATAACGTTGACCATTAAATAGATGGTTTGTTTACTTTGCCCTAGGGAATATACATTTTTTTTCATTAACGATTCCACAATTTTTTATGGTGTTTCCGCGTATATTGCTTTCGCAAACGGGAAAATTGGAGTCCCAAAGGTCGTATAATTTGTAGCTAGTTTATCGCCAAAAATTATTTATTAAAGAGATACTTGCTGTGTAGAAATAATGGCAACATTTTTGTAGATTAATGGAATTTTTTAATAATCGGATATTTATTTGTATTTTACATGCATCTCTTTTCAGGTTACGTTCTTATCTTATGCGCTTTAGCTCAATGCACCTGGGCAAATATTATGTGTTTTGAAATTTGGTGCACTTTTGGGTAAGTTTGTTTAATCAAAATTAAATACATGATATATCTAATAGATACAAGAACAAAATCTTCTGTTAACTGATTTCATCATTATTCTCACTGCAAATGCAATTAAAAGAATCCCCCGCAGTAATATAAGGAACTAAATCAAGGGATGTCGTTTCCAATTAAAATTAATTACGAACACAATGTTTTCTCTTCCGCATTTAATTATACCCCATGTTGGTGATGTAAGAATTAATGTGAATCCAAATTTGATGTAATTAGCTATAAAAGCTTCCCGGGGATGAACAAAGTTCGATTACATCGAGTAAATTAATTAGGGATAGTTTTCGATAAAAATTTAGTGGCCTATAAATGGCCTCTTATTTACTGGTTATTCTGTTTCAGTACGACCAAACTTTACATTGGAGCGGATCATAAAGAAATCGAATTTAGGAAATTTCTTACGTATTCTTTGTATGCCTGGGGCGTGCCATTACTGCTGACTTTGATTATAATTTTATTTAGCCAATGGAAAATACTTCCAGACGCCATACAGCCGTACCTTGCTGAAGAGAAATGTTTTTTTATTGAAAGTGAGTCACCTTTTATTCCATTTCATTTGCAACAATGGATTTATTTGTTATTGTGGCATTTTAGAACAAGGTAATTACGCGAAATACCTATTCTACAGTGCACCCCAACTCGTTATACAAATGATAAATGTGGTGTTTTTCATCAAAACCATCGCTTATTGCATGAAAGTTAAGAATGAAATAAATAAAATAAACGACGCGACGAAAACGTATTCGGCAAGAAAATATCAACATGACAAAGCTAGGTGAATATAGATCTAAATCTCAAAATATTTTTTACTTAAACAACGTTTTTTTGTATTTTTAGACTGCTTCTTATATTAAAATTGTCTATTGTAATGGGTATATCCTACATATTTGAAATAATAACAAGCTTTTTCAACATGAGCGACCTAGGAGTAGGTGCTAAGTACGTGGAAATTGTTCTCGATACTTACAATGAACTTCAAGGTAAGACGAGAAAAAATACATTTTCTAGATAAGATATATTTAAATATCAAAGTACGAGTTATACCACTAACTTAAAAAAAATATTTATGAATTCTTTTCCAGGTGTCTTCATTTTTATTATCTTCATATGTAAGAGAAAAGTAATTTTCGGATGTCTTCAAAAATTTAATATCCACATTCGGCGCAGCCAAAATTCCTCCTCTACCCGCACCCAATCGACACTTACTTTAAACGGTGTTGTATTAAACAACATTATTAGCAAAGACAAATTTAATATTAATAAAATGTAAATTTGCAGGTAATTGGTTTTATTTTCCGCTAAAATATAGTACGAAGCAAAACCCGTTCTAACCGAATAACTATTAAACAATAGACACCTACAAATATCAAAAAAGAAGAACATTTGAGGTTAAATAATTATGTAAGTTTGTGTTTAGTTTATATAAAATTTTTAAAACTTGTAAATATGTCGATAGAACTTAGTAGAAAAGTGCTGCAAAGCTTCAAATTGATTCACAAAACTAGGAAAAGCGTTTTCAAAGGTGATCCGGTGGCTTTGAACGAAGCTAGAATTAAAATCAACGAGGAATTCAAGAAAAACAAACATATTACTGATCCAGCATCTATTGAAGAGAAGATTAAATACGCAAACGAAGTGGAATGTGAAATAAGAACATGTGTAATACAAGCTAAAGAAGTAGAACCTGGCGTTTATCAAGCCGAAATTAGAAATGATACAGTAAAATTGGAAAATATTCCCTTCAAAGAATGCGACAATGTTACTTTATCAAAGGGAAAAAGCGGAAAATCTAAATGTCAGCAGAGCTAATTAATTAATTTTTATTGTTAATAGTATACACTAACAGCTGTCCTCGATATATGATAGCATGGCACTGAGTAATAGTAATATAATCTTGTTAATTCTTAGTTTATTTTAATTTTTAGTTTACTTAATATGAATTTTTAGTTCATAAGATATCATGAAACTATTGTAAATTTTAGTGGTATTTTAAAATTTCACTGTTCTAATGAAATTGTCTTAATAAGCACGTTTATCATAAATAAAATATTAAATATTTGAATTCCAATCTTATGCAAAACAAACCGTATGCACATATAATCGAAGGCCAAGTGTCAAGAAGAAGAAAGTAATTTTTCAGTGCGCAACAAATAAATACGTTATAAATAAATATAGTTGAGATCATTCTTTCCTATAGAAAATCATACAAGAAAATATATAATTAAATTACTTTCCATTTCATTCGAATTTAAAAATAGAAACTGAATATTGGTATCACTGAAACAAGTGGCAAAAGTCAAGTGCCACTGTCAAATGTCATTATTGTCATTTATAGTCAAATACTTCATACTGTTTACTAATGTCGTTGTGGTTTGTAATAATTTAATATTTTCATTCTAAAAAAGTTTATTGAAGTAGTTTTAATAAAATTAGAAATTTAGTATAGTTTACACCATGGCTAACGTGATAGAGATCCCTCTAAGGGATACAGACGAGGTAAATATGCTCGTGAAATTAGTGCTGTACCCAATATTTATTTTCAATATTTTTAAGGTAATCGAATTATATTCAGATCAATTACCAGAAGGCGATGAAGTTCTTGGTATACTTCGTCAAGAAAAAACCCAACTTTCAGTATGGGTTAACTTAGCTGTAAGTTTTAAAATAATCTATTTATAACAACACTCGAACATTACGAAGCCTCACTTATTGTGTCTAACAACAACATAACAATTTACTAAACTTTTCAATTCTCCAGCTGGAATACTATAAACAAGGAAAAATTGACGACTTCATAAAAATACTGGAATCATCTAGGACAGATGCAAATACAAATTACCGAGATTACGAGAAGGATCAAATGCGTGCTTTAGACATGCTCGCTGCTTACTATGTCCAAAAAGCCAATAAAGAGAAAAACAAAGATCGCAGGAGAGAGTTGTTTACCAAAGCCACCTTACTTTACACAACAGCAGATAAAATCATCATGTACGATCAAGTAAGCTTTGTTTTAACAATATCCTATAATTTTTACTGATCCTTATTATTCGTAGAACCATCTACTGGGTCGAGCTTATTTCTGCTTGTTGGAAGGAGACAAAATGGAACAGGCCGATGCTCAGTTCAACTTTGTCTTGAACCAATCGCAAAATAACATCCCTTCACTGCTGGGTAAAGCTTGCATAGCATATAATAGGAAAGACTACAGAGCCGCCTTGGCGTTTTATAAGAAGGCTTTGAGGACGAATCCCAATTGTCCTGCAGCCGTGCGGTTAGGTATGGGCCATTGTTTCATAAAACTTAATAATTTGGAAAAAGCTCGACTAGCGTTCGAGAGAGCTTTAGAGTTAGATCCGAAATGCGTGGGCGCTTTAGTAGGTTTAGCAATACTGAAATTAAATTTGCAACAACCCGAGTCGATCAAGGCCGGAGTGCAAATGTTATCCAAAGCCTACAACATCGAATCGTCAGATCCGATGGTGTTGAACCACTTAGCCAATCATTTTTTCTTCAAAAAAGTAAGTCGTATTTTACTGTTTGTAATAGGTTAAAATAATTCCGCTTTCCGATGAATTTTAGGATTACAATAAAGTGCAACATTTGGCTTTGCACGCATTTCACAACACAGAAAACGAAGCCATGAGAGCTGAAAGTTGTTACCAATTAGCCCGATCGTTTCAAGTCCAAGGCGACTACGATCAAGCCTTTCAATATTACTATCAAGCCACCCAATTTTCTCCAGCTTCGTTCGTGCTACCCCATTTCGGCTTAGGGCAAATGTACATTTACAGAGGAGACACAGAAAACGTAAGTTTAACAATAACAACCATTAACTATTGAATAACGCGTTTCTATAGGCGGCACAATGTTTCGAAAAAGTACTCAAAGCCCAACCGGGAAACTACGAGACGATGAAAATTTTGGGTTCGTTGTACGCCAACTCGACATCGCAATCGAAAAGGGACATCGCCAAAGTCCATTTAAAGAAGGTTACCGACCAATTCCCCGAGGACATCGAGGCGTGGATCGAACTGGCCCAAATACTCGAACAAAGCGACTTACAGGCCTCTCTCAACGCCTACGAAATGGCGATGCAGCTGCTGAAGAAGAACGTACAGTCCGAAATACCGGTGGAGATTTTGAACAACGTCGGCGCCTTGCAGTATCGGTGAGTCGACCGTTTCAAACCTAGCGTGCTCGATTTTAATTCGTTGCGTTTACCGCAGTTTGGGTAATCTCGAAGAGGCGAAAAAGAACATCGAAAAGGCTATAAACAGGGCGAACAACGAAGCTACGCACGATCCACAGTATTACAACTCGGTATCCGTAACGATGACCTACAATTTGGCGCGTCTGAACGAAGCCACTTGCCTATTCGACAAAGCAGAAAAACTCTACAAGGACATTTTGAAGGAGCACCCGAATTACGTCGATTGCTATTTACGATTGGGTTGCATGGCGAGAGACAAAGGACATTTCTACGACGCTTCGGACTGGTTCAAGGAAGCCCTGAGGATCGATACCGAACATCCCGACGCCTGGTCCTTGCTGGGGAACCTCCATTTGGCCAAGCAGGAGTGGGGACCCGGCCAGAAGAAATACGAACGAATTTTGAAAGTAAGCGCTCGCCGATTATCCCGTTCAAACGAATCATTTGAAGTTTTTTCGCAGAACCCTTCGACGTCCCAAGACGCCTATTCGCTCATCGCCCTCGGCAACGTTTGGCTGCAGACCCTGCACCAGCCGACGAAGGACAAGGAGCGCATGAAGAGGCACCAGGACCGCGCGTTGAACCTCTACAAGCAAGTGCTGAAAATCGATCCGAAGAACATCTTCGCCGCGAACGGCGTCGGCGCCGTGTTGGCCCACAAGAACGCCGTCAACGAGGCCCGCGACATATTCGCCCAAGTCAGGGAAGCCACCGCGGACTTCTCCGACGTCTGGCTGAACATCGCCCACGTCTACGTCGAACAGAAACAATTCGTCAGCGCCATTCAGATGGTTCGTTTTTTTCGAAAACTTCCATCGTCGCACGACGGACTCACGCTTTTGTTGATTACAGTACGAAAATTGCCTGAGAAAATTCTACAAATTCAGCAACGTCGAAGTGCTGCAGTATTTAGCGAGGGCCTATTTCAAAGCCAACAAATTCAAAGATGCTAAAATGGTGTTACTTAAAGCCAGAAGAGTCGCTCCACAGGACACTATATTACTCTACAACATCGCTTTAGTTCTCCAAAGATTAGCAACGGTTATTCTCAAAGATGAAAAATCGACTTTATCGACCGTATTGCAAGCCGTGCACGAATTGGGTTTATCTCTAAAGTAAGTACTCACTAGCACCACTTAAAAAATTGTTACTACAATCGAATTTATACGTAGATACTTCAATTACTTGGTGAAATTGGCCGACAAGCAACGCTACGACGTGGCGATGGCGGAACTGGAGGCGAGACAGTGCAAAGATCTCCTGTCGCAAGCGCAGTACCACGTGGCGCGAGCGCGCCGCGTCGACGAGGAGGAGCGCACGATACGCAGGAAGCAAGAGGAGGAGCGCGCCGCCTTCAAGCAGCGCCAAATCGAAGAGCAGAAGAAGCTCGAGGAGTTCCAGCGGCTCAACAAGGAGCAGCTGCTGCAGAAGCGGCAGGAGTACAAAGAGAAGACCAAAAACGCCATCATATTCACGGAGATGCCGTCGGAGAAGCGCGCCAAGACGAAGGGCCGCGGCCGCGGCGACGTCCTGTCCGATTCGGGCAGCGATCGCGAGAACGTCGAGGGCGCCGCGCCGAGCGAGAGGCGGGAGCGCGGCCGCGGCAAGAGGCGCTTCGAGGGCGAGCGCCGGAGGAAGGGCAAAGGTCGCAAGCCGAAGGACAATCGCAGCGACGACGATTCGGAGGAGCCCGGTCGCAAGCGGCACAGGAAGAAGAAGGACCCGAGATCGAGGAAGGACGAAGGGCTCAGCGCCAAGCAGAAGAGCCGGATCGTTTCTAAAGCGACTATATCGTCTAGCGACGATGATACCGATAACGAGGATCGCAAGTTGGTCGTGGCGAGCGGCGAGGAGAGCGACGCGGGCGGTAGCGGCAGGAGAAAGCGCAAGATATCGTCGTCGTCGGGATCGGGCTCGGATAGATCGAGGTCGAAGAGCGGGTCGCGATCCAGGTCCGGTTCGAAGAGCGATTCGAGGTCTAGATCGAGGTCTAAGAGCGGATCGCGTTCGAGGTCTAGATCGAAGAGCGGGTCCAGGTCGCGTTCGAGATCGAAGAGCGGATCGCGATCGAGATCCAGATCGAAGAGCGGGTCGAGATCGAGGTCGAGGTCTAGATCGAAGAGCGGATCTCGATCGCGTTCGAGATCGAAGAGCGGGTCCAGGTCGCGGTCGAGATCTAAGAGCGGATCGCGGTCGAGATCGAAAAGTGGATCGAGATCTCGGTCCGGGAGCGGTTCTAGATCGCATTCGAGATCGTCTAGGTCCCGCAGCGGATCGAGATCCAGGTCCGAGGGCGGTTCTAGGTCTCCTTCGAGGTCTAGGTCGAAGAGCAAGTGAAATAAATAATTGTGTAATAACAAATAAAAACTTATTAATATAAAAATCATTTATAAAGGCGTTTTAATCTATTAGTTCGTCGACGTTTAACTTGTGAGCATTTACATACGAAATTTTCATTTTTAAACCTCTTTGCGAACTGACGGTATTTCTTCAACCAGTCGCAATACATGATTATCACATCCGAAATCAAGGTAACTATATAGGCAATTTTTATAAAAACAAGCATCTTTTTATATAACAAATTGCCCATATAAATCACTATTACGTCTTTTAATGTAAAGGCACTCATTGTTGTTAGTTAAAAAATTAAAAAAATATAATAGTTCCACTTTATGCAATATCGGCGAAAACAACTATTTAAAAGTAATAAAAGTTTACTTACTTGAACGCAAATCACTTTTAATTTTGCGAAAAGTTATTTGAAAAGAAAAATTACACAATATAATTACACTTATGTCAAAATAAATAAAAATCGAGACAAACGCGCCGCCAACGTGATAATCGAAAGGGAACTAATTATGACACATTCTCGTTTTATCAAGTAGTCGACCAAATTCGATTCCTTCGCGCTGATGCCGCCTTGATTTTAAAATACAATAAGAAGATTTGACAGGAACTTTTATTTTCGCCGATATTATGAATTCATAGATCCATCAATAAATAAAACTCAAAAATATTGCACTTTTGATAAAAAGTCCTGCCTAAAGCTAGATTCCAAAGAACTTGTATTTATTCAAAAGATTTTTGAAATTTATATGAAATATTCGTTGAATAATGTTGAGGTGATGATATTGTGAGAACAATGGATATTAGTGAAAAAAGTGATAATATTAAATATATTTAGCTAAACTAGGATTTCTAGATACAAGTAATCTCTTAAGCAGGGCTTTTATTAGACTTTTCTTAAAAATAAAAAACATTTTTGACATCGAGTCACTCCTACATAAAGCGGAACAGTACAACACTAATAATACATGTATATTTTTCATGTCGTTAAAATTACATTAAAATTTAAAGAGCGAAATCAATACCATTACCAAATGTGGGTTAGTGATGTGTAATAAATTGGAAGTTACAATAAGGAAGTGATGACTCTCGTCAAATCTAAGATTAATCGAATAAATAATTGATGTATAGGTACTGGCACAGTAATTTTACTCGTGATGATCGATCCTCAACTCCTACAAAAACAAGCAACATTTATGTCAACGTGCATGAAAACCATTATCGATGCTTACGTTATTTTCTTGTGTGCTTCTAATTTGCAAGTGACATAAGGGTTTTGCAATATCCGGGGTGTGGTTTCCATAACGCGCAACAGCAAATCGTCCAAATAGTCTTCCAGATCTTTCAGCTTCTTCTTCTGCTTCTCCAAGTCGGTCTGGCTATCGACCAAAGCCAAAATCAAATCCTGCAAACAAAGCTGTAACTCTCGACAAATCTCGATTAATTTCGTGCGGTTACTTCTCTGGTTTTGCCCTCGAATTTTTGTAGCAATTCGTTTGAGACGCGACTGTTTTGGACAGGCGTTTTCGATTCGTTCTCTCCTCCTATAATGATTCGTTCACTTGCATTACTACTAGGCTTACTCTGATCGTGGTTAAATTCAGATTTATCTAAAACACATTCTACTTGCAACTACAATAGGGAGACTCGTACAACAAGCAATAGCACATCCTAATTAAATCCAATTAGAAATAATTTAATACACTGCTTCTGGCTAAAAATGGTATAAACACAAACCTTTTCTGAAGTTCTTCAGCTTCGAAAACATCCCCTCTTTTACTTCCTTTCGGGGAGTTTCCGGCGATTTATTGGATTTCAAGCTGATGGTATCCAATTTGCTCAACGGAACATCCAGCAATTCCGTCGGTTCTTCTTCTATTTGTGATGCTACTTTCGAAGAATCCCACGACCTGCGGTTCAGGGACTCCGTACTGCCTGGTCTTAGAGTAGCTACAAAATAAACGCTTGTTAAACAAGATAATATTGCGGGGGAAACTTCAACTTTACGTCTCGGTTTATTCCCAATTAATTTAGACTCCCACTCGTCTTGCGAATGAGACTTTTGCTCTAATCGAGGTGGTTTCACGGGTGGGATGTTGAGAGAACCTTTTCGATTAACATCGGACGGTATAACATTCTCTACTGAAGGGGTTTTTAAACTAGGAGATGCTGTTCTGTTGTTGGAAGCCGTTTGATTCAACGAACTCGCTGAACTCTTGTGCGACAGATCGTCCAGCTACAAAATAACCGTAGTAATTAGCATTTAAAATCTAGTAATGTATCGCTTACAGTAAAATCATCATCATCACTGACAACACCAGGATCAGCGTCTTCGAACGACTGCTTGCTCTTAAATCTATCCTCGCCGTTTCTCATCGTCAGACTCCCGACGCTCCCGATGGAAGATCCGTCGTCGCTCCCGCCTTTTTTCTTGCCTTTGAAGTTCATCTTGGTGCCGATGGATTTGGCGAATTTCTTGATGCCCTTCCGCTTTTCGGCGCTGCCCAGGCTCATCAGGCTGCCGCCGACCGATTGGGCAACGTGGGACAGCTGCCCGATGGAGGACCGGTGCTTCTCCTTCTTGTTCAGGCTCGTCAAACTGCCCGATTTCACGGTGAATCCGATTCGAACCTCCAACTGGCCGCGCTCCTTGTTCTTGGAGGATTTTCCTGGAAGCAGGCTCGAGGTGAATGAGGATAAGGCGATGATTGATGGTGTATTGTACCTGGTTTGCTTTGCAGAGTGAACCATTTATTTTTGGGCCTTTCGTACACGTCTAAAGTGTTTAAAGGGATTGTTACGCGACCTAGGAATTCGTCGATGCCGAGGTAATTGTGATGTAAAACAGTTAAAATTATTTCAGCGGTGTTTCCTTGATCGGGTATCGGGCTAAAAATAAAAAATTGGGATTTTTTTATGGGCATAATCCTTGTTTTTCTGGCTCGATGGAGTGATATGAAAAAACCGTTACTGGAATTAACAACAAACATAATACTTCCTAAAAGCCAGAATATTTCAATAACAAAATTGCAATCAAATAAGTCACGTACAACAGTATATAAGCTTATCTGTTTGTAACAATTCTAAAAATTACCATTATGTTTGTTAATTAGTAGGTAACATAAGGAGATAAGGAGTTGAAAGTTTTCAAAATTAGAAATAACGGACGTGAATATAACCAAAGTAATGTTACTGAAAATGCTTAAAATTACATGCTCATGAAACAGAAATATGTAAAACATTTTAATGTGATTAATCGCAAAAAATTGCAAATAACGACATTTAAAAAAGAAATTAGTATTGATTTTTTTTTGAATAATGCAGATAATTTGCCTTTTGATTAATATTAACTACAGTAATCAACACAAATTATTAATCACTGCAATATTTAGTATTTACTGAAATTGACCTTAGCGCTTAATGCCGATGACACCAAATAATAAATAATATTCTTGATAATGTTTGTTAATGAAAAACAATTTTTTCAAACTAAACAGCCCTTTATGCTTAATTATAATCAAGTTTACATTAATATCACAGTTTATATTTTTATATAAATGCAGAAAAAATAAAAAAAAAATAAGAAACATATAAAACTTCAATTTACAATGTTTAACAATGTAACAATGTTAAAAGTGTTGTTGTTGTTGGGTAGGTACATAATTCACTTCCTTTTATGAGAGTTAAAGTTAAGATAGAATGATTACACCTATTATATTATTTTTATGAATGAAATAATATGATTCAAGTACAAGTAAATCTTCAATTGGATTCAAAAGTACCGATGCAAAATGGGTTCAGGTACTTTGATGATATGAGGAATCGAAGCAAAATATTTACAGAGAATGTCAAGGTTGATATTTCGTATTATTGGAAATTGATTTTGTAAGACTTTCATCTCTTATCAAATTAATGAGCGATTTGCGTATTTTCCAAACTTTAATAACAAGAAATTTTATAAAGTTTGCATTTTAGTTGATATTTTTTCCAAAACTAAATGCTTAGAAATATCAATTTTCCATGTAAAATTTAACCAACACTTATGTAAACATCATAAATTAATCAGATAAAATTAGAAAAAAAAATTCCAAGTAATTGGCATTGAATTGTAAAAAGATTATCGTATATTTAATAATGATTCATTTGAAAGGTGCAGTTCATAAGCTAGGTAAATAGGTCAATTTGTTACTTACAGTTCACATTCTTCGTGCCATTCAACTTGTTGTGCAGATTTTTCTTTCACCGATGTTTGATATTTCGTTTTTCCCAGGGCAATAGTTACGAAGCAGTCGTTAGTGTTATTTTTGCCTTTCAACAGCAATTTTTCTGCCTTTTGAACTAAAAATAAATAAAGTTCATTTTTTGAGGTACAACTTTCAAATCAACATTCAATATTTACCAGTCACTTGAACATGGGTGGGCATCCACATCTTTGTCTCCTTACTAATAAATAATTTAGAGAGAATATCCTACTTAAATTAGTACTATTTAATGGCGAAAGAATGTTGCAAATTGCAAAGATTTACCTAGCACACTCAGACGAGATAACAAGTCAACAAGTAGAAAATACGCAACCACAAACACTGATTTGAATATAATTTAAAATTTTACTAATTTACAACCAATATAAATATAAAAAACTACTTAAAACTATTATATCTTTAATCTGACACATTTCTGTTTTCAAATAACTGTGATTATTGTTAACGCAATGACACTTCCTCGAATTTATCTAGCTTTGTTCGTTTATTCAACTCTACTGTACTTCAGAGTAACACTCGCACATGACACATGACAAATCAAAAATCTCCATAGCATTTTTTAAATGCAAATAAATATTAAATAGCAAAGTAGCTGACAAATAAACTACCTCAAATTCCGAATAGTCATTCTTTTCGCATAATTATAAATAAAATATGTTCCAAAATAAATCGGTTGCGTACGCACTACCACTCGCTGTCAATGTCAACACTGTCACTGTCACTTTCGTCTGTCATAACAAAAAATTTATATCAATTGGACCTTTTCCGAAAAGTACCAAGTGGAAACTTTATAGAAAATGCCTAAAAAATTCGCAACGGAAAATACAAAAGCGGTCGCGGCAAGGGACCGAAAGAAGCAGGCCAAAGATGACGCAGCTGTTAAGAAACAAAAAGAAGTAGAGGATGCGTATTGGAAAGACGACGACAAGCAAGTGCAAAAGAAACAACAACGAAAGGTAAGACGACTTTTTATTTATCAAAAGAAAGTTTTAATAAGATGGATAATCATGTAGGAGGCTGAGGAGAAGAAGAAGCAAGAGGCGCTTCTACGTAAGGCAGAAGCGAAAGCCCTGCTGGAGAGAGAAATGAGCGAAGCCTCCAAGAAAGCAGCAAAATCAGCGCCACCTCCGAAAATTACGAGAGCTCAAATTAGCACTAAAACAACTCAATCGGCCAAGCCTGATAAAGAGGAGAAGAAAATTGAAACTCATTTGGATGCTCCGTTAGTAGAAAACATCAATAGGCTACAAATTGAAGGAGAGGAAGCTAGGACAGTAGATGAAGCTCTCGTTATATTGGGGTATACTTACCTTACTATGTTTCCTTTGAGCCAGTATTATATTTTTTTATTTTGCAGTAATAAGGATGATGCAGATAAGCACCCTGAGAAGAGAATGAAAGCTGCTTACACTGCCTATGAAGAAAGAAGGCTTAAAGAACTCAAAGAGGAAAATCCAAGTCTTAGATTATCTCAATTGAAGCAAATGATTTTCAAAGAATGGCAAAAATCGCCGGAGAATCCACTTAACCAGCAATAACAGATTTTTACTCGTTATACACTTCTAACTTGTTATAGAACTTGCCTCAGATAAATTTAAAATTTACTGACCATTTGTAAAATCACGAATGTTGTATTGTTCTTGAATTTTTTTATAAATATTTATTGATATCATGAAGTTGTGACTGAGAAACAAAGAGTGATTAGTAAAAACGATACATTATTCTGTATGTTTTATTAAGAACTGATATGAACATCAAAGTAGAATAATTTATGGTCATATTGGCTCAATATACTGTATATTTCGCGATTAAGGCTATTTAAATGAAAATAATGCGAATAGTATTAAATTTTTAATCACATAGAAATATATATAAACGCACAAAACATTATTATAATACAATTGTATGTGTGTATATATATACGCAATATACAAGTATAAAATGTACGATACTTAGAAATTACAAAAAATGAAAAATATGTTCGTCAACTTTTTATTTATATTTTTTTCCTCAGGTACTAAATAAAATATGAATTGATAATTAGTGGTAATATTGCATCAGTATTGCATACAAGACGGCTGTATATAAAATACGATTATTTAGTAAACGACCAATTTAAAAATATCTTATTTGCATCGTGAATTGGCACATATTATGGACAGAACGAGGACAACCCTCAAAAACGCCGAAAAAATTATTAGTATCTGATACGTTAAATGGAAGTATAATATTGGACAAATTCCTTAAAACCTACGTTATTACTTTAAAGCGTACTCGCCTGAGCATCCTGTCATTATTTTCTATAAATCATCGTCACCTATACATTCGAACGCGTGATTTTCGATGAACTCCCGCCCGTTTTTAAACGACACGCTGGAGAATTTTTCTTGCAATTTCTTTATCGAAAACGACTCTTGATATTTCGGTTCCGGGACGTCGTCCACCTGAAAATAAAATCGATTTATAACAATCTGCAGGGTCATCGATCACTGATAAAGCCTGTCTATTTTCTGACCTCGTTATCTATATTTACATTCTCAATGGATATTCTATGGCTGGAACCATCTCGTTTCATATAAGACCAATTATTGCCTTTTACATTAGGCGTCGTCCGTCTCTTGATATCGTTTTTCTTCATGAGCAATTCATCGACGAGAGATTGCAGGCAAACAGACATCAGTATTGCTTGTTCACTTGATATGGTTATCCACTGTAATTTATCTTTCGACATTAGATATTCGAAAGATAATTCTAATGTTGAGCTCGAATTCGATCGGCTGTTAGCCGGCATCTCTTGTTTATTCTGAAAAAAAAAACAAACACGAAGATTACATTAATGTTACGATAAGGTCATTTCGAAGCTTACGTGAGTGGCTGTGATTCTCCAACATCTCATTCTAGTCACTTTAAAGCTACCTTCTTTGACGAATTGACCGCTGCCGATAATTCTCATGCTCAGCTCCTGATCCCCGATGGCAATCAGGACTTTCGTTTGGGACTTGGGGTAATCACAGTAACACGGCAAGAATTGTAAAAATCCGTAATACTTCAGTTTTTGAGCGAATTCAATGTATTCTTTCTTGGCCAAAGTCACTTGCAAAGCCGTCAGCTTAGATTTGGCATCTTTGTTGGCTAACACCCAGCCTTTTTCGATTTCTGTTACGGCTTGTATGTACAATAAATTTAGCGATACTGGATCGTTCATTAGTTCAAAGTCGTAAGCCGAATCCCAATAACTGCAAACAATAATTCTAGTAACTGGATAAATGCGTTATTCAATGAATATACCTCTTTCTCAATAAAATTTTGTTGGCATCCTTCAGAGATTTGTGAGACATATAAGGCGACTCGAAATCCAATAATTTCCGTAAAATAATTATTTCTCCACTATTATCTTTTTTAACTAGGTACAAAGAGAAATATTGCAAATATTCTAATGGTAAGTTGATATATTTGAAGGCTTTTGCAAGTACCTGTTCAGTCCTATCATAGGTCGATACCCATACGGGTATTTGATAATTGTTCATAGTGTAAATGTCTAATGTTATGTCTTGTTTTTTCTCACATGTTGTCTCTTGCTGTGCCGAGAGTAGGAAACCTACTATTAACTCGGATGACACAAGTTTCAAATCCTGACCAACTAAAAATTAAGTACTGTTGAAATCTACTAATCATCATAGAGCTCTATGAGCTATAAGAATTAGTAATATAACATGCAATCAAAAGTGTATTACCAAAGTTTCGTAATCAAGGTTAAATAATTATTATTGATTAACATAAAAGACATCCACATTAATATTCAATATAGTACTTATTAATATTCAACGAGAAAAAGTGAATATGATTATCTATTAATGACATAGGAATGACAAATAAGTCTGCATCATATAAGATTAGGGAGAGTGACTTGATTAATTTTGATTTGGACACTTCCTGTTTAAAATAAAAGAACAAAAATGTCTTACTTGTTTGTATGTACTTTTCCAGCAAGACTCTCCTCTCCTCCAATTGAGATCCGGTGAGAGGTAGCAGTTTTTTTGGAGGAAAACTAGGCACATATTCATTACCAAATTCTTTCTTCAGTTGCTCATTTAAATTGTGAAGTTGCTTGTAGCGCACTGTACAATGAAATACTCCATTTATATGAATATTATATCCCTGGAAAGAAACATGTTTATTATGTTTACAACACAACAAATTGTCACATACAATAAAGGTTGACCCATTTCCTTCGTTTAATTCTTGTGTATCCGGAATTGAAAAATGCATTTTTTGCAAAATATTATTCCATTAATTTAAAAACATCAAATTGTGTATAAACATAACAAATAACTTTAAAACATTTAAAAACATCACATCTAACAGAGAAATATATAACCATTATATTTTCCCATACTGTTGTTGACTTGTTTCTTGTTGACAAAAAAAATGTCAAATTGTAAGGATAACCAGATAGAGATAGGAAATAGAAAACAAACAGAGATTCATCGATTACAAATTTTGACATGTACGTTTTGTTGAATACTCGCTCTCCTTTCTTATTTATATGCTTGCTTTGTCCAACACACGTCAATTTAAATGTCACTGTCAATTGTCAATGTATCTAACGTCCAAAAAGTTTGAACATATTTACAAAACATAAATAATGGAAAAGACTGAGAACTCTATCATTAAATCTTATTCCAACGCTAAAAACATATCTAGTGAGTCTTTTATGTAATTCTAATAACTTATTTTACGCTTGAACAGATTTTTCACTATAAAATATTAACTTACTACTTTTTTACATTTCAGATTCATTGGAGGAAACAATTATAGGCCTGAAGGAAACAAAAAAGCAATTAGATGTAAAATTTAATAAAGATGAAATTATCGGTCATAGCCAGAATAAACCGACATGTATCCATGTGGGGAAGAGCTGTGCTAAATTACTAGTAGAATATTGTGAAATTGGAAATGAAACATTTCAACAGAGTATAGAGACAAGTCAGCAGGTAAAAAACATCTAATATACATCAAACATAATTATACATTGAATTATTTGTAGGCTGTTGATAAAGGTCCAATTTTAGAGTCTATACGATGCCTGAAAAGTCATATTAAAGAAACTGATGTATTACTAAGGTACTTTAACATATCTTTAAGGGGAATGGATTTAATAAAACAATCAAAAACGGAGGCTGTTAATGAAGTTGAAAGTAATCATATATATATTTTTAGAAATATTTTTTCTTAGTCTATTTTTTATTTTAGGTATAACTATGACCCCAAGTACATCATCAAGTGTGTTGAGTGATGTATCCAGTGTTAACTCGTCAGTTAATTTTAATGATTTTATTAAAGGTCCCAAGAAAGAAACTTCTTCTCCGCGTGTCATGAAGAATTAATTACAATTTTGGAAATCTTAAACTTATGTTCATAAAATTTAATTATTGGTTTGATTCAGACAAATTTTTACAAAAGGTTTCTTATATTGACTAAAATTACAATTCTATTCTTGGTTATCATAGTCACATTTGTAGTAATATTCTTCTTGTCCTACAAAAGTATGTGATTTATAAATTTGTATGAAATATATTATAAAATAAACCTTACATTTGTCATTAGACCTTGAATAGCTAGAACTTTTGTAAGAGCTGCTGGAGTGACGAGAGCTTGATTTAGTAGAACTCTTACTAGTAGAACTTTGACTGCTAGTCGATACTTTCATTTTTTTGTTTGTTTCCTACAACATTAGTATATAATTCATATTCATGTTATTGAATTGGAAACTTACTTTGCAGGTTAAACAAATCCAATTCTCAATGGAGTCCTCTGTAACGACAGGCTTATGGCATTCTTGATGATACAGCGAATGGCAATCAGAGCATTCCACAAGCCTATTTCTAGCTCCTACGTCCATTCCACTTAAAAATAATTTAACAATTAGATGTTCATTTAAATTGTGGTTGTTACATACTTGCAGATGACACACATCAGGTCCTCTTTTAGCAGGTCCAATTCTAATTCGTTATCAGAATTTGAGCCTTTACTTTCCTCGAACCCGGTTGTAACTAACGATGAAAAATTCTCATCCCTTATAGGCAAACAAGGCTGCACCAAATCCGTATAATCCTTAATAACACCCAGTTTACTTTTAATTACTTCTTCCAAGACATATTGCAGAGGTACAGGGTCTCCTCTTCTTAATTTGGAACTAGCATGTAAATAACTTACGCATTTTGTAAAATGAGAATCTATTTCATTTATCGACATCGTGTTTCAATTCAAATAATATTCAATCTAGAAATTTTGTTGTGAATTTTTCTTGTTTTGATTCATTGTCAAATGTCAATATATCTGACAATCTTCGGATTTTTAATGGCCTTCACCCATGGAGTAATCCGATGCATGTTGCACAGCGCACAATCCATTTAAAATTGAAAATGTAAATAAAGTGAATATTTTATGTAAACAAAATACGGTAGAAAGTGTTACAACTAACCGGGCAAACATTTATTTTTAGTTTCAATTTCTTTGTAACGTTATAATGAACTAATTCAAGTAAATATAAAATAAATAAAATCATAAAGCGCATTAAAAGTAAGTGAATTTAGGCGATTTTTAGGTTATTTGCTTTAGTAATGTGCTGGAAGATAAGTTGCAAAGAAAAGCTTTTTTTAGGCATTAGTTTTGCTTTGCATTGTAACAATAATACGCAATGGCTTCTTTAATCTACTATAAAATACCACAAGAGGAATGAAGCTTATACTACCTATGGTATGATTCATATGTCTATAGAATTCTTAGATTTGATAATAATTATTACGCATTGTTTCTCTGCTTTCTTAATTGTACTTTTTCTCTTAATCTTTCATTGTGTCTGCTGGTTCTGACTTGACTTTTGAATTTTAAGCATGTATTGGAAATATTCTGTGATGTGGACATTCATACTATTGGTTTTAATATTCAATGTTGCTATTGTAATATCAAGAAACGATCCTAAGCATGATCCGAGAAGCAATGGAGACCTTGCACTGTGGATAGATGAAAAAACAGTCAAAATGTTTAGCGGTATGTATTTTATTTATTACGTGAACCATTCGATAAAATTTTTATTTTATTTTTAGGAATATCGATGGAAATTTACGCTATAGTCAACGGAAACGTTCTAGCGTACATTTTAGATCCGAACTTCGAGAAATACCTGCCTGTCATCCCTTCCGAGGTGACCTACGTGAATTTCACCTGGAAAGCCGGCAACAAGAAATACTACTACCATTTCGACAGGCTCCAATCGTACGATCAAAGCATCCTCGAGGCACCCGTAATATCCATCAAAACGAAGGGCAGAGTACCGAGGCGCCCTAAAGAGTTCAGCATCTTCTTACCTTGCCTAGGCAACAGCTCGGGCATCGCTAAATTCGGCATAGGGCTGCTCATCGAAAGCCGAAAGGGCAAACCGTTGAACGGTACACCTCTGAGACTCAAGCTGAAAAAAGAATGCGCACAAAGAAGTAAGCACTGCCGCAATTTTAACGCGAAATTCTAATTAATTTTACGTAATCAACCAGATCCCGATCCAGAATGCGATAAGAAATGCGCGAATCAAGGACGATGCAACCACGAAAAGATCTGCCAGTGCCCCGAAGGCTACATGGGGCCCTACTGTCGAACTGCCTTGTGCTACCCACAATGCATGAACGGGGGTAATTGCACATCACCCGGTATATGCAGCTGCCCGCCCGGCTTCCAAGGAAGGCACTGCGAAGGAGGTGCTCCGGACAATCCACCAAAACTACCACATTAAATTTACACCAACTCATTTTTTTATAGGAATTTGCGGTCAAAAGTGCCTCAACGGAGGGAAGTGCATACAGAAAGACACCTGCGAATGTTCCAAAGGCTACTACGGTCCCCATTGCGAATATTGTAAGTACTTACATGAATATATTACACGGAGTAATCGGGTAATTTTCCAGCTCGATGTATTATACCCTGCTTGAACGGGGGCAAATGCAAAGCTGTGAACAAATGCCGGTGCCCGAGGGGCTTCAGGGGCGACCACTGCGAAATCGGCAGAGCGAAACCGGCGAGGAGTAATTGCCAATTGGCTTGCAAGCACGGTACTTGCGTCGATGAGTCTTGCGTGTGCGATCCGGGATGGTACGGCCGGTTGTGTCACCATAGTAAGTTGTGTTAAACGAGCTTTAAGAGCTTTTTAAAGGTACATTTACATTCAATTACGCGCGTGCTTGAGTTTGAAATTTGGTCCGCTTGACAATGACAAATGACATTGGCATGTGTCTATTTACATTAGGAGTTTTAAGCTTAAAACAAAATTAAAATTAAAATATAAATAAATGTAAAAAAACACATAACAATGTTCGTAGAAAATGTATCATTGAAATAGGTAATGATGCTTATTGTTTTTTTTTTTTTTTTTTTTTAGTGATTATGTGAGAAGAATTTAACGTTCTGTGAGTATTTCTCTGACAGTTATTTTCTATTATTCTGCTATTTTATAATGTGTTGGTTATCATCAACATGGAAGCTTTTGTTATTAATGATTATTGGGTTATGTTCTACAATTTCACTTTTCGTTTTAGTTTTTCGAAGCAATTTTTCATACTTTTCGCATTGCGTATTGTTTTTCTTTATAAAGTTTATCACAACTGTCAAATCCAAAGCAATTAACGCTAGTATTTTGTGCCAAAATATTTTTGTATACATTTTTACGACTATTTAAGAATATATGATTTTCGACAAGTTGAAATTTTATTTGATTTAATAATAAATGTTTCAACAAAAGCGCATTTTTATTTATCTATTATCCACATCTAAGCGTCGACAAATACCTTTAAAAAATACTGTTAACGTAGTAACTCTCTGGTATGTAAAAAAGATTAATCTAAATTGCGTTTATGGTAGTTCCGGCGCATTTTCACGAAATTACCGAAAACCGGTAAGAATCGGGTGAAATGTAAAGCGCGAAAGGAAATTCACACCACAAAAATGCCTACTTATCACCTCGCCTTTCAGGCCGGCCTGAATTATTGCGCGGAATTAGGGCTCCTTTCCTAACTGTATTTATCTATTTTTATCCACATTTGGCAATTTCGAAGCGAAAAACCCGCTGGTTCAGCCAGGTCAGTATTGTTTACGTCGCCTGAATAATTTACAGCCATTTGAATTTCAAAATTTTCGAGGAACCGCCGAATTAAATTCCATTGCGCCACCGGCAACTTGTATTGTGTTCAAATACGCACCGTAATTACCAATTTTATTGATGTGGGAAAACAATTATTAAAAGCACTTCATTATCGTAATTATTTTTACGAGGTAATATTTTTTTTAAATTAGCCACATGAATATTTCTTTTTTGTAGATATAATGGTAATTATATAAAAATATACTGGATGTTCGAGCTCGTATCAATCAAAAATCGATTGATTTACGTAGCACATTTTTTTAGAGCGTACTAAAAACAACATGAAATGGATTTTTTTTGTTTTTTTTTTTATCATATCGCAATGTATTTGGTAATTAGAAATCCGATGACGCATGGCATTGTTTGCTTCATGTTAAATTAATACGTTAATGGCGAAAGATACATTCATGCATACTTAATGAGTGTCAACCGAAAAAAATACAATAAATCTGCAGATAATTTTCCGACGCAGGCATTTCTGTTCCACCCAAACATATTCTAAGCAACGGTTCCATCTCGATTTCGAGACTGCCACGACCGGCGTTAATAACACAATAAAATTTAATTATCGCCGAGTAGCCGTGAATCAGCGGTCCCGGGAACTTATTTATTTATTTATCCGATTGATAAATTTCGTCCGAATTAGCGGGGTGGCGGGTAGGCGGCGACGTTCGGCATACAATAATTTCTGATTCGTCAAATCCATTCGTACGATCGGACGAGCTCCACGCGGATGGCTAGATAAACGACCGTGAATCGTGAATCACCAAATCACCTATTCTGGCGAATTGGGGAGGCATTCGTAAACAATTTATTGTGTTTTTTTACGTCCGCACTTTGCTGGATATCACCTGATTCGGTAACCTGTTTAGCGTCGCACGGTTTTTTTTTTATTATTATGTGGCCAGCCCAATTATTTCGATGATAACGATCGGGCGCTCGTAAGTGTATAGGAGACGGCTGATAAGTAAATAAAAATAAAATAAATTGGTATTTACTATGCGTTATTTACACTTAATGAGTGATATGGCGTTTAGTTGTAAGTACCCCATACAGCGCTCGATGAGTTTCAAATTGTGATGATAAATGCTTGCATTTTTTATGAGTTAATTAGGTAAAAAATAATTCAATTAAAAATGAATTGAGTTTGTAAAGTAGTACCTATAATCGAATTAGGTTAAGTGAACAATTGTGGAACTTCGTGATGCACATTTTTTTATGATTATTTGACGAGTTTGTTTCTAATTGATCGATAAAATTACTTAAAAATTACTGGTCGTAAATATTAATTTAGAACCGCTCAAATCTAAACTTGGTATGGAAAAATAGTAAATTATGGAAAAATTTTTTCAGTCGTCAAAAATTCCATAAATTCCGCTTATCTTATTAATTAATAACCACCTGATTTCCGCGCGCATTTTTACCACTGCGCATTCGACTGTTGATGCTACACATCTTCACTTGCTAAGTAAAGATATACTGCTCCACAAAAGTTAAAGAAGTTCACAAATATTAATTTAAAAGTTACAGGTTTTTTGATCGCCAAATTTAGCACGAGTTGTAGAGGTAGGGAGAAAAAATCCACTCGGATATGAAAGAAAACATTTAATTTCGCATATTTGAAAATTTGGTGATCAGAGTCTGTAACTTTTAAAATAATCGGAAAATTTGCGAACTTTTGTGGAGCAGTTTATTTTTGCAGTGATGCAAAAATGAACTTGGTTTGTAAACTAACTTAGGAACTAGTCAAATGCGAGGTTATTATGAAGAAATTAGCTTTTTCTAATAGAACAGAGGTCGGGGTAGAGTAGCTATTGTGTTCCATATTACCCGTAACATATAATTTAAAAAAAATATGCTAGGATTAGTTTATTTTTAGTCATTCAGAAAAGTTGAGGTAACATTTTAGAGGCAGGTTACACCGATGCCAAAATTATGAAACCATTAGCGAACACCGGATAGTTATAAACGAATAAAAAAGAATTTGTACAAGGCGATCGTATCGAGAATACTTTCACCGGCATCGCGCACGTACAGATAAGAAATGCATATTCAAAACGGGATACGAGTACTCCACTTATACGGATGAATCGTGGCGTTTCTGAATGGACCCGCCGACAGAAAACGAAAAGTCAGGTATAACGCAACAACCGAGCGAAAGATAAAAGAATCGAGAAGAAAAAAATAACAGGCAGCAGAGTAGGTAAAGTGAAATTCAGCTAAGTTGAATACACCGCGTGTTGTTTCGCGCACAACATCATAAAAAGAAGCGACGTTTTCGATGCAAATAATAAATAATGAGTTACAAATACACCCCGACTCGACTTTCGCTGATATCGGGTATAGTGTGGATGGTTCGCCGGTCATACTTTTGGGGTAAAACCACGCCTGTCTCTCTAATAGTTTCATCTGTGCGCATTTTTAGAGCTGTATTCAACTCTGCTGAATTCATCTTTAGGTATAAGGTATGCGCGGTTACAAGAACCGCATACGTAGACGTTATACGTTAAAACGTATAGCCGTTCGTTATACCTTGTGGCTTTCGGAGAACATGGGCAGGCATGGTTCGGCGGTCTCCCATAGGCCGGGCCGGATCGTACGATGCGTACGGCAACCGGCAATTGGTGCACCTGCGGGGGCACGGTACCCGCGGCTCGACGTCGGCTTCGACGGCTCGGATATTCGCACTCCGATCTGATTAGGACTAGGATGCTTCGCCTACAAAAATCCTAGCACGACACGTGGGTAAATAGTATCGAGTGAAATTCGCCCGGGCGCACGACCGAGAGCGAATCGAACGGGTTGTAATCGAGTAGGTGAAAGGTGAGGATAAACGAGGGAGAAAAGGCGCACACCGCCTTTTTTTTTTCTTTAGCCGAATTTATCGCGCCGATATTGTACACTTACACTTTGTAATACTGTAGAGTATTAATAATAGGCGAAGGACGTTTTGCCGACGGACGCCTGCGCGCTATCCGGGCTATTCTTTTACCCGACGAAGGTGGGCCTTTCCTTTTGCTAGTAAAGCGAGTAGACGGACCGTCCGCTGTGAATTTGCTGGTCGACGAACGGAAAAATCGGTTATGTCTTAAACTAAACGGAACACGTGCGATACGGACCCTTTCATTGTAAAATGGTGTCGAGATTCAACGCGGTTTCGTCTGTTCTTGCGATTCTAATGTGGGTTTGTGTCAGTGCTTCCAGTGGTAACCAGGATTTTAACTTCGAACAGGGTAGGTTTATTTTTGTTGTATCTACATCTTTTTTTTATGCCATCGTATACCGATTTTTCGGGGTTGAGATCGAATTGTTGTTCGTTTACGTGCGACATTTGTTTACTTTCCCTACATAAGCGCCTAGTTTATTGCTCACCTCTACCTACTGCTTTTGCAACGTCAAATCAGGTGATACGAAACCGACTAGTCACAATCACACCACGCTGTTCGTAATTTACCGCTAATTTCGACTATTCATTCCGCGAATTCCTCGCGATTTTCTTCTCTAAATCCATACATTTCGTTTGCTCTTTTAGTCCATTTATTCACCTGCATGTCCGCTATCTGCTTTCGTTTCACATAAAACCATATTTACGGCTAGTTTTTGCATGTAATTCAATCCGTTTCCGCTTCTTTTACATACAACTTTTACTGATTTTTATGTTAAAATTTGGAAATAATCGCTGAGAAAATAGCCTGAATTTTAGCAGTATAACATTAGAAAAATTGTTCACCTTAATGTTGACTGAAAAATTACACTATTTCTCATAATTTTCATTCAAAAAAATTATATAACGTTACCACATTACATTTCTACTATTTTTAACATCATTTTTGAACCAAAAAATATAATTTTTACCTTTTTTCCAAACAAACAACTACAAAATTTAATTATTTACACATTTAATTCTAATTACTGCACTTGTTTACCTCCCATATATTTTTTTCTTCAATTATATATTAAATAGCAAGACAATAATAACGAATATACCTTCATAAATTTAAATTATACACTTTAGCTTATGTTCTAATTTATGATTTAAATTTGCTATAAAAATTGAATTATGAGTACCTGCACGGATTTTTTAATAAATCTATTTTTAAAACTAATTCCTGTTAATTGTTTGAACAAAAATGCTTTAATTGGAATATGTACTCGTATACTACACCAAGTATATCATATTCCGTTTTAATTACAAATTTTACACACTTGTTTTTATTTTCTGAGTAAATTAATAACAGCACGCCAAAAATGTTTTCATAACTCCAAAGATTGAAAAAAAAGTAGGAATAAATCGCAAATCCTCAAAAAAGTTTTCAATTATTAACGTTTTAAAATTTATATAATTATTCCCGCTAATTACTAAAAATTTAATAAACCAATCTATTTAATTCAATTTTTTGTTGTAATTGCTATTGTAAATTAAAAAAATCTATTTTAATTCAAATCCAACGTTCTTAATTAAATTTTTTTATGTTTCCTTTTTAATAAGTTGAACAATGAACGAAAGCCGAAATGTTTCCATTATTCAGTAATAATTCGGCGGGGAGCACTTAAAATTCTCGAATTAATTAAAAATATGCCTAATACATTGAAAATTATTCAATTTCTTCGATTCGTAAAAAACTAGCGATTTTTTTCTGGAGAATCTAATTCAAAAACTAATTTACTTAAATTAGCGCTTTGTGTTTCTTATCTTCCTGTCGCTGATTAATCCCGGTTACTTTAAAGTTACTTCTTTCAACATCGTAAATTACTTGATAATGCCAAAGTTTTGATGAATGAATTAAATAAGTGTAAGAATCCATTAATTGCGCTTTAATGGATTCTTATCGTTGGTTAATTTATTTGGATTTTTAACGTTTGTACGCTAAGCACTTAGCACATAAGGATCCTAAATATTTTTTAACTCTGCGGCAATGAAAATATTTTTTTTTATCAAAAAAGTAGTTTCTGCTAAATATTCATAATTCAAGTGTAATTATTTTTTGTCAGCAAAAAAAAACACAATTTGCATATAATCTACGTATTTCTATGTCGTTAATGAAAATTTCAATTGATAACAACTCTAATTGTTTTCATTTCGAATAATCGCCGAAAAATTAGTTAGTGTAATTTCATTAGTTTATTGAATTCGACGTTTCGAAAGATAATTAGTAAAGACTTTTTAATTAAAATAATCACCGTTCGAATTTGATAAAATAGAAATCATTTCCTCACTGATTAATAAAAAAAAGTTTAATGTAGAAATGCTGCAAACTAATTCGTTTAAATAATAAAATTCAACATTCTTTGCTGATTAAGTAAATTAAATTCCTTAAAATATTTAACAACCGTCTTTATTCTAAACTTTTATCTTTACATAAACTTTTCAATTACTTGTAAAGTTATAAACAGAGGAATTTTTCTATGTTGAATTATGTAGTTATTGTTTTTATATGTAAAAATTAAAAAAAAATGTTTTTGACTGTAAATGAGAAGGGAAGTAGCTAATTAGTGGAAGTATGCGGAATTAGAATGAAGATTACGGTAGAGATTAATACACAATCTATAAATCATTCAAACTGGTGTTTCCTTTAGTTCCGTTTTGATTTATTGCGCGATAAAAAAATATTTGATTTGGCTTGACTGACGGCCGAATAACAATAACAGCCACTGGAAATTTTTTAATCGCGTGAATTGTACATAAAGTCCCGATTCGCACTCGCGCTGGTGCACTTTTGTACATATGGGATATGTCAGAATTTATTTGAAATTTCCAACACGTAACCCCATTGAGCCATCCAGCATTTAGCCAGATCCCTGCTAGTTATTCACCGAGCGAAATTTCTAAGTGGAATTTGTACGGTTTGCAATGTTTGCATCAGAATGGAAACTAATGAACTTGTCAAGCTTCGCACAAATGCTGATTTCCCTATTTAAAAGGGCGCTTCCATCGAAACTATATTGCCGATAATTCCGCATAATTTCCAGATATTTTCGCGCAAAGCTGTAGCTAGGCAACATTAGAGAAAATCGATACTCCCGCACGCAATCACACGCGCTTTCGCCACATGATCTTCATCATTTCCGCAATTTTTATTCGCATGAATACCATCCGAATTAACGTGAATGGTTCACTACTTTTTGTGATTGCATTCGAATGGTACAGGGTTGATTTTTTGCGTTGCATTCTTGCAAATTACAGTTTAATATTAGTACAAGTTTGTTTGCGTTTTTGCAATTGTATTTCAAATCGAACAATTATCATATAATGCAGTTGGTATTTCTACAATATTGACATTGAAAGTTACTACGGCTAACTTGTCGAGTATTTATTTACCTTGATTGATTTTTAAATGAAACGTTGTCGTAAAACCCGTCGAGATAAATTTAATACGCATAGAGTGTTGTGCAGTCGATTTCGAAATTTTTGTAGTGGTTACTTATGTAATCGAAATCTTATCATCGGTCATATCAATCGATTTGTATCCGTTGATGAAACAATCGTTATCAATATAGCGTTGATATAAAATCTCCTCGAATGCAGCGTCGGAAATCGTATTTCGATTTTTCTATGTACTTAGTAGCCTCTCGCAGAGCGCGCGTTCTACGCAGCTGGTTTTACTCGTTCATTAATTTAGATAAGCAAGGCCAGCGTACCGAAAAGGCAATTGAATTTCTCACGTTTATCGTCACATTAACTGACTTAAACTAGTGACCTGGCGTCTACGATATTTATTATTTTAATTATGGTCTCCCTCATTCGCTGCACGATCCCCGCACCAGCAAAATTTACCTGTGAAAATAATTATTTACTCGTATATCTTTCAATTAAATATGGCTAGTTAATACTCCATTAAGCGCAGACTGTTATTTTCCAATACTTATTTTTCATTGTTATTTATAGAACTTGTTTCCGGAAGTATACAGGATGTTCCTAGATAAATTACCCAATTTTTTACTGGCTGCTCAGTAAGGGATTGATTTATAATGATACCTCGAAATTGAGTACAGAGATTAAACGAAAATGGAGTAAGTTCCCATTATTTATTTAATCTCGCTTTGTTCGGAGAAGCCGTAAAACAAAATTACCTATCCCGGTAATATATCGACTTAATCGAAGAGCTCCGTCGAGGGATATCCGAATTTAAAATTCCGAAAAAGAATCTCCTTCTCGCATTGACGGGCGCAATTTAGGTTCTCGAGTCGTGCAAGTTTTAATTTGAAAAAGTGCAGTGGAATTTTATTGAGCGTGAAAGAGCGGAAACGAAATGCATCTGTGTAAATTTCTTCGGGAATTCCCTCTAAGCGATCGGGATGGACGCACGAGTTAATAAACTCGAAAAAATGATTCGTTTTCGAGAATTTTAATGCGGAAGATGCGGCATTAAAGCGCATTTACGCGACTATGAAATTTAATTATACCATAAATTATGTAACAATGTCCTCGTAAAATGTGTTCTGATATAAACTGAATTAACAACAGGCCTATGACGAAGGATGTGATCAGGTGATTTTTAACAAGGTTTGATTAATGTTTTTTTTATCATCAATTGTATTCCTTTTTTATGTAGTGACGCTATGAAATGTTTGTGTGTTTTGTCGCATAAATTAACGATTCGAAATTATTTATGTCGATTTGCAATCGCCCGAAGATTATATGTCGCCCATTATTGTTGCAAATGGTTATTTATTTAGTCAACTATCAATTACCTCTTTTTTATTTAGGCATTTGCCTGTGTAATAAAATCGCATCAAATTAGAGGAAATTCAAAAAGGATATCCGTTTTTCTGTATAAACAATAAGTTACAGGTACATGTAATTCTAGTTGAATTGTAAATTGTTAAATAATTCCCCAAATTTAACTAACAATTAACTAAATACAAACCTAGAAATAGTCGCAAAGTATGATGAACTTATAATTATGCACATTTCAATCAGCAATTTTTTTATGAAACCTCATGCAACTAATGTGAATTATTTAAAGAATCTCTTTATTAAAATAAAGGAATTCTGTTACAATACCCAAGTGTTTAGTAAAAATCATATTATTCATTAATTTAAAAAGCGCAGATAGAAAAGTGCAATGGAATTTTTTGTAAAAAAATATATTTATTAAGATTTACGGTAAAGGTAATGGTATACAGTGATGACAGTGCGGGCATTCTACGTAAACAGGGTAAAATCCTGGGGGTGGAGGGATTATGTATAATTCTATATTAGTATAAAAATCCGATCTTACGAATAAACTTCCGAGAAACGCTGAAAGAAAAACTCAATTAATGTCGAGGAAAATGCCGGCCCTGCAATTCATACTATAATTTTCTCCATCCAAAACTTCTGCATTTACTAAAAGCATGTTCAGACTAACATCAACATAAACTAGTTTTCCTTTGAAGTAGTTATTGAATACAGATTTTATAAGTACTACGTTTCCTATTAAACTTTGAAGGTATTCGTATCTGTTCGCTGTGCTATTTACCCAAGAACATGTATAAGCCATTATATAAAAAAAGGTTTATTGTATAATATAAGTATCGTTTTTGAAGCTTCTCTCATAAAAGTATAAATGACATTTGGATAATTTGGCAATATTGACATTTGATTGATTGCATTAATCTAATTTCAGATGATGGCTACATCGGACCATGTTCCTTGCATCAATTTCAATGTGCCAATAAGAAATGTATACCCATCTACTTTCTGTGTGATGATGAAAACGATTGTGATGATGGATCCGACGAAGATCCCAAGGAATGCATTCGTAAGTACAATTGTGGTAATTTTTTATTCGTGGAGAAGAAATATTTTTGATCCTTCTCTCGGCCCTTCTGCTAATATACGCCATGAACTGTTTAATCAACTTGATTTCAATTTGTATTGCTTGGTTGTTAAGGTCAATGTCGCACTATTTTACGTGACGCTCATCTCATAAATTATTTACTTATTAGTATTAATGACTTTTTGTGTTTGTGGATTTTGCAAATAATATCGTATTGTTAAACAAATGAATAATTTTCGTGTATGTAGGTAGATATGTATATTAGATTGAAAAATTGCAAAATTAGCAATTCAAAATGTGTGGGGTGCCAGAAGGATCGATTCACGTAATCCGTGCGTGTGATTTTTTGATATTCGCATTTTTATGAGAAAAATGGCTGGTTTTTTTTTCAATTGTCGATCCGTTTGGCATGAATAATGGGCAGCGGTTACGTCTCGGACGAACTTTAATTCAGTACTTGCCAAGAGCTAAAATTAGACCAATTTAAATATAGAATGCCACACCCCAGAAAATAAATCTCTGTGAATTTAAAAATAATCCGGACGATTTTTGGTAAGTAAATAAATATGCGACACACTTTCAAGGTGGATCTTGAACAATCAAAACAAAATATATTTTTCCACGTCAGCCGGGGAATTGAAAAATATTTTCGAAATCGAATCGAATTTAATAAAACGCACCGACATCGAAATGATTTAATTACGTATACCTGCCTACCTACATTTCATCTTATATAGAAAATGGCATTTTTACTTTCTTTTTTTCGATTTGATTTCTTGTTTGATTCCTATTCATCAAAAATACCAGACGGTCTAGCTCGATTCAATTTATTCACGAACGAATCGAATTTATTTAAAACGAACCGAAAATTTAAAAGGCGTAATTGACACAATAAATATTTTGATTAACTTATATTTCTTGTCGAGCGAGATTATAACAAGTATTTTGTAACGCGATTTTTGTTCAATTTCGAGGGCGAATGTTGAACTATGCACTTTATTTGTCTTATAGTTTTCAAACGTGTCAGATGTAGGTCAAAATGTTATCAATTGTGGAAATGTGACAGTATATTAAAGTTGAGATGTCTTCTCAAATTTTGCCATTTCCTCGAAGAGTGCGCATTGTGTCACGATGAATCTTCTTCTTTTAATATTTTGCTTCTTTTCGTTCCTGTATGGCTGTTCGTGCATCTACGTTGAAATACTAACAGGTTCGATTTATTATTATTTTTTTAAATTTAATTGTTCAATTTAGTACGGTTAGTTAATACGAAAAACATTAACGTAAACAAAAATTACTGCAATTTCAATTTCAATTGATAAATAACTTAATTAACTATGTTGAATTCATTAAAACTTCAAGGTCGAAAATGGTCCATTTTCTTCCTGATGTAAACACATCTTTTAATGCCTAGAAATTCTACATTAATCACCAATTGCTGCATAGACTACTATTTATTATATAAGTCATTAATCAAACTTGTTTATTACGAGTACACATTGTTTTTGTAAGTGGATAATATCGCACTAACAATAGTGAATTGTCTATTAAAGTTTTCCGCATTCGTTTCGGAACACACTGTACATGCAGTAATCGATAGTCGACTGTATAAGTAAATAAATAACCGCTTTAAATTATATTTATAATAAAATTTGCATACGTAAATTAGATTATTCTGATGATGGTGCATAGGTATTATCGATTCGTGAAGTCTTCAATAACATTGATAACGAAATTATTACCTAATTGTAATGATATAATGTTTGAAATTCATCTGATTGTCTTATCTTGTAGAGACTACTATCAATACAGCAATATTCCAATTGCCGCTTCATTAGTTATGCGTTTTTATAGACAACGTAAATTTCGAATAAATTATCGTTTTTTTCTTTATAAAACTAGTAATTAGCAAATTACCGGGTACTAAACAATAATAATAACAATAATAAATATTTACGATATTCGATGAGCATTTCAAACTGCATAAAAAAATGGCGTGATAACCAAGGTTACATGCGTATTACATTAAGTAAAAAAAAAGATTACTTTTTATATAAAACGCGAGATAAATAAAATTAAAATAAGAACGCATTAGGAAGTTTTGTCTAGGTCAACCGAAATTGACCCAATTAATTGCTCACGTTATCGTTTAAAAATAAAACAAAATATCCGTGAATGCGATTAAATTTATATTTATACGCTTTCGTCGGAGTGCGTTCTTGAAGCACGTTCGAGATGAATCATAAATGCCGGCTTGATTAAGATTTAGAGCTTTCGTGGATTTAAGCTCGCTTCAATATCAAAACGGCTTCCTTTCCTACCTTATTCAAATGTTCCGCTGTAATGGAATATAAAATTTCGATACACATTACGATCGATAGACTTACCTTGCCTTCGCAAAGGAAATTTCATCGGAAAATGTTACCGCAGAAGCCCGATTTAATTAATTTCGCGTATACGTAATATTCGATAATTATTTGTCCTTTGAGCGGGTTAATTTGCGGAGTACTGAGAATTTTGATTGGAGTGTTTAGGATTTGGGTCTTGATGTATCAAAAGGTTTAAGTTTGAACCCGAACCTAAAAAAATCCTTTGCGCACAATTTCAATTACCGTAGGAATAAAAAATTGTTCTATAAATAGTTATTAGTTCGAGACATATTTTTGTATGTCGTGTTTTATTGTAATTGTTGTTACTGATAAACTAATCGAATGAAAATAATTGAGCTTAATATTGACCGATTAATGTCAACAGAGGTCGGGTTTATATCGAGGAGAATTAGGCCGACACATACTTGATTGATGTGCAACAACGAAAACAGTTTAATATTTTCAACTATCTTCGCATGCTCCGTGAAAAAATTGACCTTTAATGGAAACTATCAACAGTATCAAATAGTTAATTGTCGTAAATATTGTTTACAACTTTCTCATCTACGCTGCATTTATGTTCAATAACTGTCGATTGCGTAACGAATATAACAACAAATTTCCAACCTTCGTTTTAAATTTAATTTTACTTCGCTCGATTTGTGGTCAATATCAAGGTTTATTTTCTTTGTAATCGATTTTGTAGCAATTTTTTAAGTGTACTCGAAACATCCATAAACATCATAAGAAATACCACACATTCTCATGCATTGGATGATTTTAAATAAACTCTGAGCAACATCATTCAATCGACATCACATCCACCTCAAACGTATGATTTGTCGTCAAAAAAATTTAAACAATCAATTTCGATGATACGAAGATCAATTTGTTTTAGTATTTTAATTGTATTGTTTATTCGCTTTGAAGCATTCGCAAAATTTATTAACTTTTATTCCGCTTCATTTATTCGACGTCACAAATTTTATTTTTTAGTTTTTAACCTATACAGTTTGTCGACTTCTGAGCGGTCTTCTGATTAATTAGGCAATTAATAAAGTGGATCGTTTTTACATATGGATATTAGTAAAAGATCACAACTGCCTTGACACCCATAAAAACTAATTGTACAATAATAATAAATTGCTTTATCCTTCGAGTATACTACATTTACAACTTAGTTAATTTAAAGTTATAAATCCACATATCCCAATAATGCTTGATTGACTTTGTTGTTTAGTAGAGTCAAAATTTTAAAAGGCTGAGTCAGTTAAAGCGTCGGGTCAATATATCTGGGAAATGCAGGGGAAACGCGGATATATAACAAAGCTTACGGGTTTATTACTTGGAGATAAAGACCTCCACCGGCTCTACCTCAATTTATTTCCCGATATAGGTATGCCCGGTTGTATCATCGCTACCGTCGAATTGAACACTTTCATTTTATACTCTACTGCTTTCAAATTTCCGCACAAAGAAAATCCCAACAGCAAAAATCGATAGGCAACAATGCCGGACCATCCGCATATCGCCGGTGGCTGGCTGCAGTTTAATAATTCCTAAACTCCGGCGTTTTATTCACCTACGAACGAACATTTTCGGCCGAGCTGTGTTTTAATTAACGCGTCGGGAATTTTGCATTGAATAGGCGATTTCGGAATTCGTTATAAAATTGTGTCGTCAGTGGGCACGCCGTCATACGTGCACTTACGTAGGGGTTTTGGACGCTTCCTGAACATATGTTGATTACATTTGGTTGCCAAGTAGACACGCGAAAATTCACGATTTTTTTTTTCGTTCGTTTCCTGAAAAAAGTTTGTTTTTTTGAACTTTAGACTCGTTTTTATTCCAATTGAAAACCGAGTGGGTAACACTAAAAATAATTTATAAATTACTTTCTTGCAATTTTAATACGCAGTATCGAAAACTTATAATATGCAAAGTTTTCAAAAAGTACCGTATTATATTAAATCCCTTAATACGATTATCGATCATTTCAAGCAAGTCAAAGATAAACCTTTTTAACGATGATTAATTACATCACGCCATTATTAGAAAGATTATTATTTATTAATCACATTTAAAAAATTTTTGGCGCTATAATAAATCGAACAAATACAATCCCGAACTTTTCTTCCTGTTCTATAAATTAATCACAATGAGATAACGGTTTTAACGTTTCGTAAATCGTATGTAGCGCTCGTAAAAAAACTATTAACAACGCATTTCGTTGATTAAATTATTACTTCAAAGAAACGTTATCGAACACATGTTTAATATAACGCATTGATGACGTTTTGATTAACTGTTAAACTTCCTAATTTTAAAGCGTTTTCCGAACTATATGATATGGGAGAAAGTGGGTCAGGATGCAATTAGCTCATTTCATCCTCTGGGCGAATAAATTGATAAAGCAGTTTGCGATCATCATTCTATAAAAATAGCCGGTGATACTGACCTACTCATACGTTGATTCCTTTTTTATATTAATAGTTTATTATTCAAGTTGGAGGTTATGCGCATTCAACGGTTTCATGATGCATTCGGACAAGATAATTTTAATGTCCACATTACGAACACCGTTTGCGCCTGTTATGTCACAAGTATAATGTTTCGAGCACTGACGTGTCTAGACTTCAAAGGCAGGAAGTCAAAACATGACCAGCACAATTCGAAATTACTGAAGAATAATGCTCTTCGTACTGTTTACAAACGACAAATTACTTAGCTCAGCTGTTCCAAAACTGTTATCGAGACAAAACAACTATTGCTGATAGTAACAATAATACTTATTTAAATAAATTTGTTGTTTATGTAAAGAAGTATATCTCTTAGGAATATACTTAAGGCAGTAATTCTTGACAATGACGTTACTACTCAACGAGAGCTCTTATTGGCTGGTAATACGATTGAGTGAAAATCGAGCGCTGTGATTGGCTAGACTCGGTAACGTCACTGTCAACAATTACAAAATGCAGCGAAAAAGTTTGCGAACCTCTGTTTCAGTGATTACCTGCTGAATAAAATTACTTGCAAACAAGTTATAAATTTTTAGCAATCCTGTTTCGAGCTAACACGCCACATGTTTCTAACGTTATAAATTTAACAGTTAAGGCGCTTTATTGGAAGAAAACTCGCTATTTTATTCGGCCATTCCGTTTAATGCGTCGAACAACACATGCAAGTAGCATTATTTCATCAATTATTTTTCATTGCAGGTAACGTGACGTGCTCAAAGAACGAATTCAAGTGCAACAGCGGCCGATGTATACCAAGCGAGTGGCAATGTGATAACGAAAAAGACTGTAACGACGGTAGTGATGAAAATGAACTAGTATGCCGTAAGTCGATCATTATACCGCTCAAAGATTGCGTAATAATATGTTTGTTTTGCAGAAAAAAAAGTCTGTAACTTAGACGAATTTACCTGTAGATCTGTACCTGGCGAGTGCGTGCCGCTCACTTGGATGTGCGACGGCAATCCCGACTGTTCGGATGGCAGCGACGAAAAATCGTGCAGTAAGTATTTTACTGTTAAAAAAACTAAAACTGTACTTTGTGTTTCAAGCGTTATGTCATATGTCATACGTCAAATTTTTTCAATTCAAATTTTTGACAGTTACGTCACTACTAAGCAAGAGCGCGATTGAGCAAGAATCGAACGCCGATTCGTTAGACTCAGTGACGTCACTGTCAATAACTACTGCATTTACGCATAGATGTCGGGAGTAACAAGTTAATTTCCTTGATTCCAGATGAAACGTGTAGATCGGACGAATTTACGTGCAAAAAGGGCAATTGCATACAAAAGAGATGGGTCTGCGACTTGGACAATGATTGCGGCGACAACTCCGACGAAGAAAATTGCCCCGACATAACTTGCGACAATGAGTTCCAGTGCTCCCCCAAGATGTGCATCGCGTCGAAATGGCGCTGCGACGGCGAATACGATTGCTCCAACGGGAAAGACGAAGAGGTAACGTATCCACTGCAGATCCCCAATCGACACTATTAATTAAATGATCAAACCCACGCAGGATTGTCCAACGCCGGTGCAAAAACCCGTCATATCGTTCTGCCGGCCGGACGAGTTCGAATGCGCCGACAAGATCACGTGCGTCCACAAAAATTGGCTGTGCGACGGCTCCAAAGACTGCCCGGACGGTTCCGACGAGGCCCCCGACAACTGCCTGAACGTCACCTGTCGAGTCGACCAGTTCCAATGCCGCGACAAGTCCTGCATCTCCGGCCACCTCCACTGCGACGGCAACCGGAACTGTCCCGATGGCAGCGATGAGATCAACTGCGGTAAGCACCTGAACCATCCCACGAAGCTCGGATGAGTTAAAAGCCACTGTTTTGCAGAATTGCCGGCCCCGAAATGCGACCCGAAAACGCACTTCGACTGCGGCGGCGGCCAGTGCATCCGCTTCTCGCAGGTGTGCGACGGCCGGCAGGACTGCCCCGACTGGGAGGACGAGCCCAAGGACAAATGCGGCGTCGACGAGTGCAGCATCAACAACGGCGGCTGTTCGCAAAAATGCGTCGACACTCCCGCCTCGTTCTACTGCGACTGCGAGCCCGGCTACAAGCTGGTGGGCAACAAAACATGCAAAGGTATACAATCCATCGCTTCTAACCCACCGCGCGCCTTACTCACACGCTTTATTCCAGATATAAACGAATGCGAAATACCCGGCAAATGTTCGCAATTGTGCATCAACGACAAGGGCGGGTTCAAGTGCCAGTGCGAAAGCGGCTACATGCGCGACCCGAGGGACCTGACCAAATGCAAGGCCATCGAAGGGCACGCGTCGCTGTTGTTCGCCCGCAGGAAGGACATCCGCAAGATATCGCTGGACCACCACGAGATGACGAGCATCGTGAACGAGACCAAGTCGGCGACGGCGTTGGACTTCGTATTCCGCACCGGCATGATCTTCTGGGGCGACATCATCGACAAGAAGATATACAAGGCCCCCATAGACGAGGGTAACGAGAAGACGACGGTCATTACGAACGACGTGACGACTTCCGACGGATTGGCCGTCGATTGGATATACAATCACATCTACTGGACCGACTCGGCCAAGAACACCATCGAGCTGGCGAATTTCGACGGTAAAATGAAGAAAGTGTTGGTGCGAGACGGGCTGGAGGAGCCCAGAGCGATCGCGCTCAATCCGATGGAAGGTTGGCTGTTCTGGACGGATTGGGGCAAAGAGCCGAAGATCGAACGCGCCGGCATGGACGGGTCCCATCGGCAGAGCATCGTCACCTTCGACGTGATTTGGCCGAACGGTCTGACTCTCGATCTGGTCAAGAGGAAAGTTTATTGGGTCGATGCGAAGTTGAATTCCATATCGTCGTGCGATTACAACGGCAGGAATCGCCGGTTGATTTTGTTCTCCACCGACGTTTTGAGGCACCCGTTCTCTATAACAACCTTCGAGGATTGGGTGTATTGGACCGATTGGGACAAGGCGGCTGTCTTCAAAGCTAACAAATTTACTGGCAAAGACGTCCAACCCGTCACGGCTACGGAAATGGTAAATGAACTAATCGATTAATCGCTTTTCGAAAGCTAATTTCCAAATGTTTCAGATCCAAAATCCTATGGTTATTCACGTGTATCACCCTTACCGGCAACCTGACGGTGAGAATCATTGTCAAGCAGTCAACGGTCATTGTTCGCACTTGTGTTTACCGGCACCCCAGATAAACGAAAACTCTCCTAAGATTTCCTGCGCGTGTCCGGAATCGTTGAGGATGATGAAGGACGGTCTCACCTGCGTACAGGACGGTAAGTTTTCTAGCAGGTTTTGTTTCGGATCAAGCGATCGTCATTGCACCATCACCATCATCATCATCACCATACAGGAAAATTGTACATTTATTTAGAATGATTTGTTTACCGATGCGACATTGTCATAATAGAGTATTTGGTTATTGATTGATGACGCAACGGTAAAGATTTGTTGTTTACTGTAGATAAACATTAATATTTTTTCAGGTATTTTTCGAAATGTTACTTACTGTTTATAGTAGTTAGTAATTTATATTAACATCAATGGTTTAACATTCTGTATGGCTCATTATTAAGAGGATTTGTTTTGCTTGATTTTTCTATAAACGTTCATACGATGGGCGTTTATATTAAAAGTAAAGCGTAGATGTTCTGCATGTTAGCATTTCATTTTGATTTTAAATTTTTTTTTATTTTCATTATTTTGAAGCACTTTTTTTTATTTATTAACAGAAAACTTTACAACAACTGCTTCGAATACCGTGATAATTCCCGAAATAACCACAGTTAGTGTTGACTTGAACCAGGAGAGTAAGTATGAAAATATTACACCTTGTTTAGTGAGGATCGTTTATTTTCATTGATTTCTTTAATGAATTTACTGATTAAATTAAAAGCGTTTAGTTGTCTCTGAATCCCAATCAATTTTTCGTTAAAATCGTACAAATTCAGCGTTATTTTCCTGGTAAAATTATATCGATAGATTCATTTTGTTAATGAAATTGTTTGAAACGTTTTGAGTTGTACAAATTTGATATTAATTAATTAACACGGTTTTTTTAACTTGATTTGAGCTTTTTAACCAATAGTTTTGTATATTTTTCTTTTGCATTTTGTTGATTTGCTTTTTTTATTTTAATTTATAGACTTTACAACTACCTCGTTTAATGTGAATGCCGAATTAACCACAATGTCTGTAGAAACAATATTTAAGAGTAAGTAATATTAATATTAGCATCTATTGGTATGGTTTTTAATCTAACTAAAATCTACTTGGTGATAGAATAAATAAATGTATCTCCAATGCAGCATAAAAAAATGAAGATTAAATTTTATATATTTATAAATGTTTGTTTATTAAAGGTACATCAAACAAGTCGCATCCTAATTCACCAGACTCGGATGGTGCTCCTAATGGTGTTATAGCAGGCATCACCATCGTCATATTCTTCACATTGACCTCCCTTATCGGATTGGTGAGTCGCGAATAGTTTTGTAGCTTATAAAGCGCTAATTTGCGGATATTTTCAGTTCGTGTATTACACTCACAAGCACATAATAAGCCGCAACATGACTTCGATGAATTTCGACAACCCGGTGTATCGGAAAACGACGGAAGATCAGTTTTCTTTGGAGAAGAACCACTTCCAGCCTCACACCAGGCCGTACTTGAGCACCGTGGGAGAAGAGGTAAGGGCTCTGACGTTGGATTACAGTAACATGATGGCGAGATAATCAGTTCGCCAGGATTCGAATGTTTAAAATAAGCACAAGTTTGAAAAATTTTGAATGTAATCAATGTAAATAATTTACATCATACGCTATTTCGTCAATTCAAGATGGTCCTGAATCATGAGAACGTTTCGATTTCGTTGCATTTGTTTCCGGAAACATATCGTAAATTCGAAATTTGTAACAACGCTCAAGGAGGTATTCTTTGTTCTATTTGATCATTGAAAGGATTTAAGTTGATCCGATCGAAAGATAGCTCATCATTTTTATTTCATTCACTAGACTTAATAGAAATTTGACAAATTTTGATAACATTTTTTACCGATTTAAAAACGTCTGCAGGTGAAAGAAGTAATTTTAATGCTCATAGAATACTACTAATTGAAAGTTCACTTTCATTTATAATCAAATTTATAGTCGTAAAGATTGCACCTTCGAAAAATAATAGATACATTCGATAGATTTGCTGAATATTATTTTTGCTCAAATAGGGTGTATAGTATTAACGTGAATATTGAAATATTAACCCCACTTATATGATTGGGAGGGTTAAAATTACAAGAATTTTTTACAATGATCTCTATAACAATGTAGCGTAAATTATGTGTACATTAATATGTTCAATGTTATACTAATTTTTCCTGTATAAGGCTTTAACAGGAAGAATATGAAAGTCCATCAGGAGCTGAATAATATTGGTTGTCACATTGATTGGCTTTATTAATTTTACAATAATTAATATCAACTTATAGGCACTCAATGTGATATCTTTTTGCAAAAAAATAAGCCATTTCATTTAAAAATGTAGTTGTACGATGTATGTTTAATGTTGATATTCCAAGTTTTTCCAATACATAAAATATAATACCTTACTTTTACGAATTATATAAATATTTGAGATGTTACATTTTACTCTATTGTGTAAATTATATCTCCTGTCCATTCAGCATTAGCTTCATATTGGATTGCAATCATATTTTTGTAACCAATTTATAGAATTAAAAACAAGCTGTGCCAAACATAATTTAGCCAATGACGTATAAGCTCTTGCTAATGGTTTTAAATGTCACTTTAGAATTAACTGTGAATGTATCGTTTTATTTTTAATTCCCAGTAATTTATTGCTGTTTTAAAGTTTAAAACGAGTTTGTTGGAAAGAAATTATCGAGTGTTTATTCATGAATGCAATTCTAACTAAAGTTTACGCGGCCGGTTGTACTTAAGGGTGATTCGAGACGCCCTTTTTTGTTGTATAATTTATCTAAGATTTATTGAATTTATTAGAATTGTAAGGGTTGTTTAAACTGTCTCTGTGTGCTGGAAGATTGCTCTGTACTTACTCATATTCATTTTGTTTCACGCATTCTTAATATCGCAAAATTTGGTGAGTATTAAGAAAATTGGGTGTGAATGAAGGTTGATTGGATTTATGTAGAATTGGGTAAAGTTCTGTAATATACATTAATTATTTTTTTTGTTTTCAGGCGTCGGAGCCATTGACAAAAATATACATAACGGATCCGGTTTAATAAGCGATGGTGCGGCGGATGATCCGAGTATTCCTTGTTTCCCAAAGACCAACTATAGGCATTTTTCTTCAAACCTCTAGTTTTTTTATATACCGAAGACTGACTCAATGACATAGTTCTAAAAGAATACTCATTGATGTAGGGGGACTTGCGAGATTGCCTGTCGAACGAATGTATAACCGATTTGTTGTTTATTCACGTTTCGAAGTTTATATATATATTTTTTAAACGTCGTTTGGAAAACTTCGAGGGCAACCGTGCAAGGAGATTAAGGATCTTGGAGCGGATTTTTATTATAATTTGCCGCGCGCAACGATTATAATAATCATGCTGGCGTCTAATTTTCACTGTACCAAAGCGTGGGGTCGAAGAAGCTCTTGTTCCGGAGGTTTATCTAGTCTAAATCTTACGTTTAATTCGAATATGTCCGTGTAAGGTGTCGTTCTGCAGTTTACAAAGACTTTATGCTCACTGATCGGATAGTCCGCTGATCGGCGTCGGCGCCGCGGCGCCTGAGATTATGGCCGAATTTCGTTCGAATTAGCAATTCACAATGTTGTTTTTAGCGCTCGTTTTAGAGCGGGTTCAAGCGTGTACAGGGTCGTTCGAAAAATAAACAAGTACAAACAAACCTAAATCGTGAGGTTTCTGAAAAACCGGAGGATTTTTGCTTTATTTGGAGGATTTTGAAATGTAAAGTTAATTCCAGTGCAATATGAATAATTTGATGGACGGTTTAATTAGTGCAAAAGTCTTCCTCGTAGCTCAATTAAGATTCGTTTGATAATCTCTAGCGCGATTCGAACTGTCCTGAGACTTTGAACAGCCTACGTGCAATCGTGTTTGTAATTTAGTAAAGTTGAATTAAACCAGAGTTGTTTTTTAAATTAGTAAAATAATTTATTGTACTATTTGCTTTAAGATAGAAATGCCATTTAATGTGATTTTAGCTTAACGTTTTAATTCGTTTAGTTGTAAATAATTTTTTTTTTGTGATTTTCAATCTTGTATATGAATTTTTTATATAATTCCTTAAAATGTTATTTTGTATATATTGTAACGTAGGCAATTTTCTGTATATTGTTAATTTTAGTCTAATGTTACTTTGAACATCCCATTATTTTTGTACAAGTTAGAGAAGAATCAAAAAAATCTAATGAAATTGTATAATTTTTATTGGTGCATTGTGTCCTACCGAACTGTCAAACTCGAAAAAAGTACCTCCAATTTTTTTTAAATCTAATCATTTGTACATAAAATTATTTATTATATTTATTTATAATTTATTGCTAGTAGAAAAGTTTGGCACTAATATTATTTTAAATCGTAAGTAGTCAATTATATTATTTATAGAGCTATTTGATAGCGAGGTTTGGCAGACATGACACATTTTGCATTCAATATGAATGTCTCTGAGATACATAATACTAGCTCTAATATTCTGTGATTCCTTTAATTATAATTACATTAATAGGTAATGTTTTTACTGAGTTTTTTTTTTAATTATTTATCCTATTTATCTTGGTTATTTTGTTTGTATATTAATTGTATCAATATAAGTAAAGAATACACTTTTGTGTTTAATTTCATCATTTACCCACCCATGGATTCTCTATATTTATAAAAAAATTGCAAATTTGTTTGCCAAATGGTGCCAAAAATTCCATGAGTTGAACAAAGAAAGATTATTAATGTAACATTGGTAAGAATGAGAAAGAACTCTACATCAAAATATGAATATAAATCTATGCAAATATGTGGGAAGAAGAATATTCTTTACAAAATAAGCAACAATAACAAAAATAAGCATCAAAGGCAGCTCTAACGAGCAACTTATCGATAATTCAAACAACGATGCCGAGGGCTCCGAAATTTCGCAAAGAGAAAAACGGATAGGAGAAACGAAATCAATAATTCTATTACAAATAACTTCGAGCGAGTAACTTTAACAAATTCCTCCGATATGACGCAGCAGCCTATTTGCACGACATTGTGCCAATAATGCCTCAGAAATTGACTTGAATTGTTGCCATGGCAGCGCAAAGTCTACAACTCTCCTGTACAAATTCGAATAATTCCAACTTTGTCCCTAATTCCCCGTTACTAATTACTAATAACAAACTCGGCGGGGATGTATATCAGTTTTTAATCTCCCAAACGAGTTAATTAATTCCCTGAATATTTCCAAGTTCGCCCATTAGTAACGTTATTCAACCACTTCATTAATTTTATTTTCCTATGCAGGTTGAATGTTTCATTTTTTTATTTTCGAGTTTTAAAATATCTACAACAATCCATTATGCCTCGGCGAGATAACTACTAAGTTCGGTATTATTAGAAGCGGGTCCGATATTGCCCTTCTAATTAGATTTTAGCAGGATTTTCGCATCTTGGCAATTTGTTAAGTGGCGTGCAGCGAAGGCAGAAATTTAATTAACTACCCTCTAGCGCATTCTAGAAACGCCGGTGACAATTTTCTAACGAATTAACTTAGTAGAACTATTCGCTCGTCGGGGGCCCGTTCGCTCCAGCTCCGCACCCGCTTCTTGTCGCGCTGTTTAATGAGCGGTCGCGCGGATCATTTTTTAGCCCCCCCGACAGCCGAGTGGAAATTCCCGAATTCAATTCGAACGCGATTAGTCGGGCGTTTTTCGCGTTGTTTTTCCGACGCGACGCATTAGCGCTTTCCCGGCGAAAATCGCCGGGCGAAAGTATCAAACGAGCGGCAATCGAAGTTTTCGAAGGATTGACCGATGGGCCGGATTATCGCTATATTGATTAGATTTAATGTAGTTCAACTGTTCCGAGCACCGATGCATCCACTACGCCGATGATTTAATGGAACCTCGTTTGATTGATTTATCGCTCTTCGAGGAATCGTTTGCTCCAGATGTTTCCTCGATACAGAATCGGCGCTAATAGTCGAAGAAAAAATAGCTAGGTGTATTCGAAGCTTCCGATAAAAAATGAACAGTATTTCGGATATTCGAATTCGATGCGGTGGCGCATAAACTAGATCGGAGGGAGAAATTTGGGCCGCCTCTGGAGCGCTAGGTAGTATTGAACGGGAACGAGTAGCTGTTGCATTTCATTCACAAATTTCCCGTAATCGCCAGGGGCGAGAAGGACTCGGGGAAATGTGCGCCCGGATCGATGAGGTGGCGGAGCCGACGGTTACAAATTCCGAAGTAACAACTTTTTCCAACTTTTTTATCCGTGCAGAAAGGGGTTTCGCATCGCGTTCGAAGTTGCTGGTATATGAAATATGAACCGCTCGGTTTATCGGGTTTATTGAGTTTACGTAGGTGTTTTATTTTTTATTCTAAAACAATGCTGTGTACGTTGCTGTTTACTAATAATGGATCGTTAAGATACCTTTCATTACCATGATTGTCGTCATTTTGTGATGTTTCGAAAATATCCGCCCTGATTTGACGTCAAATGCTCGAAAAAATATAAACAGCACGGCACACTAACAAGGCAAATAAAAGCAATATTATTGTATAATCACGACATATTTTTAATTAGTTGGAACACATTTTTTTTAAATTAGCTAGCAGAAAAGGAACACGATCTCCATTCTCCCTACTTGAGCTATCTGCCATTTAAATTTTAATTATAATTTCCGATTTACCTACACAAAAAAAGAACTGTCAGTTGAATTTTAATTTCGATTTTAATCTTCGTGTTCGGGGGAATGAAAGAGTTCGATTCGGATCCGATTGTTTAAAAGCAAAGAGGTCGTTTTAGTGGCTGTTGATTCGTGGAAACGAACGGGTCCTTCGGCGAAAGCAAGAAAAGGAGATATCTGGAAAAGCTCTAAACACCCACGCACAATCGCGAAGTTTGTGATAAAGGACCCCACCCACAGGCTGTTCCAGAACGTCGGTTCGGCCGAGATAAATAAATAAATTCGAATCTATTTGCCCCGAGAAATATTACATCGCGTTCGAGTCGATTTGAATCTCGTTAAAAAAGTTAATATACGATTGTATTAAATTATCGTCAATTTTTCGTTTGTCTACTCGACGTGCGGGATTTAATAAAATCCCCGGCGCGGAATGTTTGCAATAACTTTGTTATACTTTTTGAATAAATTCTGCCCGGCAAATAGATCGATCGGAGATGCAGGAAAGCGAAGTATTTCTGCGGAAACTTCTACGACCTTTTTATACGAGAAATAAACTTCTATCGTATTGCGGAATCCATCCAGAATGTTTTGGTTAACGAAAGAATGAACTTTAATTTTCCCCTTCAATTGAGTTAAATACTTCGCGGAACTGATTCTTTTCGATCGGTTTTAGTGTTTCTATCGCATAATCCACTAACAAAATTCGCTTAGCGCTGGAGAACCTTCTAATGTTAATATACTTAATTACATCCTCTTACTTTCAGTTTGAACTTTTTAATGGATTTTAGGAGATTTACTGTTTTAATAAGAAACCCTAATTTACTTAGTACTCGAAATTCGGATTAAGCTCTCTAAAGTGTGCTCAAAATATTTCAATTAAAGTACGCCCAAAAATAAATTAGTGTAAAAAATGGCGGATGCACTTTCTGAACCCAGCAAATATTAGTAAATTTGATGATTTTTAGGACTATATTAGACTTATCCTATACCGTTTTTGAGTTTCAAATGGTTCTAGCTAGTTCTAAAATGCTTATATATGATTCTGGACAGTTCTAAATGGTTATGAATAGTTTCTAAATGACTCTAAAACAGCTGAACATGAGCAAATATCTCTATAGTCTCTATAGAGCGAGATTTAAAAAATGGTGTTATAGTAAAAAAGTTTACATTAGCAGGTACATCAAAATTCCGGGCATAAGAAGAGTGTTAACGCTTGTCAAGTCACGGGGATTAATTTTTAAAGTAGCATGTCGGAGAAGTCCGGAGCTTAAGATTAGATTCCGCGTGTGTCAGTCGTCAGCACGTTCGGGATTACAGTAGAGGCGAGTTTTTCCACCGGAATGGAGTTTTTCACGTGTGATACATTTCATTTTAATATTCGCGCACGGCCGGAGCACAATTCATTCATAAAAACGGCCAACGGCTTTGGAGTTGGTCACCCTGTATATTGAGCAAAAGTAGTACAGAGACCGATATAATTGGCAGTTCAATGAATATGGGCGGAACAAGGTTAATAGAGTAGCCAATGAGACATGCGGTGGGGGTAAAACATGGCAACTATGATTTTTCGAAAATGTGCGTTGGCGGGACAAAAGTCCAGGGCAGGCAGATGGGATTTTTCCCGACGGCGCGGGCGACCGAAAAAAAAAATTGAAGTGCGCGAATTTTTGGGGCGGCAAATCGAGAGAGACACATAGGAGAGGACAAGGAGTGAGAGCGGAGAGAGATTTTGCCCAGGAGCAGCTTGGCTAGCGCAAAACCGGCATCGCAACCCCATTCCCCATTCTATGAATTAGTCTTTCGCCGCCCCTCCTGTAATGCAGTCGTAAGTTTAACGGGAACATCCTGTACGCCGCTCACGTACCTATATAGATGCCGACGCGCTCTTTCAGATCTCCAATCTCATGATGGCCACGCATCTGGTACATTCGATTGTTCCTCGACAGTGACTACGCAAGTCATACAACTTGTGCGAACAACTTTCGACAAACTTTTTTTTTTCCCCCCCGATGATATGAAAATATTCTGACTCGAAAAGAGAAGCAGCGACAATTCGACACGAGGTTTCCGTTCAGTAAACAAAGGTAAGAACAATTTTTTTTTTCTACCGAATTTAATTCGCGTTCCATCGCCGAAGCACTTGAAACTAATTGTGTAGTTGCGAATTGTTTGGAATTGAATTGTCTTCTATTATTAGTCGTAACTTTTCGAATTAACGGCGGGAACAAAACTTGATAATCGGATGAACTGTTCGCTAATTAAACGCTTTCGAGCTTCAACATCGCAATTCGCTCCCAACAATGCGTTAGAATGCATTTAATTGTAAGTTAAATATTAAGTTCGGTGCAATAATTGCATCCATTTAGGTTTAATTTTACCTATTTATAGAACTCGGCTATTATAACGAATATTCTTTTATTACATTGTTATATAAAATTTATTGTTTTTTTATCAATTAGATAAATATTTGAAAGAGGATAAAATTTAATTTGCTGGTATTACAGAAAAAGTCTCTAAAATTCCATGTAATTGGAAAATATTCTGGAGAAAATTGGTTGCAAAAATAATAGAGGCTCATTCAAAGAAAATTATTCCTCCATTCACAAAAAATTCTACTTTTAAAAAACTCCTTTTGTTATACTTTTTCATTAATTTCTTTTCTTCAACCAAATACAATAAATTACAATTAATAAGTCTCTATCATTTAAAACAATTTTTTATACACCCATTATGTTTAAAATTGCTCTATATGCACCAACAGCATAATTGATTTTCCAAATTTTCCCTCAATTATAAATTCGCCGTCAAATTGGTGAAAATCAAGCACCTGTCGAACCCCATTCAACTCGCAGGTAACCCGCATTTCTCTCGATTCAAAAGTTTTCACAACTTTTTAATAAATTCCGAACCTGCACCAGACATATTCATTAAATATCCGTCACGGCAGGCCATAAAAATTTCGGTCGTTTTTCCTGCGGGGTTTTTGTTTCGCGGAAATTTGCGCTAGTGCGGATGCTGACGATATTTTAATTACACGACCAACCAAAATGCTCTCTCTAATTACGTTCGTTTTCAAGACGAAAAACTAAATACCCTCTACAAAGTAATACCTGGATGAAACATTTTGTAAGTGAGTGATGAGGAATTCTTTTGGCCTCGTTCCATCGAAAGGATATTAAATTAGGTGCAGGAGTGCAAAGGCGCATCAGCAATTTCACCTGCCGTCGCCGTCGCAGCTTGTATGCTAACTCAATCTAAAGTTTCAATATTCTTGAGTCAATATCTTGCGTCAGGCATTTCAATAAGTTGAATTAAAGCGGAATGTCGCAGGAACTCCGTTGATTCCAGCCAAGTCGAACGTTATCTTCACGCCGGGCTGCAACCTGTAGGAGATTCAATTATTGTGCACACACAATGAGCCCTTTGTCGTTGTTTCTTATTATTTTATAGAAGCCCGGCATTGTGCTTAGGAAAAATACAGCGCGCTGCAAATAAACCACCGGGTATTCGAGTATTTCGCTCGAGATATTTCGCGTTTCGCTAACGAAGGTTAATAACTTATTAATGAAATCGATGGCGGAACGCCCACAAAGGACGTTTCTTTGAAGGGAAACGATATCGGCACGTGTCTAAAGGGACAAAAAAATAAGATAAATACGGCCTTTTTTTCATTGAAATGTTTGTGTATCTATAGACAAGTAGTGGGCTTAGTGAAGCACCCTGTATTTACATGAAAGGAGAATTTGAAGGGCTTCCTATGAGCCGCATATAATGTAACAATTTACCTTTTTTTTTATTTGCCCACGAGCGTCAATATAAGAGGAAGTATTTTTGGAATTGATATTTTACTTGCGCGCCATATAATTAATATGACAATATTGTTTTAAAACCTCATTAAATAGTAGAAATTCTACATATTGGAAGAGAGCGGGACGGAGGCCTGTTCAAATATAATAAAAATTAATTTCGTTTTCGGCAGTTGGGCGGCCCTTAAAGAGATTGAAAATTGGCCATTCCGGCTCAAATAAATCTTTCGCCCGAAAATTTCACTTCAAAGGATTTTCGATGGAAATTACCTTATTTGTACGCCTACCTTTCCATTTTTATTCGTTTTCCGTGCAAAAAATTATAATGACTATTCGATTCAAGGGAATATCTTTCGTCGCACATCCGACTGTACGACGATTATAAAAGTTTTACAAAGCCGACTCGCTGGAGCCGCATTAAGCGGGCGCATTGTCAAATTCAAATGATAATTGCGTCTAAATTTCCCTTGATTAATTATCAACCACAAGTAATTTCACACCGAGCTAGAATCCCTTGTTTATAGACGCGAATCCCAGATGAACTAATTTATTTCAAGCACCTTATCAAGCCCCAGCCAGATCTTTTAATAACATCCTCGTCAAATAAAGAGTTTCCTCGGGATTAATCCTATTAATGCAAACTACATTGAATAAGTTGATTATCTTGATTGCGCGTTGACGTGTGGATATCAACAAGTGGTCGGTTACGCGAAAATTGAATTATCTTTTACACAAACCTTTTTTCGCTGGAAAAGTTTGTGTACACAGTTCTTTTAATCCAGTTATCTTAATTTCTTGATTTCTTTTATACTCGTAGCGGGTCGATTTTGCGAGGTTTGCTAGGTACATTAATATGGAACATCGATTTATGAGGGAAATTCGAAAGTGTGGGCGAGACGGATTTCCTGTATCCCATTTAGATGGAATACCTTTACCTGATCGTATATATTCCAATGCCCGAATTCGGACAAACATGACGGCTCAATAATTCGTTTCATTTGTATTTGATTTGAAGCCGAATGGAAATCTCGCCGATTTGGAAATGATCACGATTTTGCAGTTTTTATACCGGAATTTCTTTTTTTCCGATACGAATCGAAAATAACGGGCGGCCTTCGGCGTGTTCCAAGGACCCGTCGACTGAGCAAACATAAATGAAAGACGATTTTCATTATTAATAATCTTCTTTCGTTGTTTTTTTTCCTTTTTTTTGTCTTTACCTACGCGAAACAGAATGTAAATTAGCGAGTGTTCAATTATTGAAACATGATTACTAAAACCCGAATATTTTTGAATAATGAATTATTTTTTGTGTACTGAAAAATTATAAAGAAATTCGAAAAATATTCCACCCCACGATGTAATAACTCAAACAGAGTCCATGTAATGAAATATCCCGTGCAATTAATTTCAGTGCAAATTTGCTACACCTAGTAATAAACAGTTATTAACCCTCATGTATCTAACAGCACTAGATAATTAATTTTGTACAACTAATTGTTCGTAATAAAATGTTGCTCGCCCACGCCACACGTAGCATTCTGGATTTTCAGTATTTCCGTATTTAATTTACCGAAGCACAAACATAGTTCATAGTATTCGAAATATCATTAATGTTATTGAATTCGTATAAATCCCACGCGAATTCAATTTCTGCCGTGAAAGTTTCTCGGAAAGGGAATTTAAATCGTAATATAGATGTAAGTATGGAGCATTGAGGAAAATACAATAACACATTATTGAGTTTTTATATACAAACTTCGGGGGCGTACTGAACTGTATAAAATACTTTACATGCCTGTTATTTATTGATGTAAAAACATTTTACGGAAGCCGCTTTAAATTAATTTCAGAAGATATAAATGGATTATAGATTCCATTACAGTTGCTGGATAATGGAATAATAGGAGCTCAGTTAGGTCAAAGCAAACACAAAATCCATTTAACCCAATCATTAATCGATTTATTATAATTATTATGTACGTGTATATTCCATTATGGCTGGTTAATTAAAGGACCATATCGAACAATAAAGCTGGCGCATTTCAGGGGCTTTTGTTGTTCCCGTCGAACTAATATTAGCAAATAAAAACCTATTAGGTTGATTATGCCTACGTGCACACCTCAACAACTACAATCTCGTTGTTCGCTCAAACGAAAACCCACTTCATTTTGAACGGAATATACACGTTGACTTGGTATGAATGTATCGCCTACCCAAACACATGTAGGTGCAGAAGTGGAAGAGGATTTGAAATTTTCATTGATGAATTATCACGGCATTCGGAATTTATTCACGGAAATTCAATCGAGTGAACAAGCTGAAATATGCTTTGTTGCATGTACATTATATTAAACTATAATATGTAAGCGCTTTCGAAATCGAATTTACATCGCATAATTGTTTTCGACTACGTAAAATTGTTTTAACTTTTAGACAATAGAATTTGGAGCGTTTCATGAAATATTTGTTTTATGTAAAACACCATGAAGAAGTTATAACTCGACAAAATTGGTGTATTTACACAACTTACATGAAATGAATTTTAATTAGGTATCTGTATCCGAATTCTCTTTCATCCTGAATGTGCTGTATCGTACGAACAATTTTTGAAATAAAAAGTGTAATCAGTATTGTGAATATGATGTTTGCTGGGCGAGAAATGGCTACTTTTCCAGCTACAGGCGGAAATGTCAATAAAATAGCGAGGCTTCCAACGTTTTTCCAAGCAGACAAAGGAAGCATTTCGTACCTATATGATGGTGAATAAACTTCGTTTTTGCTTCACTTCAAACAGATTTTACCTTGGGATTTCAGTATTTATTGTACGTATTTGAAATTGAAAACCTGCCCGATACATCGAGCGAAAACGCTGCAGTTTATTTTTATCAAACGGACGCGATGCATTTTTATGACAGCATTCGCATAAAATTTTATTTCCGCGTTTCGCCCGCGCGTTTTTATCTGAAAAAAGTTCAAACGTGTTCGAGAGCGATTTTTTGCTAATTAAAAAAATTTTTGCTAAATTGGAAAGGTGCCGTGAACAATGAAAACTTGCGACAATAGGGCGAAAATCAATAAACAGTATAGAACAATGAAGTACGGACAGGAATTGCGCCACTTGCGGATAATTAGTGGTTAATAAATTAGAATCTCCCTTGAACATACAACATCTTATATTAATTAGAAAACCTTCTAAACATCGCCACATAAATCCCATAGTTGAATTGCTTTTTTAATTTTCTGCGTCCTTTTTGCAAGATTAATGGGCCCTAAAGCGTTATTAAAACATTGAAGAATAATATTAGATGATTTATGAAAAACTTTCTCGGTTACATTGATATTTCATGCTCAATTTAAATTAACTACACCCACCAACCACCCCGTTTGTTTTGTCGCCAATTAATTTTTTGGCACTTTCCCGTGATGAATTACCACCCCCCCGTCCGATCGACATTAATTTCGTTAATTTTATCTTCCAGATGCGGTACTTCACGACGACGCGATTAAAAATTCTCTATTTTCTGATACTAAACGAGCTGCTGAATTTGGCCCTCGCCCTGCCGGGCACCTCTAAAATCTACAGGAACGGCGAATCGCTGGCCAGCAAAACCACCCTGCAGGCCGAGCCGACCTGCGAGGAGCTCAAAGCCATGTGGAGGTTTTCCAAGAGACAATCCAGGGCCGCCGAAATCACCAATGAAATACCGATGTACAGGGATCCGTTTAGAGAAAACATTTGGGTTCACCCGTATTACGCCACATCCAGGAGCATGGGAGGGTACGTACGAACATACGCCTGTTAATTACACTCGATATTGGTGTTCTCTAAAATTAGCAATTACCTCGGTATAACCGACATTTAATAAGCAATTTCTGCTGGTTATTGGATAGGTTATTAAGTTAGACGGGGGAATTGTATCGGCACAAACAAAGGAAATTGACTATCAAAGGTTAAAATCAGAGACAACCTTCAATCGCGTTAATAGACATTTAGTGGAGCCTGTCTATTATCGCGACACATTTTGTAGTCAATTGCGAGTTATAATTGCTCAAAATGTTTCTCTTCGGGGCTAATCCGCGCGTTCTTTAATAGCACCAACGAAGCTAATTTTAATTACGTGTGCGTTTATAAGATTAATTTCAATTTCTATGGTTTCTTGGGGGCAAATGTGAAAAAACCTGACCTTTCGCCGCAACATTTAGCGTGCTCGAGGAACAGCGAATGTATAATACGTTAATTAAAATTAGGTATATGAGATTAATTTCCATTTCTATGGCTGCTCGCGGGGGCTTCTCCAGTAAATGTTGGCAATTATATCCATCAAATTACGAGCTTTTGTATTAGGGCGTACAATCGCCCATCGCTTGTGCGAATTTCCAGGCTTTTATTAGAAACTTCCGATCCCGCGGGAGGACTCTTTTGTTCCGATTCACGGTAATTGGTCCGGCGGAATTAGAGGCCAGCTGGACGTTAGAGCCACTCGCTCGGAGTACTTCCCTTTCCTCGATCCGATGGTTAATTTCCGGGCGGTTTGTCAAGCCGACGACAGGCCGCCGTTCGTTTTTATCGTCCGTTTAACGGATTTGCCTTGTTTAGATTCGCCCGCGGCGATAAAGAAACCCGAAGGGATTCTTCCGTCTCGACGGTTCGATTGATGGAAGAGAAAGAAAAACGGAACACGCCCGCGCCCCCGCGCGGCCGTTCGGTCGCCGAATTTCGCCCTTATTTCCATTCGTTTCGGGGATTTACCGAGGCGATTACTTTTCCGTAAACAGCTTACTCCGATACTTTAAGGATCCCGGTCGAATGCTAAGGCCGATTATTACGAACGAGCTACCCTACCTGCACCCGGCGGGGAAAATCTATACAACGGGTCACATATGCTCGAATTTCTTACGCAAACGTTCGGAAAAATTTCGGCTTGTATTCTCGAACGTGGCGAAAACTCGGAGAGGGAAATTACATTCGCGCTGCGAGCGGGGCGAGTTCGCGCGGCGAGGGGGAGAGTTCCGTGAATGAAATTCCAGAAGGACGAGATGCTGGGTGCCGATGCTGGTGCCGAAACTGTGCCGGAGTTTCTCACGAATCCATAACAGCTGTTCTCAACCCCTGGGTATTGATCCTGTTCGGACCACCGGCTGGGGGTGGTAGGTCTTCTGCCCCGAAGGCACACCTCGCACCGATCCGAGGAATCGTTGGGAAATTTATTAATTCGATTAAAAAGCGATGCTGCTGTTCGCGAAATTGCTCGGTTTTTTACCATGCAAGAGGGGAAAAACGTGTAGAAGGATAATTGAGTTGAAAATTCGCGTGCTAAGTGAATTAAACATACGGGTTTGGGGCAATAGGCGTTTCGTTTTTTTTTTGGGGGGTTGTGTTAGGAACGAGCGGGCGTAGGTCAATTGCGCTGCGTTATAGCCAATTTTCCTTTCATCGGAACATGAACTCGGCCTAAAAGTCAACCGGTCAAGCGTTTTCGCATTTTCTCCGCGAACCGTCCGATTGAATAAAACCCTCCTAAACGCGCAAAAATATTCTTGGGCGCGTAATCGATTGGGGGGCGAGAACCGCGAGCAGTGCAGAACCTCTTTCACCGGCCGCACGAAGCAATTGCGAGCTTGTCATCGCGCCCTGATGGGAATCGGCCCGACGCGTGTCCCGAGGCTGGTCCAGAAAACGTTCCTGACAACGGCGCGCAATTGCCCGCTGCCCGATCGAGGGTGAATGAGGGCGGCACGAACGCACCTGTTAGCTCGCCGGGAATATAGCTTGATTCATTACTGCGACAGAAGCGATGTAAAACGGAACAAAGGAATTTCGATTTATTCGACGCTACATTAAATGCATGCGATGTAATTTGCAGCGGGTTTGTTTGGTTGTTTGCAGGCAGAAGATAGGCCGCTACAGAGACCAGCCGATATTCGGGAGGATCGTCCACAATCCGCCGAACTGGAGGAAACAGAACGCCGCTGATAGATACAAGGCGTTCCAGGAAATCGCCCATTTGTACGGAATGCCCATGCCAGCCGAGCCCCGAAGGAAACTCACGACCTTCCGCCTGCCCGGTGGAAGAATTCGTACGGTGGGTATCCCGCCGGTACAAGGAAGCTTCCAGCACCTCAAAGTGAGTCCTAATTCAATTTAGCCAGTTGCAATTTTTCCGTTTGTTTAATCGGACGTTCGAATTGGAATTGCAGCTTTAAATGTAAACAGGAAGCTTCATTTCGAAATGAAATGTCTATCCGCATCAGTTTTGTATGCGAGCAGGTATTTCCGCGAAGCGCGATATAATCATTCGGCGGGATGAAATTTTTAATCGAAAAATCTATGCGATGTCGAAAAATCAATTTGCCGGAATTAATATTCGACAGTTTAATTACCGCGAAGGTACGTTGGAAATTTCATTTATTGCAAAAAACCGTTTCGACGCGGATTATTGGATTTATATATCGCGATGAAATGTTCTTCCTTTTATCCATTCATACGCGAATTGAATTTGAATTTTTTGATACCGGATACAAAATTCCAAGGGCGGTATTTTAGAATTCGTCGCAATTGTACTCAACATCTTCAATTGGAACGCGTAATTATTTTTTCGGTAAGACGCCACTTTTATTTTGCAGGAATTAATTAAGACCGAAAGAGCCCGGGAATTGGAGCAACAAAGGGCGGCTGAGGAGGCGGCTGCCAGAGCGGCTGCACTCAAAGATTTGGCTACCAGAGGGAAAACCAGAACGCAAGCGTAAGCCATTTTCGCATTTATTAGCGCGTTAAATACAACATGTTCGTTTATAATTATGCCCCTCATTCATTCGGATTTAACGGAAAGCAAACGGAAGATCCATTTATTTAGACGGATTAGGGCCTTCATTAAATTTCGCTGCCACTTCTGTTGCTTGTTTATTTGGCGTGTTTTTCCCTTCCTTTATTAAGCTCTAATTCGCTCGGGCATTATATTAATCCTAAATTTGTACAAACCCTTCTGCTGGGCTTATCTTGATATTCCAACCTCAAACAACGTAAAAATTCCCTACACACCAAAAAAGTTATCAACTTGTTTTGATTGCAATATTATTCTAACTTAACATTTCCCTTTGAAATAAGTTTCCAAAACCGCGCCTATTGAATGAATATAAAAAATATATAATCGTCTTATTCTGCTTATATGCGAATTAGAAACGCAAAAGAAGTCTTACGGGAGTTTTCGGGTAATAATTCTCCCAACTTTTCGACGAACAATGCTTTAATAAAGTCGGAATAACTCGCTTTTGCCAAAGGAACACTAAGGTTTCGGGGAGCGTTTGGAATCCTCGAATTTTCGAAATTTAATTATTTCATTAAATCGCGCCGGGGCGTTTTGTTTTTATTTGACGAACGGGAAAAGTAAGCGGAAACCTGAAAAACCGAAGGAGTTTCCCGTAGACCGACTAGCCTGCAGCTTTTCGACGATGATTAAGGCATTTCCTCGCCAGCAAGAGACAACGTTTAATTATTTCAAGAGAGAAACCTGGAGAACGGGATGAATGCTTAAGATTTTATTAAACACAAGAGGCATTCAGGATAGACTTTAATATACAAAGATTAAAATTTTCCTTTTACCCGGCTCTTCTCGTTGCCGGTACAAAAATTAACGATTGTCTTAAGGTCGGTAAAGTTTCCTTTACAAGCTCAAATTGAATCTCGAAAAGTTCGCGTATAAAAACCGAAACGAAACCCAGGTAATTTGAAATTCGTTATTAAATATAAACAGTCGAGCACCGCAATTCTTCTACTACTGTGGCGTTATTACATTAAAAATCGTTGGTGAAATTAACTTCTTCCACTGTGGCGTTATTGCATAAAAATCGTTGGTGAAATTAACTTCTTCCACTGTGGCGTTATTAGATAAAAATCGTTGGTGAAATTAACAATTTGGTTGCAGCTACGTGACCGACGATTACGGCTATCTGTCCGACGAGCCGGATTATGGGACAGTCGAGGAGAACACTCCGCGGCCGGGCCTGCTGGCTTTCCCCGATCCAGCCGCGAGGCCGGTCGCATACAAAATGATGCCGGACTACGCGTACACGCGCGCGGCCGGAGCGGGCAGGTCCAGGGCGATTTTCGATAATTCTTTTACCGTAAGTAACATTCATTAGCCGAGACCCCGTCGGCGGGGTTCTAATTTGCCCGTTGTCGATCGAACCGATGGAGCTTGACAATCGGAAGCGTTGTGGGGTTAAGACCTGTTACACGCGTCTAGGCTGTTGATAAGGGTTAATCCAAGCTAAAGCTAGGCTAAAACTACGCCGTGGAAATAGTTCATTAATTAACCCTTATCTCGTTAAAGTAATTCATTCGGCGTTCGAAAAGTGGACCTCGGGGGTTATTAACGAATTTGTTTTGTTTTCAGGATGGTTACAGCGGTTATCTACCGTAAGAAACAAAAATTTAAAAAAAAAATGTTAGCTTAGATTGATGTTGTTAAACCACCCTAATCACATGCTATAGCAAAGCCTCCACGTCATACGGAAATAAATGTCTTTCAGAAGCTTACTAGAGGAAGAATTATCCGTTACCATATCGTTAACTAAATCATAAAGAAAAAAAAATTATTTATGGTAGTTCTTAGACTGACTAAACAGATGTCGATCAATTCTTTGTCAGTGAGACCGTAGTTAAAATAAAAATGAAAGAAATATATTTAGTCCATATATACATAGAGCGTTCTGTTTCTCGTGAACTGATCAGTAGTTTTCCTTTTAAGGAGGAGGAAAATCACTCTCGCAAGTGCCAGATTCAAGCATGTAATGTACTTCTGTAATGATACTTCTTCGACGAAAGGTATAATGTATGAAAAATTCAGGCAAATCGAATCGTATCTGTATCGGTTCACCCTTGATGTCGATTATACACGTGACTGAACAAAGAAAATCATTAAGTCTGGCATATATATATATATATATACATATGACTCGCGGATGCGGCGATCCGATGACGAGCACATTTTATCTGGGTTATTTTAGAAAATTCGGAGGCTGGGCTTAGTTTCTATTCTAATCGACGCGACGAACGGACGAAATTTGCTCTCACCGCCATCGCATCCGTTTAGCTTGTAAAATAAAAAAAAAAACAAACTCTTGCACAATCATATCGAGTAGTACTTTTTTGGACGCGCTAATCCCCCCGTAATGATAGTAAATATTCTTACATAATCTATCTTCTCTAGCTTCCATCACAGGAAAGCGTCTGCAGCAACTCGTTTCTCGAATAATAAAAGTCTAATTCATAGCTGATTTAGCGTTCGAAGTGTTAACATGGTTACACTGTCATATCATAAAACAGGGCGACTTTTACTAGCTCGGTAATAAAAATCTTGTTGAACACTCTCAAGGAACGGCATTAGAGTCAATTAGAGTTCGATTTCGAATAAAAAGCGCGGCTTTGAAGATTTCGAAAAGTTTTATAGACAATATCAAAAGCATACCGAATTTAAATATCATTTCTAATACTAAATGTTGACTTAATTAGAACATTATTAACCAACTATGAGTAAAAATAACGCGCTTTTAAACTTCCTTCCAGCGATTTCCAATATTTAATTAAGGATAGGTAATTTAGAGAGTATCCATAAATCAATTAAAAGTATACAACTTCTAATAATACAGTACATTTGAACCAATTCAATTAATCTACTTAGTTGACTACATGAAATAATTTCATTAAAGAATTTATCATAATTATTATCGAAAAGGCCCAAATATACCTAATATCATTTAACTAACTCATTATTTAAAACACAATAGTTTTATTAATTGCAGATAAAACATCATCATACATATCATCCGAATTTCTTTTTGCTTTACGTAGATAATTCCTGAGAATATTTTTTTTCTAAGAATAGTAACTACATTGAAGCATACATATCATCACAACTAGCTTGTCAAATATTAATTGTAACAAAACCCGACTCAGGTCTAATCAAAATTTGAAACCATATCACAGACTGAACGTAAATGCTAAACGGAAATTATTTTTCGATTAATATTCAACTACCGAAACAAGAGATATTTTAATAGTTAGAAAACACCTGAAACTAAACGATAAGATTTTCAATAGACAGGCGCGATTATCGCGAGTTTAAAGTTGAATATTATAAATGAAATATTTCAAAATCTCAGTTGGAATGTCTTATTGTACAATGAAGATTACGAGATTCAATAGCTGGGTAAAAAGGTAAAAAATTGGGAAAATGGCTTCTATATCGATTAGATTATTCTAATATAATGTATTTAATTAAACGGCTATAGTCGAATGAAACTGCCCATTTACATTTAAAATGAGTCAACTATCGTACGTATAATAATATGTTTCAGATCAGTTCAATCAATCAATTTTACTATAGATTAAGATGAAAACAAATGGACAATATCTAATATCTAAAATTTTTATAATGCAACAGAAACACGAACGAAACATTGCACAAGAATATGAATTTTATATACACATAAGAGTAGGTAAACATTAAATTCGCATCGCAAGGAATTTAGGAATATACTTATCACTGAAAGCAGGTATTAGCAGAAATTTTATCTGAGAAACTTCTAAAAAAAAATCCCTTTTCATTATCCTCTAATTTCTAGACGGTCTTAAGAGCTCATCTTCAATAATTGCACTAACTTTAATGGCATTCGGGATTATTCCTACCTAATGCGCCTAAGCCTATAAACCTGCTTTGCTTTTGGCGAGCTCTCCTTCATTTTACTCATCAACAACAACAATCTACTTACAAGTTTTTCAGTGAAGCTGAAGCTCGAGTGGAATCACACTAAATTCCTGCACTCGTTTCGCGCGAGCAACGCGAATTTGTACCTACTCAGAGTAAAACAGGAAAAAAAATGTTCAAATACGAAATAATAAAATTTGTGATTCTAGAGAGACAATTTCGATATTTATCTACGTTAAAATGGCACATTAAATTTTATAAAAAATATGTATACAAACTAAATAGGGGTTAGTAAACAAAATGTACGTATTATTACGTAGTATAGCGCTTATTGTAAACCAAGTCTTCCTAATTATAAAAGAAATACCAAAAATATAAAAAGGTTTAAAAGTTGGACTTAATCATTTTTTTAATTGTACGAATACAACCATTATTAATATTATTATTGTATTAAGTGTAATAATAGTGGTGGTATCGCGTTAACAAGACCTTTTTATTTTAATTAAACAACAAATTTATTGGAAACTGTCAAAACTTCGAGCTCCAGAGAGGTAAATTATGTCAAAGTTTCTAACCGAACTAAATTTAATCAACATCTTGTTAGAATTGATGAAATAATAGACTTGGTACTTGGAAAATAGGTGAAAACAGCATACTTTACCTCTGATATATGCTAATTAGTGTAGCATTTTTTTTACTTCTGACCTGGTAGAATATAGATGTGATGATCTGACAATAAATAAATTATTCTAATATGTGTACTTACCTAAATAAATGTTAACTATACATGTTGTATTTTCACAAAATTTTGGAAAATTTACCAGCGCTTGGGAAGATTATAAAATATACCTACGTAGAAATGAGAACCACATTCCATGCTAATATTTTTATAAAATGCTGTTGACTAATTTCCACCAACAAAATGTTTCTCTAACTTAGGATTATTTTATTGTGTAATACGTTATGTGAAATTTCAGTAAATGTTGCTTATATTCAAAAATTCATAGGGATGTTATCAATGTTTTATGGACTTTTGCAGCTATGTATTTAGAAAGAAATGACTTAGATGTAGCAGAAACTTATTGTCTACGTCCTGATATCTATATTGTATGTAAACAAGATGTCCTCACATTCAAAAATCCTCCTTAAATGGATTGAAAACACGTTTTCAAAATAAAAATTGACTGGCACTCGAACAGTCTTTTGATTGATATATGGACTTAGGCATAAACAAGATCTAAGGAGTGGTACCTGAAGAAAATACTAAGAGTATATTAGAAAAATATATTTTTAAATGGATGAAAATAGATTATATGACTCGATGTTACACCTTGCAACATATGTAACCAATAATATATTGATGTTAAATAAATGAATAAATGAAATATAGTTTTATTTTATATTTTCTTCATGTATTGTTGATAAGCGAGTAGAATAATCCCAGTGCTGGCCAATAACATCAACTGCATTATGACAATAAAACGTTTATACTAAATAAGAACCAATATCAATATTGGTATTTACGTTGCATTTACAGCGGCCAAATTGTAAGGGCCCAATGTTGGCTGATGTAAATGATAATAAATTAAAATCGTGTTAATTAGCATTTCTCTATAGGGTGTGTATAAAATATCGTTTAATCTAATGCAAATGTTGCGAAAGCGAAGTCTCTTTCGCGGTTAATTCCAATTGAAATTTGCCATAGAAATTTGGAATTTGAAATACAAAAAAGTGTATAAGAGATATTTTGAAGTGTCCATAAGCGAGGAAATGTTACAAATGCTTCAATAACTTTTATACACAAAACACAAAATTTCAGTGTGATAACAACCCGTTTTATATCCATCTTACATACCTATTAAAAAATAAACTTTGAATTAAGCTTCGCTTTGTCAATTTTTAATACTTAATGTTCATTAATAATTGAATCTAAGTCATAAAATTAATTGCCCGTGCTTCCTATAATACCCTAATCACTGTATTAATTTTTCCTCTTTCTCTGTGATGTTAAGAAACTAATCGACAATATCAAACTCCTTATGGAATGCAACTGTAGAATGTATTTTGTATGTGTAATATATTTCTATGTAATTATATTTACTGTTTATTATCTTAGTAAATTGGCAAACATAGAAAATGTGTTTTTATTTAATTAATTCATTCACTCACCTCGGTTTCCAGTAGTAGCTGACAAGGTAAGATGGCGGAAAAGGAAAATTGACATATCAATGACAATGACATATCAATGACAAGTTGTATGTTCTATGCTAGCGCTATTTATTAATTGTAGTTCAGAAAAACCAATTAAATACGTATACATTTTTTATTGAAAAATTAAGCATACAAATAATGGTAAATTAAAAAATTTATTAAGATATCCGGATTACAAAGTAAGTAAAAAAAACCGAAAACGATCTCAAACCAAAAATACAATGTGCTCTATGAAAGTACCTAACACACATAAAACTTCCATGAATTCAACGCCTACTATAATTATTACAGATTACATTTTACCACAAAAGAAATATATATTATTCATATACAAGTTCCTAACTGTAAAACAACGAATGATACGATATATTTTATGCATGAAATGAAGACCGAATTCAACATCAAAACTTTATTATATTAGAAATTTGAACGAACCATTCTCGAAATGTGTGTGTGTATGTATTTAATTCCCATATTTAATTGTCCTCCTCGTTAGCGGGAGAACGACTGCGAGACCTGCTTTTGGACGAGGCCCGCGAATTCGAGCGAGACTTGTCTCTCGAATCGTTCTTATCTTTGGCACTTGGTGATTTCGAGCTATCTTTTTCCTCGCTCCTCGAACGCGACTTCGATCTCTTATTAGAACGACTCCTAGATCTACAACGCATTAACCATTTAAATAATGCCAAAGTGGTATAAATTATTAGTATATTACCTGCTGTGGCTGCGAGAACGACTAGTCGAGACAGTCCTGCTTCTCTTGCTGGCTGTTGCGCGATCTTCGACCAATTTTATCTTTCTACCGTTTAACTCGGTTCCGTCTAATTTGTCGATAACGTTTCGCAAATCTTTGTAGGAAGCAAACTCTACAATCCTGAAACGAATGGAATTCGAGTTGAGTAACTACGAGTAATCTAAATGACTTAACTCACCCTTCGTTACGTCTCTGCTTATGCGCATCGGCGAAAGTAACTTCACCAGCTTGTCTCATGTAGTCTTTCAGGTCCTATTGAAAGAGAATTCGAACGTTTATTATGTTGTAAAAAAATGCATGGATTGTAACAAAAAATTACCTGAATTGCGACAAAAACGATAAATCCAAACATAAAAATTTAAACATCTTTGGTAAATGAAATCTATTTTTTTTTGTAACGTATGTTACACTTTGTTTTGTACAAACAAAAAAAATAGTGATCGTTCATAAATTGTATAATATATGATTTCTAAAGTGCAGAGGTGATTTTTAAAACCAAAGTGTAATTTCTGGTAACAGTGAAAAATTGATTTTAACGCGGGGTTTTTTTTTTCCTATGACCACGAAATTTTACCCTGCGGGATTTTTATTTCGATCAATCGATAAATCTAAAAAGCCAAGCACTTTCCACAAATACGCACATCATAAGACATAACTCCTTTTAAGTTATTTTACTTTTGTCGTACAGAAGCTATGTTTTTAGTTATCTAATTAATTCATTTAAAGTCATATTAGTACAAACATATCATAGGTTTTTTGGTTACTACAGGATCTATGAGCTTTCAGGTTAACTCCACGTAATATTAGAGAAATATTCAAATAGTTTTACTGTAAGTATTACAAAAAAAAAATCGTGGTCGTAGGAAAAATCACTTACTTAATCACAACAGCTACTAAATCATACAATGTTTTAGTTAATAATTTAGAAATGATTTGAGATATAATGTAAAAAAAAATGTAGCTTCATGTGAACTGATTAGAAACAAAGTGTAACAAATTAAAAAATGCGCATCATGCTATGGCATTTACCTGAGGCATAGTGAATAGGATACCACATAGAACCAATGGAATCAATGGACTGGCGCGCAATAACTGACTGTACCAACTGCCACTCACACGTGTACCACATAGATTGAGCATAGATCAGGCCTAGAGAGATACCTCACGGTCCAAGGGAAACAGTGCTCATTGCGAAAAATACTTTGTACTATTACGGTCTTTTTCCGGGATTCCAATGATTATCCATCTTCCGGTAAACACTGATCGACTGACAGGCATAGGAGGTACTTTTAATCGGTTAAAACGTTCGAACAGCTGCACAAGTTCGCATGGTTTTGTTTACGAAATAATCTTAATGCAATCAATTTTGGTTTTTTTTTCGATTGATACGTTAGAATAGCATTAGCATGAAAACTTGTGCGTTCCTAGCGCCTGGACTTCTCGGACCATCCACATATCCATAAATATATTGATGAATTGAATTTAGACGGTCATCAATATACACCTTTTAGCCATTGTCAAGGACGGGGGGGAAGGAACTGAAGTAGAAAGGTAATTTCTAATCTTCACGCATGGAACCTGGGAAATTTGTGGGTCCACTAACATCCCTGGGGTCTTGCCCATTTGGAATGGTCGCATCCGATACGCTCAAAATGTGGTTACACTTCGATGGATTCTCATGATACCCCAGATTGCCTCAATACATTGGACTGCATGTGAAATCGGAAGATTTTTTTTCAGTCACCGGCCTTGCTTTGCTCTCCCTTTACCCTCTGTTTGGTTTTCAAATGTTGAATGAAAAATGACAGATTATTAGATTCTTCATAAAGCGCAATATTCAAAAAACCTAATTAAATATTAATTCAATTCAATTTGATCCGAAGCACCAACAACTTGTATCGTAATCCCTTATTATCATGAATTTTCAAGCAGTTTCGAGTTAGTAAAAATTCTGTTCCACAAGTTTTATCAAATCAACTAACTTTGATATATTGAATCGATTATTTAAATATCGAATTGTCAATCCCCTGAGCTTAATATGCCTATTTTATGTCGGTCAAACAAGCGAGTCATTTTTCATTAAACATTTATCTGGTTCTACCATTGGATGACCTCTATAATTATATTATATTTATAATGTATCCAATAAATACATAATGTTTCAAAATATTTGGCAATTATTTATTATCACCATTGGCATAAAAATGTAGAAATATTTTCGAAAAACATTTGCCAAATACTTTCAAATCTACTATACATATTTATTTAGATAGGTGAAACAACTTTTACTGTATTTAAATCAACTTAAACTTGTTATAAATTTAAAACAAAAAAAGCTAAAAAACTAGTTCACCAATCTCGAATTTTAAAATTCAATATTCAACAAATTGTAATGATTCTTACCAAATGATTCGGTTAATACTCATGTTCTTACCTGCCAGCTGATTCTCGATGACAAATTTTCAACATACACTCTGTATTTTGTTCTGGTCGGTGGTCCATATCTAACACAAAAATTACATCAATAATAGATATTCGTGATCCACTTGCATGTGTAATACTCACTTATCTCGAGTGTCTCGATTACTGCTTCGAGAAGGTGGACCTCCGTAACCGCCTCGGTAGCCACCTCCTCTGCGACTGTCTTTCCATTGGTCGCTTCCTCTTGGCGTGCCTCTGGCTCTTTCAACGGATATCCTAAGACGAGGAGAATTAGAAAATACCACACATATTATAGAGCTTAATGATTACTTTTCACCCATCAAATCTCTGCCGTTGAGCTCATAGATAGCATCCTCTGCATCACGGTAATCGTCGAATTCCTGATAACAATAAGTAACACAAATAAACGTGTGTAAATAGTGATGTAATTGCGAACTTACGACGAATGCGAATCCATTTTTCATGGAGACCTCCCTTATTCTTCCGTACTTGCGGAAGAACTTCTCTAAATCGCGCTCTTTCACCCTATATGTAAGCCCACCAACAAACACTCTGGTATTCATCTAAAATGTTATATTTATCTATTAATCTAAGAGTTTCGATGCGGGAAATGCAAAAAGCCTGAATAAGTAACATATGTAATAGATAAGTAAGTAAACGGAAATCACCAAACGCATTGCATCAACACATTTCAGAAAACATCACGCTTACCTTCATATCCACTTATGAAATGTACTTTAGCTTTTTGTTCAGGAGTCGTATATATAAGAAAAAAGTTTTAATTAAACTTAACTTTGAATTAATAGCGACAAAACCTTATCAAATCCACTTTATTGAAGCACAACACAAAGCAAACACCCGATCAACGTACATGCAGAAATGACAGATAGCCTAAAATGGAGACTTATCACTTATCACGATTGTGAATAAAATTCGAAACTAATTATGGAATATTTTGAAATGGCCCAAGAAAGAGAAATACTCGATTTTAGCCGATTAATTTTAGTTTTAAGATAGTTTGCGGTATATTTTACAAAGTATTGATTGGTAAAAATAAAAAAGAACTTTTTTTGTTGGATACTTCAGACACCAGAAAAAAGAAGAGGTAATACAAAAAAACGCGTCTGTCAATTTATATTGTAAAACTGGCTGAATAGTTTTGGAGAAACAGTCCATATATATTCGGTAAGAAGAAGAAGTCATTGGTCAAAATTTCATTTAGAAAACAACTGTCAGATTGTATGAAATGTCGATTAATAATTGCAATTGAAAATGTCCTTTATCTTGCAAAAAACAAAGCCTTTCGACAAGAACAAGAAAAAGCCTCCGCCGCGACCGCCGCCTCCGAATTTTTCAAAGTACAGAAGTAAGTCGACGTTTAATTTAAACGAAAATCTCATCGAATGGAGCCCACCGAATTCTCCGAAGACAGAAAGAGTATCAAACTTCGGTGGGAGTGTATCGAGTTCGTTCAGCAGCAGTACGAGTAGTTTGGCTTCTAGTAAAAAAAGCTTCGATTGTGATAATATGTCAGTTTCTAATAATATTTGGCCAATTAATCTGAATGCTATCGCTACGACAAGCAACGCCACAAACGTGCCTTATAGTCACCAGACAGTCGGTAGACAATCAACTAATGTGATATTGAATCAGCCAATTTCGAGAAACGGCCAAAGAAACGTTAACGCCAATCACTTGAGCGTACCCACAATTATTAGGCCTCGACCGATTAAGACGAAGGCGATAAAAGAGCAAATCGAAGAGCCTTCGAACAATTCTCCGCCTATGCCTTCTGTCCCGCCGCCGAGCCCCCCTAAGAATGTCGATAACGAGGATATCCCTTATGGAATAGCTTTGTATGATTTCGAAGCAAAGGAACCGAATGATCTGTCTTTTCAAGTACGTAAGCAACACTATTTCTGTACCTCTGTATTAATTACAATTTCAATTTCAGGCAAATGATATTGTTATTTTGTTGAAAAAAATCAATAACGATTGGTACTTTGGGAAAACCCAAGATATAGAAGGGATGTTTCCTGCCAATTTCATTGAAGTGGTAGTGCCTTTAGAAAAAGACGATAATACTGTGATGGCTTTGTTCGAATTCCCCGCTCAAATGGAAGGAGATTTAGCCTTAAAGCCTGGACAGCTAGTAACAGTTATGAGAAGGATTAACGAGGACTGGCTGTACGGTGAGTCGAATGGACAAGTCGGGCAGTTTCCTAGCAATTTTGTTGAAAGGGTACCAAACGTTTGATACAAAATTTATTTGGGTTCCATTGCATTTTAATGGATACTTTTAGTCTATATGTAATATTCCATATTATAAATAATATATATTTGTCATAAACTTAAATAGGAACAAGTTGAAGCAAAAAATGATTACGAATAAAACTAACAACACATAAAAATTCTGATAATTGTTTAACATTTAGTCAAAAAAAAAGTTAGAAAATAGTTTTTGCATTAAATGTTAAAGCAGCAAATAGATAACATTTAATGTTTACAATTTTTGATATTAATATTTAATTGATGATCGTACAACAATAATTTTATAGAGTATTAACCAATATGTGATTTGAAGATATCGCTAAAATAGTATATTTTGTAAAATGTACATTAGTTAGGTGAATTTTCTTCTAATATTCTTACATCATTTATTGTATTATTTTGAAACCAAATAATAATGTTTATTTTTATTAAAAATTATTTTTAATTCAGCGTAACTCGGAATTCCCCCAAACATTAGTCGAGATGTCCGGGAATTCGACACCTATTCAAGCATTTTCTCAATGACCGGAATCCAATTTTCGCGTCCACGTATTTTAGCAATAAATTACATCCAAGCGACCGCTGGAATCCGAAATTCCCAACATTTACAACTGAACTTACGAAATGAAATATTTCGACTTAATCCCGAATCGTTTATTGTGATAGGCATACCTCAGTTGTACTCGGAAAAAACCCCAAACGTGGTTCTAAAACATCCCCGAGTTTTGTACGTGAGCGAGGGAAACTTTACTTCGTATTGTCCAAACATAAAACAGGTATGCAGGTAAGCGAACCCCCATTATGAATTTTCTAAAGGTTCAGTAGTAAAATATTAATACGGAACTCTTGAAAAATAATTGAATTTTACTGGCTACTTCCTCTTTTTATTAGTGTAAATATTCGAATATGGATACTTACAGGAAGAGGCCATACTAAAATAATTTTCCATGTTTCATAAACCCGACATTTTTTCTTTAATAATTTAAATCTAACCGGTCAAGTCGACTATGGAAATCTGTCACTTGACACTTTCGTCTGTCATTTGACATTTTCGTCTGTCATTTGACTTTTTTTTTTAATTTTTGTTCATAATTATCTCATAATTGATACCTAATTATCATAGGTAACTATGAAATGTCCTGAATCCGTGCGAGTTTTGGCGACATACGGCAACATCGCGCCCACCTAAAGGCCAACTAACAGTAGTTAGTCAAGAGAGCGAGTGCAGTGCACTCTGGCGAGCAAAACCGGCCCGTCTGTCTGAATCAAGTTGTCTTCGTAGTGACACGCTATGCCTAGCGGTTTTTAGACGCGTTTCGTTTCAAAACATTTTGCGATTATTTTGCTAACGCCGCCGAATTTTCAACAACAAAACGCTCTCGATTCGTTCGTAACAACGAAAGTGCATTACCTGCGGCCGTTCCGTTGGCGACCAGCCGGGAATCGTGAACTTTTAACAACTTTTCGTTCGAGTTCTTCGATGTCGGTTCAGTTGAAAAGTTTTCGGAGTTTTGAAGATGATTGTGCGTCATCGTAGATTCTGGGTCCACGATACTAGGTAAGCTTAAGTAATTAATAACACATACTATTCCACTTAGTCACGTTGAGATATTCCTAATATAGTTTAAACAACTTTTCTTGCGTTCGTAAAAGTTTTGTAAACACACGCAAAACGTATTTTTGTTTGCTCGTGTAGAATTTCAAAGAAATAAATTCAACGAGCGCGTTTTCTCGCTTGTTAACTCCTTTGGTAGCTGCGATAGATAAATAATTTGTCTTTAGGGCCTACACACGTTAATTATGCAATTTTATCTCGTTTAAAAAGACACATTCAAACCATATGAGCTATTTACACGATAATAAAATCTCTACCTACGTAGTTTGAGTAGGTATAAAATTTACTTTCCCTTCCTTTTAACTTAGTTTGTTCGCTTGTCTGTGGGATAAGAATGTTTAAATCAATCAATTTAAATGTGCAACTGACTCGGCTCTACTGAGTGTTTCGAAATTGTTAGAAATAATGTAAATAAATAATCGAGCCTCGACAGATTTTCATGGAAACACCCTGTATGTATTAAGTGTTCGGAAGATTTCTCATAGACTTATTATTACTAAGTGTTTTATGCTATAATGTATTTAACTACTCTATTATTAAAATGATTTATGCGATGAAGAAAATCCTTCAGATGTCTTCAAACTTCTGAATAGCATTTTTTTGCACTCAAGGTTGCTAATGTCCCAAACATCGCTCGTTAATTGAGTTAGCATTAATTAAATGATGTAATTATAGTAACAAATCGTATGTGTAATAATGAATTCGATAGTCTAGGGCCTTTAAACTGGTTTTTAATTTTGAGGAAATTGTTTGTATCTTAATTAAAATTATCTCTCATCGACTGACCGTGAAGAAAAAAAAATGCTGGTCAAGTTTTAAACAAATCTGCTTGACTAGTTTGTCGTAAAGGAAATTCAAAACGAGTATAAAGCAGTGCAAGATACTTACAATGTAATAAGTAAGTACTTAAAATTGCTTATTGTGAGTGATTTTACTGAGGAATAAAGTGCTTTTGTCGCCACTTTCAGTCCTCTAATTTAATGCGTATTTTTACTTAACGTGCGGAATAAATTTTTATTGTGAGTAAATTGAAACTCTTCTCTATACACCTTGTATATCTGTGCTTCATTAAATATTGGTGTGGCAACGTGGTGTTAATAATAAGTACCTAATCGATTTTTGCACCTAGAACAAATTCTTAAAATAGATACACAGAATAATTAATTACAGTAGATTGCAAATTTTTATAAAAACCGTACTACAAATCTTTCCAGTGTATTGATTAAGACATTCAAATGTAACAATTAATTTACCAAAAAGTATTGTTATGTAAAGAAACCAAGCTGAATTATTAAATCAACCTTTTACAGTTCTGCATTAAACTTATTTTACCGTAATGCATGTGTGCCAATAAAATGGACGGCTTGGAAAAAAAAGTTGCTAATAAATTTTACGAGAGGAAGCTCAGATTTAGTTTTACGATCCGGAATGCACATCGAGAAGACTTTGTTTTTATTAGATGCACTTATTACCTATGTATTATGTTAGAAAAATGCAGTAATATTACCTGAAACGCGTTTCGAAATAACTGGTTTATGAATGTAATTTATTAGAATTTTTTCTACTACAGCATGTCTCGTTTAGATTAACCGTAAATACTCGAAGGATAAGACTGTGGACCAAGCTATAAGTTGCATAAATATAAATTAATTTATTAACTGGAAATTAAAGTAAATTACATGTATAAAAATAAAAATCTGTAAGTACATCTGGAATGTTAAGTATCAACAGTATAGACTCTAATAAAAGAAATCGACGATTAGATTCTATTTTCAGTTACTATTCGCTTCTTTTTCTTGTTATTGTGGTTCTAAAATTACCTAGATAAAATAAGCTAAAACGAAGAAAAACGGGAAAACTGTCAAAACGAGCTAAAAACAGTGAAATAATTTTTATGGCTAGTGAACACTGATATGTAACTGTTTGCTTTGGTTCGAAAACGTAGTGCTCCCTATTAGTTAACTGGACACTCTTCAAACGTCAGTGATTTTAAAGATTCACTGAAGCAAATAATAACACCCTGGTGCTTTTTATTTATTTTTAATAAAAAGTGCTGTTTCAAACAAAATCATTACTCCGAAACAATAGCTATTTTCAGTTATAAATAACTATTACTCACGGCAGGGTACGGTATATAAAATGAAAATGCCTCTCTGGAAACAATGTTGATATCATTTATGCAAATGCATGGTAATTTAAAATGGAAAAATTGCTGAAAATTAATTTGTAATGAACGTTAATTATTTTTCTATTGTACGTTATTTCCGCAATCAACAAATTGTTTAGTTTTAAATGTTATCAACTCTTTTGAAATCCTTTTATCATTCCTCGAATTACGGAATTGAATTCAACAGTTTCGTTAAAACAAACAGAGCTTCGTAAGAAAACAACTTCGTGGGTGCGTTTTCTTCTTCTAATTTTATGGGTCGTTTATAGTAAAAGTAAATATTGAAATTTCGAAGTAACGAAGTGTGTGAATTGTTGGGAAGTTCTAACTCGTTTGCCTCCTCGGCGTGTACACATCTAAATTAAGCTCACGTGATTTTTAATCTCTAGGATTCGAGATATTAAAATCCTATAAAAATATTTTCAGTTTCATTTTCTTTGCTCGGCAATTACTGAACTTGGCCTAATTAGGTATACACCATGATCTTTTGTTAAATTAGCATGAAAAATTCTAAATATTTCATGGTTAATTCATCCGATACTTGCTAATTGTCGATTTTGAACATGATTGTTTCTGTCCTGTTGCTATGTAAGCGTAAAATCGTTAATTTTTTTTTCTACGAACGTTTGTTTATAATTATTTACTTAAAAATGTACTTGCGCTAATGTCACAACAGCTGTACAAGTATAGAACCTCGCTGAAAATGTGTAAATAGCGATAGGCTTTTTTTTATGGAAATGAGTTATTTCGTAATTTGATACGACAAAATGCAAGGATACTATTCACGATTTACCCAATTATTTCGATTTTATTGAGTGAAAAAAACATTTAAGAATCGAATAAAAAAAATAATTAACACTTATTGCGAAAGCCGTACGCAGTTTGTCTGTCTCTTAAGAAATTGTAGATTATTATTAAAAAAAAAACTTCAAGTGACAGCAAGAAATTTGAAGACCGTAGTAATTTAATTTGATTATTATGCTGATGATAGTAGAATTGCAATGTGCATAAAAAGCGTTTAAGCGACTGCATGCACTCCAATCATTTGTGCATCTTCAACAAAGAGCTTTTGTTCGGCGTGCGCTGTTTTATTTCAATTCGGGTGTTATTTTCACGCCTGGTGTTAGATAACTTTTGATTACGACATACAAATCAATAACAATTAGGTACATTGGCTATTATTTGCGGTTAATTCGACTCCATAACATATTGAAACCGATGAATTCAATTTCACAAACTCATATTAAAAAACCGATAGTCCAAATCGTAATGCAAACGAAGCGTTTAAAAGTTAATATTATTATACGAGTAATAATATCCACAAGGTGACAAAATAATCGAAATTTTTTTGCGCAAATAATTCGATTCGCTTAATGGATATTTCCTATATTTTTTACAACTTTTTGACACGCCGCCAGGTGTTCCTAAATAAACAATGTATTTAACACTTAAGCCAATTTTTGATTCATTAAAAATTCTAATTACTACCTACGCGTGTGATTTATAAAAACACCAAATGTGTAAAACCTGCGGAGGAGGTTTTATTGAATGGTCCGGACGGAATTTCAAAATTATGAATGAACATAACAATATTCATCGAATAAATATGCTAATTATATTATCTAGTAGCCCATTTCCTTGTAATTTGCCAGAAAAATTAGTATCTGCTTGCATTATCTAGTACACCCGCGCAAACAGGAAGCTTTGCACTGTTACATAGCTATTTTTATTACGTATTTTAGCATCATCTATATCCGCAGTTAATGGTTTTCCTGTATCTAATGCAAATTTACAATATTCCATCTCTTATTTGCGGAAGTTTTTGCGCATTAAAATAAAACATCTCGATTGTCAACTGCTAAAAAAATAATTTTCGCATGTACAACATTGTCAAGTGACCGACAGGTTTTAATACTCTTCTCGGAAAAACTATTTCTAACTTATCCAAACAATTCGCCAGCGGTTTACAAATATTGAAATATTTTCGGTTATTCAAATGGCAGCGAGTTCTAAATCGGCACATACGAATACGTAAATCGTACGTATGAGAAAGTTTTCAAGGTCCGAAAGCCATCTACAACTCATTTGTTCGTCGCAGAGCCCGAGTCGGAAAAGAATAGAATGAAAGGGCAGCGTTCGAAGCAAACAAAGGAGTTTAATTGTTCATGACTGAAGGCAAACCATTTTGATCTTATCAATGACAGTTGTCGTTAGCCAAATTACATTGCCAGTCTGGGTTGGGTACACGTACCTACCTTAACCGATTCGTTATTTTTGGCTCGGTTTTTGTGTAACAGCCCCAAAAGATTTACCAATGCGTACGTGCGGAGGTCACTGCGTTGTAATAATACACCGAGTGAGTTTAATATTTGATTGCGTGTACCAAACAGTCATAGTGTGAAAGTTTAGCCGAACCACATATTGGACAATCCGCCGAGAATTTCTCGTAAATTAATACGATATAACCGAACAGGTTATCGGAGTAGAAAATTAATTAGGAAGCTCCATCAAGTAAATGTTTATTATAAGCGAGTGGTGTAGTCAGTTAACCCTTATAAGTGAAAGTTGAAAGTCTCTCCCCTTCGTAAAATTCAACTCTTCACGCCATATGACTAATGCAACACAGAGGCGTTTTTATTCTTCTAACAAAATACGATAGTTAATCACGTTATTGATTGATAGCGTTTCACTTAAGGGTGCACAAAGGAAGGCGATTCATTCGAAGATGTATTCAAATTACAGCGTTTCGAATTTTTTTATGTTAGAATAACTATACATAATTCATAATAACAAACGATCTAAAAAATTACCGGCGCCGGGATTAAACTTTATGTGGCCCACATTAGGTAAATAAACATCAAAATAGCCGACGCTCATGGTTGCAAAACTGAAAGGGGTGAATTTGTAATAAGATGGCATATAGGCGCCTGGCGTAATAAGACATGAAAAATTCACGAGCACGAGATCTTATATTGCCTGTCCCAGGGTTTGCACCGCCATCAATATTGTATTACATTCTGGGAAACCCTGCATTCTCATTAACTAGAATCATTATGTTGTGCGCCTACGGTTACCCTACATACGTCGCTCGCTCGGTGTTGTTTTAATTTTAATATTTTTATGCAAACAAAATACTCGAAATGCTAGCTCATCCATCCGCTGAACAATCTTAATAATATCATTATTAAACAAATTTAATGAAATCAACGCTTGGTACTGTTCGATGGGAATAGCTGAAGATGCTATTGTAGCGTTCGAGCATAGTTATTTTATTTAATTAAAAAAAAATACTGTAAATTTCGTAATTGAAAGAAACGTTTTCGCTTAAAGAGTTTGAAATTATCTATATCGCCACACTGGCAGTTCTCTGCTACACTTGTTTTTACTGCAAACGAAATTGCTTGATTATACTGGTTTATACCCTTGAGCAAATATGACTTGAAACTAGTTTCTTCCATCTTGCAATTGCATACAGATGAGGTTGTGTGCTGTTAATAAAATCGAATGATACGCGTTTCCTTTGGAGGTTGCCCGCGATCGAGTTTTTTACACCCCGAGATCGTGTTTTCCTGGCCGAAAATTCGTGATGTGGCTCAAACAAAGGTGGAGTTTTATCGGTTGATTCTTACCTGACCTGCAGGAGTTTCCTCGACTAGGCACGTTCGAAAAAAATGCGACGAATAAATGTTTACCTATAATCCCAAGTAAGTGACATTTAGTAGATATGATAAAGGAGGGTAAATAAGGGTGGTGAAAGTTTTCACTAATTTCGAATTTCGGTCTATAAAATGTAATAAAAGTCGCAGAGAATTAGGCAAAGTAAAAAAGCTCGCAATTAAGACATTTTATGCTCGTTCAGAATAAGATGACTCTTATCCTTGCAACATTGGATTTTTTTAGATTGGATATATACATATGTAACTCACGTTTGTTCTTTGAAAGCGATGTCAAAACATCGACAATTTCTCAATGTTGGCTGCAAACGAGATATGAAATAGGTGGGTTCGTACGAAATTCAGTTTAATTGTGAAGAAATTACTACAATAAATCGATTTATACGGCAAAAATGATTTGATTACGCAAAAGTTTTGTACCTATAAGCGTCTTCGAATCGGAAGAAAATCTGTACGTATTATATCAAAAGGTGAAAGTCTTCAATCGCGTCGATTTTCAAATCTATTGTAATAAGAAAACTAAAGTTTTATTAGTCACTAATTACAGGATGTACAAAAAAAATGTGGCACACCCTGTATTACTAAAATTATATAGTCGAGTATAATTCCACTTGCGTGCGTTAAATAATTATCTTGACGAGTACATTTTTAATTTTTTACTTGTTGTATGTACAAAAGGTATTCAGCTTTCATTTTCTCGCATATACCCAGTAGGTATGCAAATAATATTAAAATGGCAAAACGATTTTGAAAAGAGTGCGAATTTATTTATTACCTTAAAACGTTGATATTAATTTAATTGGGACACCGGGTACACACTTATGACATAACGTGATGAATCTTCCTTTCACAATCGCATTAAGCTATTAGAAAACATTTCTTAGGTCATAGTAAATTATATACACATAAAATTCAATTATTTTATGTTCGTACTTACTTGTACGTTGGTTTTAAAACGTGACAACAGATTAAAAAAGACCTACATTAAAAATTAATACGATGTATACAGTGTGTTTAACACGTTGAATGCCACGTGAGCTTTTCCTAATTTAATTTGGAAAATACTAACTTTTTTGTAGAAACGGTAATCGATATCTAATTTTTTTTTCTAAAATCGATCGCCTTGTATAAACATACAAAATTAAACATCGCGATTGGTTGTGTATGTACGTCGGGCATAAATAAATAAACTATATATTTCCAGGATCCAATTAATAAAGATAATTAGCTTCTACTACGTCAAGGATAAATTTGTGATTTTTAGGCGAGCATAATTTTTTAAAATACCGGAATCTACCCATTAAATTTCGTTAAAAATAGTTTTTCTAGTGAAATAAATTAAAAATTGCAAATAAAACTTTATTACACCAATAAAAATACACGCAATAAATGAATGTCTTCAAACCAGAACCACTTTATAGTTATTAAGAATGAATCGATTGAGGTCCGTATACTTCATCTATTCCCGTCGCACCGTATAGAATATCATAGAATTATGTGTATTAATTGTAGGAGCTAGGTGCATTTTCGTAGCGACGTGTAATTAGTGCATTCGAAGCTGCTTTATTTAATGGAAGTTCCAATTTAAATGGTCTTATCGTGAATAATTCTTTTTTTTTTTTATAAATGGTCGCAGGTAAAGACCGGTTCTATTCATTGCGATGGCTCTGTTTAGGTGCCAGATACACATACGGGTGACGTCGCTTTAAATTGAATAGCGATGGCGGAGCGAATCGAAGCAGCATCGGTCGAATTCGTCTCGAGACAGGTGCGCTCGGCCCGGTTTCTTTTTTCTTCTTCTTCTTCGTTCTCGTCCTTTATCTATTCTTCAATCAAAATAGGCATCAGAAGCCGAGTCCCTACTAAACTCCGCTTTTTTAACCGCCGTTGCGTGGTCGAAATCCTGGCTGGTGGTGCTCACCTAGAAATTTAAAAATGCCCATAACTTTATCACGAATTTGTGGTGCATTAGAAGAGTTAAATTTTTTAAAACGATTGTATGAATTGAAGTGGATGCGCAACCGGTTTCACACTTGTATTTACCGTTTAGATTTATCGGTTGTTTAGGTTGTCAATAATAAAATAAACGAAGAGAAATTCAACGGGATACAAGCTCGTCGAGTCACCAGTTTCAACTAATTTCACTATACAACAGGAAGGAAATTAATCGTGCTCCTTAACGAGCATAAAATCACATCGAATGCCTCGATTTAAGCGAAATATAAGACGAATTCGAGTATAATAAAAATTGAATAAATATCAATGCGGTTTTTATTCATCGAATTCGCACTGGATTTAACTAGCCGTTCGGAGTATTGTACAATTTTCGAGGCCCTGAAACCAAACAATAACATAACGTAACCGTGAATAAAAAAAAAGAGGCCGTAAACACTTTCATCTACTTTAAGCGATCGTGTTTGTTGGGCGCAGAAAACCCGCTTTGCTTTACGATTCTGTGACAAAACCTGTATTTGCCTCCGCAACACTTGTTGCGTATCCGCCATACTTGCTACAGGGTGTCCTCGATTGTCATTTCCGTTGCCCACGATTTTCGCTTTATTGCCTACGTGTATCGGATAGCCGTTAAACCTAACGACTCTATAATAAACTGGAACTAAATCGAGTCGAAATTACCTAATTTATTTTTCACATTGCGAATGGCAGATGAAATTATTAATAATTTGCGATTAAATTGTTTCCTGAGGTGAATAATGGGAGCCCGGAAAAATCGAACTATCGGACTGATCATACTTATTTGAGAATGTGTTAATTATACAGGGATACGTCGTTTTCCTGTTGATAATATGACATATTCGCGATGGAGAAGCTATTAAATCCGATTAATACTGTATACCTTATGATTAATTTTATTTGGAGTACCTACTATTTCTTTACCTAAATCTGCTGTTTGATTATCAACTTTTATTGAACGATTAAATCTAAATTTAATAATTCAAGTGTGAAAAATCACGATTAGTCATAAAAGCTCGAATATTCTAAAAATATCGTACCAACTGGAAGTGGATACGATTTTCAACTGGAATAATTTTCATATCGGAATAGTTTTTTTTTAGCGAATATTACATACAGCCGGTGTTTGCGAAGTGTAAAAATTCCCCCTAAGCGTCGAACGCGCCATTGCCTCCTTTTAACGATAAATATCTGCGGATAGTTTTTTAAACATTTTTGTCACACTTGATAAAATTCCAACATCTGGAGTGCCCGTGCGTTCATCTAACGCCACTCGAAGAGTGTCGATGTGTTGAAGATGCTTATATTAGATTAGATATTTTTTACATCGACGCGCATAAGCAAACTATACAGGATGATAAATTAGATGACGACGGGGAAAAAAAAGTAACGCGGATTTGCCGGTAAGCAAAGCGACGATAACAAAAATTACGAAATAAGCAAAAACAACCGCTTTCTAACGGCTATTATTTTTTAGAAATTCAAAATAAAACGGAATTAATGTTTCACCAGTAACAGTTGGTATACCCACAGTGCATTTTGCCCACAACACAACCAGCAGGTCAAGCCACTTGACCTGCAGAGGTGACTTAAGAATTAGAACTAATTTGAAATATTCGAGAGTTATGGGTGAAATTTGAAAGTTTTACTGTAGGCATAAAAATTGTGGAAAAGACATCGGGAATTGGGATCGTAAGCAGTCCTGTTGAAAATCTAGAAAAGAGAGTTTCCAGCGAATTGAAACTCTTAAAATGCGCTTGAAGAAAAATATACATCGACGTTATAAATGTTTATTTTAAGAATCAGCTCGCTAGCAGAGTGGCCTGTTGAAGCACCGTGTCCTAAAATACATATAAAATAATTGTGATGCGAGACGCTAGACTAGTCTAGCTGTTTTCAATTGTATACTTGTTTCCAGCTTAACATACGTAAATTAATACACGTGTTCAATAATAATAATACGTTGTTATTTGTTCCCTATTTAATATGTATTGTATATTTTTTTGCCTCTGCGTTATGACCATTTTCGTAGTTCATTCAACTGTTGGATAATTATAATTGTCGGATCTTCTTCAGGAACATATTTTTTTATTCGTGTCATAGTTCAAAACGTTTTTGCTGTTACGTTGATAGCTTTAGTTCGTACGAAGAAAGCGAATTGTAATTATATAAGAAAAGCGCTTTTTTATAATATTTACGTATGTACATACACACCTACATTAATAAATTATATCTTGATTTTTTAGCGTTTCGTAACGTTCGTAACGTAATGGATATTTTGAAAAAAACAACATGTAAAATGGTAATGGTTTTATATACAGTGCCTTCGTACAGTCTTCTTACCCACATATGTCCTTAAAAGTTGGGTAACTAGAAAAAGTACCCGCAGGGATACTGAATAATGAGTTTCTACATATTCATGTTTTTTTTCAGTAATATCTACAGATATTTTCTGTTTGTGAATGTTCAGATTGGTATCTTTTGATGCCACACGATATAAAAAAAACGCACCAATATAGGTTTTTCGAAAGATTTATCCGCGACATTTATCAAATTCAACAAAAGAAAACAACGACGTTTATCTTAGTTAATTGTAGTCACATCGTGAATAAGCATTTCGATTGATTACATACTTTTTTTATAAATATTTACTATTGCTAAATTAATTGTAGTTTTTTTATCCACATTAATAATTGTCCATTTAATTTTGAACCACCTGCTTTTCGATTCGTTCTTGATAAATTACTAATAGTATAGCAACAATAAAATTGTGTTTATGAACAGGTGTTCTAATTTATGCTGAATATTCTATTGAAATACATATAGGAATGTCAATGGTGCGCGTACTTATTTACACCAATGAGATCCACGTTTGTCACATATTACATAATATACTCGTTAATAAATTTTTACTTCTGCTATAGAAAGGTCTAGATTTTGGTTACAACGTAATACGAATTCCGATTCGCCTTGAGAGATAAAAGAATAGAATTAATTTGCTCCGGAAATGAGGAGAATTTTCAATAAAATTTTAATTTTAGCACCTCCGACCTACATGTATAGTATAGTTTTTCTATGGTAGGTAAACGATTCATCCTTGTACCAGTAATTATTCCAATTCCATTTAAAATTGATGATACAATTGACGCTAATTAAGCATTTGATGCACGACCGAATTAACGCAGAATTCCATATAAAAAAAGGTAAGCACGCCAAAAACGAGTGTTGTTTTCAGGTGTGCAATAATAAGCATTCGGACTCGTAATTATTCAGGAATGAATCGCATTTTTAATCGATACCTACCATTCGTAATAAGCAAGGTATATATTAAATTGACACATCCTGTACGGGCAGGAGATTGCTCGAAGAAGCCCCATTACTCACAGATAGATCCGGTACTCGAGCCGATCGAGCCCATCACATTAGTATAGTCGATTTGCAGGATCATACCTACTTGATATGTCACGAAAACGCAATATCAATTTCAACAAATACATTGATTAAAAAAAAACGCATTATTCACTTTGATTATACCGTATAATTTGAATATAATTGACATCGATGTTACTAAATGAATTTTGATATATACTCCTATTAAAAAATGTTATATAATTAAAATCTAAACGACATTCCCTCGGCTCGACATTCGAAGTGGGTAATTACGAGCAAGGGAAAAGAAATAAAACATTATGTATATAGTTTTGTTGCATCTAGTAGGAAATGAAGTAGGTACTCCAATGATGAATTAACGTTCTATTGTTTTAGTTTAATTGCTGTGGGTAAATCCGTTGCAACGAACCCAAAGAACAAGAGACTCGCCTCTAATACAAAGGGCTCTTTTATTATTTCTTTCGCACATAATTCCTCCGGTGCATCATTTATTGCACTTCTCTTAATTAAGCTTTCGACGTGTTAACTGCTTCTTCCTGAGGTCATCTTGAATCATTGTAATTAACTTTTGAGTCACAATTGACGACATGTGATCAATCTCGCAATAGTTGGGATTGCGAAATTGCAGATAATTCGACACCTTTATCTGACTCACTGCGTGTTTACTCAAAAAATCAATTAAGTATTCGGTTTTGAGTCGATTACGACTAATAGATAATTATCGTTAAATAACTTAATTGAATAAAGCCAAAGATTTGTGTTAATCTATATTACACGCTTGAAAGTGAAACGACGGTTTTAATTGCGGATTAAATTTCAAACTTCGAAGGTTACTTTGTTAAAATTTCTCTAATACTAAAAAACGCTTCAATTATATAATTTTTGTACGTTAATCAATCTCGTAGAGTTATAGTGAGAAGCCATAACAGATGGTTAGTTAATACCTGTGTAGTAAATTTAACGAAAAGCGATGAAATGAAGATTTATCAATAAGGTAATCTGCCTATACCAAATGGTGTAACGTTAGAATAACTGTTTAAAAATTAGTCGATTAATATTAATAATATTTATATCATATTAATTCACTAATTGCTCGTATCGAAAAACCAGTTTATTAAATTAAAATGTAGAGAAATCCCAAAATTATTGTGAAAATTAAAACGGCTATATTTACAGGGAGATTCGTTAATAGCTCGTTGAATTTACGGAGGCGCTTTATTATAATATTTCGACAAAACAAACACTTATAAATATTCGTTTGTGCCGCGAATAAGAATATAAAAAACGCTACATCAATAATGTATGTCCTATATGCTCTTTAATATGCTGTTTAAAGACGTTAACACGTTTGTTAGAGAAGCAAAAGCGCGTTTCTCGTATTAAAAACCTTATCACGTCGCGTAAACATGCAATGGACAGAATTAGGTAAACCTGCTGTACCTACATAAGTACTACTTGCCTTTATTTACTTACGATAAAGAAATCGCTTTGTTGTTATTTCAAATAAATCAAAATCAAATACTATATTGATAGGTTAAGTTTTTTTATTATATAACAAGGTGCTCCATTCAAGGAATGATTAAAGTTAACAAACAGTGGATTCTTAGAAGTTTACTTTAAAAAAAGAACGCAGAAAATTCACTTTCTAAATTTGTGGCTCTGTAGGAGTTATTTTTTTTTAGTATAATATCCCATTCGCTTTGGTATTTAATACGGTTGGTATAACCTAAAAATAAGAACGTAGGTATACAGCGTGATAAAAAGAAAACAAACTTTAATAAACTAGTTTCGTTTAATTGGGATGTCATTCAAACCAATGTTGATTTGATTCGACGTGAATAATTCGAAAAATTTAGCGTTTCCGATCGATTTATCGTCCAACAATCGCCAGTACCGCGCTCGATCGGTTTATTTACATTCGATTCCTTCACTTCTACCGCAGTTAATAACTAACGATTGACCTTCCAATCAATGTAATAGTTGTAGCAATTTTTGACTGTAATTAGAGGTTAAAGCGTTACGTGCTTTAAACTGACCGCTTTGTTCAATAGACTATAAAGTTATTTTAAAAACCGAAGTGGATATGCAGATACTTGTGTACCCAGCGTTTTATTGGGAAATAGAGAAATTCTAGTTTTTCGTTTACAATCGAGGAATGTCTGTTTTCCAATGAAACACGACTCTAATTGTGTGCATTGCAAACGATAGTGTTACTTCTTATTTGACTAATATTCCGTTTAATTCGTCGATTAGTATTGGTCTTTTGCGAATTGAAAGAAATCAGGGTCATGCTGTATGTAATTATTAACACTCATTTGATGCAGCACTTGAGAAAATACGGCGCATTATAGATAAACAATGAGGAAAATAGAGCACAAACCGAACGGTACTTTTGCCTCCTAATTTCAATGATTAAATTCACAGTAATTTAGCGATCTTTGCTCGCTTCCTATTAGTTTTTCTCATGATTGAAATCAAATATTTCTCATTAGGCTAATGCGAGTGAAATGCTTGTTTATTCCATACGTTCGCGATTCAAATCCGAGTTGCTACAACTTATTCAGAATCGGAAAATACATTGTCATTGTATTTTTAGCGCGGCTAACTGTACATGCGATGTTCTTACATCATCATTAGGGTGTATAATACATCGGGTAATTAAATACAGGGCGATTCAAGAGGAAAATTTCCATTTTTTTTAATTAAATTAATGCGATAAGTGTTATTACATTGTTGTGTAATGCCTAGTGCGAATTTTACGATTTTAGAAAGTAATTTATCGATACTTGCTTTATTTTATTGTCACGCTTAACAAAGTGTATCTTTCGATTTTGGAAATTGTTCCTTCGAATACCGCAGGAAAAAATAAAATAAATATATTTAGCTTTTTATTAAAAAAAATCGCATCTAATTAGTAATTACGAATCGGTATTGGTTAATCTCTTTTTTTTGTTACAGGTTCAGAATCTCATCAAAATGAAATGACAAGAGCGGAAAGAAAGCAATCAGCAAAAATCCCAAAATGATTTTCAGTGCCTTTTCGTGCCTTCCTACATTCTACCAAAATGTTTTGTTTTTCACCTTGGTATATTTGATGAGAATCAGCCATGCGTGGTTGCCAAACACTAGCACCAAATTAATAAACCCTTCCAGTAAAATACACACCGTAACGTTTAGGGGCAACACGTCGTTATCGGACCATTTTACCGTCTTGTATCAAGACAAAAATTCGTTGTTGTTGGGCGGAAGGAACCAAATATACAATTTATCGGTGTTCGATTTTAGCGAACGGAACAATCCCGCCTTGTTCTGGCCTTCGTCCGAGGCGCACAGTCAGCTATGCAACCTCAAAGGGAAATCCGAAGACGACTGTCAGAATTACATTAGGATATTTTACTCGACCGCGCCCGGAAAATACCTGATATGCGGCACCAATTCGTACAAACCCATTTGTCGGATACTGCAAGAATTGGTAAGTTTGTTAAAATATAGGAGTTTCGATTAATCGAAGCATTTATCGTCGTATTGGCAACGGATAAATATCGCCTTATGTACCAGATGGCGGCGCATAAAGAAAACTCAAAACCAGATCACAGTCACAGACAGATTACAATCTAATAACCTCTTACACTCATGGTCAATATTCACGTGTACAATCCAGTTCACTTGGCTTAACTTTACCCACCCAAACCAGTTCAGGACTGGTAATTAATATTACAAACATGTGAATTCAATACGCCGCTTTTGTATTTGCTTCATCTTCTTCTCCTTCGAACTTTCTTATGATACAGATTATAGAGAAATCGGTCCGAATATGAAATTTAGTTTGTGAATGGCCCTAATTTTTTGATTGGATTTTTGTAACATGCGTTTACTGAGATCTTACCGTGGAGTGTGTTTAGAAGGTTTTTCTTTAAAACGTCAAGCTTAATCGGTGACATTTAATTCGAAATGGGAAAAAAAAATCTTTATTGCCAGCTGAATGTCAGCGATGTACTTGCATCGGCACGACCGAAAAAAAATACGTTTTTAATCGGCGCTATCGCGATAATATTGCGTTGTTTAGTCTGCATCAGGTACGAAACGGTTATTCTTGACCTTTTTTTGTTTTCCTCGCGTTTTATAAACGGAACGTTTCGTCTCCGTAGGTGCGGGCGCTCTCCTTTTTCGTTGCTAAACATCAACTCCGATTGTTTCGAATCGCATTTTCCCATAAATAATTCGCATTTTTCCAAACGGCGCGCTCACAAAACGCCTCTAATTCGATTAATACACAAAAGAAGTAACCCGGCGTAATCGTTGTTCAACAAGCCCGCGAAACGAACGGCTCGAACAAAGGCGAATTGTAACGAGTTTTTAATTTTTCTCCGCAGAACGGACAGCTCATCATAGAAAAAGAAATGGAAGGCATCGGCTTGTGTCCGTACGATCCGGACCACAACAGCACGTCGGTGTACAGCAACGGCCACCTATTTTCAGCGACCGTCGCCGATTTTTCAGGCACCGATCCGCTGATCTACAGGGAACCCTTGCGCACGGAGCTCTCCGATCTACGGCAACTCAACGGTACTAATCCCACCTCTATTCCCGACGCCCATTCGCTTATTCCCCTCTCGTTTTTTTTGTGTTTTTAGCTCCGAATTTCGTCAGTTCGCTAACCTACGGCGATTACATATACTTCTTCTTCCGCGAAACTGCCGTGGAGTACATGAATTGCGGCAAAGTGATATACTCCCGAGTTGCTAGAGTTTGTAAACGCGATAAAGGCGGTCCGCACCAATCGCACGATAGTTGGACGACGTTCCTGAAGGCCCGATTGAACTGCTCCGTGCCCGGAGAATACCCGTTCTATTTCGACGAAATCCGTAAGTAGTTACCAAACGCTTAAACGCGAATGTGGCTAACTCGAGAGTGGTGCTTTCGCAGAATCGACCAGCGCCTTGGTGGAGGGCAACTACGGCGCGAAGGACGGCACCGCCAGGATCGTGTACGGGGCGTTCACGACGCCGGACAACGCGATCGGCGGCTCGGCCATATGCCTGTTCGACATGGACGAGGCGGAGACGGTGTTCGGCGGGCCGTTCAAGCACCAGGAGGGCATCAATTCGAACTGGCTGCCGGTGCCCGAGGACAAGGTGCCGAAGCCGCGGCCGGGCGAGTGCGTCCAGGACAGCCGCGTGCTGGCCGACAAGCACATCAACTTCGTCAAGACGCACCCGATGATGGAGAGGGCCGTGCCGTCGCTGTTCGGCCGGCCGTTGTTGATCCGCGTCAGTTTGCACTACAGGTTCACCGCCGTCGCCGTCGATCCGCAGGTTCGCACCGTCACCGATGAGACTTTCGATGTCATTTACGTGGGAACGGACGAAGGGAAAATATTGAAGGTGGTGAACGTTCCGAGCGCGAACGGGCCGCCTCAAGCCGTGGTCGTCTCCGAAAACGAGGTGTTCCCGAGGAACACGGCGGTGAAGCAGCTGCGAATCGCTCCGGGGTACGGTAGAGTCATCGCGGTGAGCTCCGACGAAGTGAAGCTGGTGTCTCTCAATCATTGCGCGAACTACAACAAATGCAGGTAGGTTGTTTCTGCATCCATTTCGCGTTGTTGTATTATCTAAACGGTCCGTTTGCAGCGATTGCTTGGAATTGCGGGATCCGCATTGCGCTTGGGACTCGATAAAGTCGGATTGCGTGAGCGTCGATCGCGCCACCACCTTCAGCTATTTGATCCAGGACATCAGGAACGGGAGTTCGTTGAAATGCAGAGGTCGCTCGTTCGGTAAGAAACGACCTTTATATAATCTTACAATTCGATTCCTAATATCGCCTTTTTTTTTAATTTTGCAGATAACGCGGTTCCTGACAAGGAGAACGGCGCGTTCCCCGTCGACGGGAACGGCTTGGACGTGGAGAAGGAGCTGTCGGATCCGCTGTTGAATTTGGATTCGGGTTTCGACGAGTGCAACGACGTCGATCCGGCCAAAGGGTGCACGTCGCAAAGCAAGCTGACGTTGTACAGTTCGAATTATTTGGTCGTGATCGTGGCGAGCGTCGCCGTGGGGTTCCTGTTCGTCGGGTTCACCTGCGGGTACCTCGTCGGCCGGCGATTTCAGGCCCATTCGCAATTCCCTAATCAGCCGTTTATTGAACAGCACAACCATTTAGATAGGTACTATTGTAGACTCGCTGTTAAAATATATTAACGTAACTATTTTTATGTTTCTATTTTTTAGATTAACAGCGAATCAGAATAGTTTTTTAGCTACGAAGACGAAGACGGTTAACCTAGACGTCTTGAATGTCTCGAGCGACTCCCTTCCGCCGAAGAAGGACAATCTAGGTTCGTTGAAAAATTTGAATATAGCTAACGAAGGAACTTTGCAGAAAATTAAAAAGACCTACATATAAACGAACGAGGCCCGTTCAGTTTATAACGAACTACTTTTTCTGCGTATTAACGAAATCGAATGATTAAATTAATTTGTTGCACTGATTGTACATCGCTGGAATTATCCCGCGTTCAGTTTCATTCTATTCGGACGGAGTTTGAGCAAATAGAATTGGACAAGTTAGTGTGTAACACCCATTAGATTTCTTGATTTGTCTCTCAGTATGTTTGTTGCCTGTACCTGTTATAAATATTGATAGACTGCGCTTATTTCTTTAAAGATTATCGTATATATCGAATATCCCTCCAGAATTCCTAGCTATATAGGCATCAATTCCTCCTTGATTTTCAAAGGATACTTTGAAACTCATTTTAACCCCGGTTTTTATTTTACAGCAAAATTGTAATGTTTTATTAACTGAAATGTGATAGTGAGTAAGGAAATAATATATTTAACAAGTAGTTGTTTTACAATTTTGCGTAAATATACTTTTTCTACGACTGCATTTATTGTTTAGTTTTATTGTAAGGGCAGTTTAGAAAATAGTACAAATATTGATGTCTTTCACTCTCAGCTGCTATTATTTTTAACGATTTATTTTATTTCGTAATTGGTGCCTATGTAATTGTATTTAATCATTAGCATTTAATCCGTCTTGTCTGGAATTATTAGCTCAATGTACATATTCCACAACATTCATTTGCCGTGTTTGAATTACAAATAAACCAGATTATTATTTATTAGGAGGCTATTATTAGAATTAATTACGGAACAACATTGTATTATTTTCGTCATTTTGCAAAAAAAGTGTATCGTAATTTGCGCTGTCGATAAAGTCGCTACCTCCAAATCGTATTATTTTTGCACTAATTGATTCCATTATTACATGGAAGTCAATTTTGGATTAAAATTGTGTGATCAAAGGGAAATCATTGCATTGGTATTTTTAATTTTAATTGAATTTATAGTAAATTCGACAGCTATAATTAAATCGTTAATTTAGTTAAAATGAAGATTAAAATATTTTTTAATGCCTAGCTAAATTAATTTTGTGTATATATATTTTAACTGTAATTACATAATAAGAAATGTACATTTTTTATGTTTTTTTTTAAATTCTGGTAGTATTTAAATTTACTTCGTAAAAAGATGACATTTTTAATTTTTATCTTATATTTAAGGTCTGTACTTTTCTACTTAAAATCGGAAATTTATATCCAAATTCAGTTTTTAGTTAAGACACGTAAATAAAGCGACAAATTATTTTTAATTAATTGTTTTTCGAATAATATTTGGAAAATTCTTGCCAAAATTTTGAAAAATTCGAAAATTCTTATTAAAATGATTATCACATAGGGTTTTGATCGCTTTATTTTTGTTAGTTAAGCTCGTTAATAATATGAATTGTACATATTGTCTTTTCTGTTCGGCTGTGACCTCCTGAAATTGCTATAGTTTTAAATAAGGCGCAAAATATTTTTACAATTAAATAGTGCTCTGTATGAAATTAATATCTATCATGTAATTAATATCTACATTAAATTGGTTAAACATTCCGCTCAAAAAATAGTTGTATTAATTTTGTCAATAAAACAAATATAAATTAAACCGTTTCGTTCATTTTCCCAAGCATCATTTAAGGTTACTCCAAATTGTTATTAGTAAATAATATGTATATTAAAAAGTACATGAACATGGCGATTGAATACAACAACTTGTACAACGATAAATTATTGAGTACTTACAAGTTTTCTATGTATCGAAGACCTCAGGTGTTTCCTCAGCGCCCCTCTTTGCCTAAAACCCTTCTTACAAAAATCACATTGAAACGGCTTGGCCCCCGTGTGGATATTTTCGTGCTCGTGCCAGCTCGAATAGGCCGAGAACCTCTGCGAGCAATATTTGCACTCGTACGGCTTCTCTCCCGTGTGGATGCGAATGTGGACTTTCAAATTCGAATGCGTCGTGAAGATTTTCCCGCAGTGCCAGCACTGGAAGCTGTCCCGCTTGGCGTTCTCCATTTTCGGCTTGGGCTTCCTCTCGTAGTGCTTATCGGAATGCTTCCTGTTCATGTGCATGTGGTAGGTTTTCCTCTTTTCGAACGTCTTCCCGCATATGCTGCACAAGTTGGAAGATGTGACGAACCGGCAGGTTCTGATCTTCGCCCGAGGTTTCTGCTGCTTGGTTTCCTCGTGCACGATCAAGTGGTTCTGTAAGTACGAGTACAAGCTGAAGGTTTTGCCGCAGAGCTTGCAGGATTTTAGGTTCAAGAAGTTAGTGTTCGGTTCGCTGTCGATGGGTTCGATGTTGCTCTGTTTTTTGATGTGTACGTTGTACATGTGGGCTTCTAGATGGTCTTTCCGGACGAATTTCTTCTCGCATATGTAGCACTCGAAGTTGTATCGCTCCTTTTCGCTGTCGAAGTGCTTGCAGTTTATGTGCCTCTCTAGGGTGCTTTTCTGCGTGAAGCTGTTGTCGCAGAAAACGCAGGTGTAAGGGCGCAGGCCGGTGTGGGTCCGGCCGTGCCTTTGCAAGTCGATTTTTTTCGAGAATAGTTTGGTGCATTCCGAGCATTTCCATTTTTTCTTCCGCAGCCCTACGGAAATTTCCACGTTTTCTATATGCGCGGTCCGTTCGTGGAGTTTTAAGTTTGCTTTACTTACACCTTTCCAATTGCATATGAGGCAAGTCCATTCGGATACGTCGGATTTCTTGTTTTTTATGGGGCAGACCTCTCGTAGGTGGTACGAGTATTTTTTCATGCTCAGAAACTGCAGCAGGCAGTAGTTGCAGGTGAATTTTTTCCGTTTTTTCACGCTTCTTTTACTGCAACCGTTTTCATCTCGGTATATATTATCGAATGTTATTTTCGAGTCGTGGTCTTCGTTATCCGAGCATTCGTAAAATAAGTCGGCTATCGATAGGTCGATTTCATCTTTGATTATTTTGTCTTCTTGGAAATTACACAGAATATCGTTGTTGTTGTTACATAGCTCAATGAAATTCCAAATTTCCTCCACTTTTCTCATGCATTCCTTGCAAATATTTTTAGGCAACACGTCATTTTCATTCACCTAAACAGTATTTTACCTAAATTATCATTCGATTAAAAACCAAATACCGTACTTACTTTCAAATTCGTCAAGTTATGTATAGTTGTTAAATATTTCGGGTTTTTTAATAAATTTTCTGAGCCGTTGTTTTTGAGACACAGTCGACATAACCTTGGAAAATCTAGAGGACTAATTTCTAATTCCAACATTGCTTGTTTTTGGTGTACTTTATAGAGAATTTATATTAAATTTCATTGATAAAAATTATTCCGAAATATTTACTGTCGTTATCGATTTCGCGAAATATCAATGATGAAGTTAGTCACGTGTCAAATAGAAATTTTCGATAAATAAAAAAAAAGAAGAATTTAAAATTGCTGAAAAGCCAAACAGCAGTGGCCTGTATGAAAAATAGTAGAATTTGAAGTTGCTGAATAAATAAGCTGCAGAATGCATTTAGAAGTAGCAGAAAAGAGAAGAGGAATGTTAAAAAAAGTCAGATCGAACAGTGTAAGTACATTTGAATAAATATTTTCTTTTATCAATAACTTTTTTTCGTAAACTCGCACTGTCATATAATAATATGTCACTTTATAATATTTAACTCTTCTTTTCTCTATAACTAAATTTATTCAACCAAATCATCTATATGGTTGACTGTAGACTTTTTTAATGAATCCCCAGTCTGTTTATTTCCCTTTGAACCAATGGGTAGAAATAAAATTCAACCGAATAATCATCTAATCTAATAAAAGAGACGCAACTAAATCGTCTCGTGCGCGACCGGAAAACAATGGGTATGAAATGAAATTTAATAAAAAAAGATTTAAATCATAAGATTAGAAAAGCGGATTGATCCTGACCCTTGTTTACACTGCCACAGTACGGCCACTAATCGAGTTATGTCCAATCAGCGAACGTACAACTTGTAATTATTTGTGACGCGCAGAGAAGAGGGAGGAAATCCAGTCAGAGGGTTCACTAATCCAATAAATCGTAAACCAATAATATACAACACTGTCATTTCAAATATCATAAAAACTTACCCGGCCGCTGACCACACGATATACCTACCAAAAATATCAATTTTTTTCAACTCGATTTTGAAATCGAACACGTCAGTTTATAGGCTTGGATATAGGCTTGGATGGATAACAGAAATGATCTTAATGAGCACTTTATTTCAAATACGAACTTATCGATATTATTTCTTACATGCCTAAATAATTCTACGCTAAGAAAAATATTGAATATACGCACTGAAATTGTTCAACGAGTGAATTAATAAATTTTTACATATCACCGAAATCGTTAAAGAAGTAGCAAATAATATAAAATATATTCGTTTATTTATACAAAATCACTTGTCAGGAATGCAATGGTTGAACTCATTCTGTACATTTTAATATTGTATTTTATAATTATGCAAAATAAAGTCAATTTTTAATGGTATTCATATTGATCGAAGTAGATATGTGGTCAACATAATAAATTTAAAAAAAAATCCCTGACAAGCTCCTTGTGCTACAATCAGCATAAAAACGTTCGCTTGTTAGGTTTACAATTATTGCTCCTTACAATCTATAAGCAGCAATAAAATTATAGATACAACTTTTATTTTTATTACACTTTAAATTATCTTAATATATCTAATAATACATATCTAGATATGTAAAGGAGCAATAACTATTAGTAATTAAAAAAATAAACAACCACCAGAGCCGAATTAAAGCGGTTTATCCCTGGTCGATAAGCCCAAAGCCTCCGTGTGCTTTTTCGCTTTGAGTCTTAAATCCGCTATGCTGGAATTTTTATGGGCCACCGCCAAAGCAGCGAACTCCAGAGGATACTGAGGATGGCACAGGATGCTCGCAGCTGCCGCGGCTGCCGAACCTCCTCCTACAGCCACAGCTGCAGCTGCGTACTGAAACGGCGCGTTTTACAATCGAAATGCAGAGCATCTATGAAAAATTTTTCGTGCGGTAAATACCTGGTGAGCTGCTGATATAAACGCCGAATTTATGGCCGAAAACGCAGTGCCCTGTTGCGAGAAGGGCGCCGTCGAAAGTCTATCGTAGTTCGTTAGAGCTACAGAACTGGATGTAAGTGAGATGCTCCGCAACGCCGGTACGTTCATGTATGGTACAACTCTGCACGGTTCAAGAGGTGTACTCGAAGGTGGGCTGTGGTTATTCAACATAACTCCTATATAGAGAATTAATGAGTTATATGAAAAAAAAAACAAATTGTTTAATTGTTATTGAAGGTGAAGATGTTACGAAGATAATAAATTAATCTGACAATAAAGCGTTTAATTTGGTTAAAAGGCGAATGAATCGCGGCAGTAACGATCTGTATCTGTAATGTTAAACGTAAATGTAACCGTATAACGGAGGAAACGGATCGTAATCACTCTGTAGATGGTTGAATCAATTAAATTGCAAGCGTCTGGAGGCAGAAGGCATAAATCACGTTGACTAGTGGAAGCGGTAACTCGCTACAAGACCATTAAAATATTTAGAAGATGAAATTCGTAACTGGAATTATCCTAAACGCGGCTCGGCCGGCGATCTACCCTCATAATTCCGAGCGGACTATGAATATGTCATGACTTTATACCCCACAACAAATCTGCGGTGCATAATCGAATTTATACACAAGAGCGCGCCAAAAAACTGCTAAGAGAAACTTTTCAATCAAATAAAATAATTCCCCCCGGGAGCAATTTTCCGGAGCTCAGTCATCCAAATGCCGGTTCCAGCCGTAAGATGACTGGTCTGGGTCCGGGTCCGTCAGGCCGGGCCCCTGGGACCGCTAAATTACACTTACTGCCTACTCGCTTCGAGCGTACATCAACACGACGCTAACCCACCTACCAAAACTCACCGAATCCTGCTCCGAACGACCAGATTTTTTTTTCTTATTTAATCTTACCTCGGGTCCTCCATGATTAAATAAAAAAAAAACTCAATTTTATACAAAGCCCTTTTTTTTAATAATATTACGTAATATAATCGAATGTTATCGTAATAAATCTTTTATTACTACAAGTTAATCCACTTCGTATGAAATGTACTTTAATGCAATTAATCGAATTTGTAAAATTTCAAGTCCTGCACTGCACAACAACCATCCCTCGGTCCTCGTTTCGCAACGAGCTTAAATTTGATAAAATTACATTTACAAATAGGGGGTTAAATCCTCGTTTATTCATTTCAAATATGGACTAAGCATGTTGACTGGTTATTCATGGCTTCCTACCACCCTATGCCTCATTTAAATAAATTTTCCTAAGCCGTACCACCTTCAAAACTGCATCCTCTCAATTAGAGTAAATTAAATAGTTGCCGAGTTGTAAAAGACTGGCTACTCTCAGATTTACTAAAGTGCTCCGGAGGATATTCGATCGGTTTCATTCAAATCGCTTTCATTAATTACTTAATTCGACTCGCTTTATTATTAATTACTAACAAGGATTTAGCGGGGTAATCAAACGTAGTTAATTAAATGAGAGGAAAATAAGGATAATACGATTTAATCCCGACGTCCATTAGTCAATATCAAATTCTATGAAAAAAAATCTTACCTTTTTGGATTTGGTTTTCGTGCTTCCTGCATTTAGCTCTCCTATTTTGAAACCATACCTGTAATGACAATCTCAAATTAATTGTACCATAAAATGTTACTGTTAAATAAAAAAAAAACAATTCTATTTGGTACATTGTCCATCAACTTCGGAGAGCTTATAAATATCGCGTTCTTCTATGTGTAATGTATGAAAAGCAATAAAGATAAATTTTTTTAAGTGAAAATGACAGGACCGATGGTGTCGTATCTTACCCGAATTGGTATCGGAGTGGCAAAGAGTCCGTAAAACTCCCTCGGAATTTTTTCCAATAAATCCACCACCTCTCGACATAAATACAAATAAAGTAAAATGGTCAGTTTCGGGGTAGAAACGTTTTATACCATTAGCCGGTCGGAATTAGTGTTTCCTTTAGCAGTTCCACACGATTTGGCCCGAGTAATTTCGCTATTAGCAGATAATTTCCTAATGAATACGTATGATGTGTAGGGAATGGAATCTCATCAATTAACTGGCGGATTAAGGACGCTTAGGGTGTATTAAGGGTGATTGATGTTATGGAGAAAAGTTCGGTTATCGATGAATCGGTCACTCTTCGGGTGCAAGTCGACCTCCGCTTTTATAAATTGATTGCGTTAATGTTATTGGAAAAGAGAGCCCGTGCATTCGAATTCTCTCTACATTTTTACACGCGTTTGTCGGAATTGAATTCGTTCGACACATACCTGCACTCTGGCCTCGCTGAGGCCGAGCCTTTGGCTCAATTCTTCCCTCATGAAGGCATCGGGATAATGAGTCTCGTCGAAGAGCCGCTCTAATTCGTTTAGCTGCTCCAAAGTGAAGTTGGTGCGTGATCTTCGTTGCTTCGTCGTCGATTTAACGGAAACCGAGTGGTTCAATGTGGAATTGTCCCGGGAAATTGTGAGCTCGTCGATGTTTTCGTCTTGATCGCTAACTATATCTAAACGGGAAAACAAACCGAATGTACGGCAGATAATGAATTTAGTCCGTAATAAATAAAAGCGCCGCTGCGAGCCAATGATTTTCGAGCCCTAATGCAATAAAGTTTTTCGAGCAAAAATTGAAAACAAAGTCCAAATTGGATTTCCCTTTGTTTAGTTAGATTTGATTGAATATAAAACATAAAACGCCCATTTTAGCAATTTAAATCATGTCGGCATCGAGATTGCTCCTCCCTATCCCCAATCTCCCTGGCTGGCTTTTCCCCCCTCTGTTTACTACGTTTTAAAGGATTGCACGCGGCTCCAGCTTCGAAGTTTCACTCTACCTATTTCCCGAAAATTCCGGCTAAAAGCGAAATACTCACTTTAACTTGTTTACCCCAAATTTTATTAATACCAATTACCTGAACACCCTTTGAAGTTCCAGTTAATTGCTTATTTATCTATCGTTTAAACGGGTAATTTGTCTTTTGCATTAGCCGCTCCTTCGCATCTATATTTTCCGTTTTAACGAGTTTTCTTATTATTCGCATTATAGTTCGCTTTATTAACACCGACAGGCAATTTTATTTAGCAGGATTTTAATATTAAAATGACTCCCCCGGTCCGCTCGGGATTCGAGGGAACGGTCCTGTTGAGAGAACAATTTAACTTGTCAAAACAACGAACAGTCATTGTTAGGAACTCTATCGAGTTAACATCGATTTCTGTCAAATTGATTTTTCCAACAACGTTTGATTCGCCCTAGCATGTGATATCCCACACAATTTATTGTTCAATAAAGAATCATCTCTCATATCTACAGAAACGTGAAAAAATCTAGGCCAAATCGAAGCACACAACGAGGAAAATATCGATAAATTAATAATAAAATAAAGCGACTGAAGCAGTTTCGATTACAGCTGTTCTATCGGAGTGCATTTCATCATCAGGCGCCGGTGCATTAATTCCCGAGCTTTATATAGATATAGCAGTACAATTAGATAATTTCATTGAATCAGGGTTGTTGACTAGCAAATTTGTCTGAAGGTGTGGATTAAAGCGAGAAAAAAGGGCGGCGGTGCAAAGGGGTGCGGGTAAAATCTCCCTCGAGAGGAATTATCTCAGACAACAGCGGAATTTAATGCCTCTTCTCCCCGGGGTAATAAAACTATAGCGAAATAGATTAATTTAATTCTATTACTTTAATGGAGACGCGAACGCCCTGAACAGAAACGGGCCATTTTTAAGCGCCTAATCGCGCCTGCCTATTTGATATTCAAAACCTATGCCTACGCGAAACAAACTCTCAGTGAAATAAAGTGATATCTAATAAAAGTTTAATTAAGTAGGTGCGAAGCGAGCGACTCGTACATAAAGAGGGGGGTGATTAATAACCAGATCCTTAAGCAAGGATAAATCCGGCCTAAGAATAATTTACCCCATAGACAGCAATTAACTAATTATTCTCTCTTAAACATTTTGCGCAACTTCGTTAAGGGTAATTGAAAACATCTTAATGTCAAGGTACTCTAATTAAGAAAAGTAATTAATTATTTAAAGACAAAAGCCTCGCAGTCAAATTAGCAGTTCGTAAATGGAAAAGAAAGGGGGAAAATAAGGCAGGATGGGATTCGTTTTGTCAAAAACGAACGTTTTCTTGGTTGGAATTAGCTTTTCAATTAACTAAAAATTGTAATTGTGCATGGAGTTACAAACATCTTAAACAGTATTCTTGAAATAATTTTTTCGCTTAGTTTATAACCTTTTTAATAGTTTTTACTTGCATCATTTAGTAAAAAATTAAGTATCTTCTGCTGGTTTTGAGATATGCAACTTTTGGGGATGAAATATTTATATAAAAGAAAAACATAGAAAAACATGGAGGCGAGTTTATTATTTATATACTTTTGTTGCAATTTTAGAATGGGATTTCGGAAAAATATTGGCAGATACAAAAAATGTTTAAATTCTAATTAACTTCGTCGCAACCGAAGATTGAAGAAATTATTATGAATTTTTTTTAAAGAAAAATTTAAAAGGTATCCAAAAAATTAAAAACTGGGAATTTAGAACTAAAAATTAACTTATAAAACATATTTTATAGTGAAGATTGGCAGATTGGAGGAGATTGGTATGCAAATGAAAAATTTGCAATCTTCGCAGAAACGCTTTATAGAAGATAACAATATTATAATGGTTACATTTGAGCTTACTGTATAAAACAATAAGAGCATTAAATTTGTGAATTATACTGTAAATCCGGATTGAATTGAAAGCTCTTTGTGGGCTGTGGAAATGGAAAATCCGTCGGAAAATTAAAGATTACGTTGCTTCAATAAACATAGAAAAACTTGGCTATTTTTATGTTTTATCAAGTTTTGTAGCAATCACAGCAAACTTTAAGGTTTTAGTGATAGAAAAAAATGTTTTGTACTTACAAATTTTATGTTCGTTTTCTTCAGGAACGTTATTATCTTCGTTACAGTCACTCTTTTCGCCAACTTTGTCACAAAACTTATCCGAGCACGAATTAGATTCTTTCTTGTCGCTATCGACGGGTTTCACGGTACTTTTGCACCACTTTGTAGTCTTCTCAACTTCACAGTTCTTCTTAACTCCTGGTTCAGGATCGGGCAGCGAATTCTCGGTGCACTTGTCGCCGACGAAGCTCCTCGACGGGTTCAAACGCAGATCTATGCCGATGCTGGGGCTCTCGTTTTTCTCGATGTCCGAAATGAGCCAGTTTTTCGGTTTTTTCACATCGTCGCTGGCGAAATCCTTTTCGGTTTTGATGCGAGGACTCGCCGGCGGCGGTTTCGCCTCGAAGCTCATGTGATCCGCGAGCGTGGGATTGTTGTTATTTTCGAAAGACTTGGACACGAATTGCGTTAATTTCTCCATGATTATAAACGATAATCTGAAGTATGTTTTGGAACAGTCATATGGAACTGAAATCACCATTTGAAATTCGGGGTTGCAGGTTGCCTTGGCAACCTTACAGGGCTGCGAGGGATGCGGTTAGACGCGTTACCACCCTTAACGTTCGTTTTATCGCCCTCCATTGGTGGATTCCTAATAGAGGGTGGCGCTAAGCATTAAATTCTGTTTGTCCTATTCCGAAATATTTATCGCTCAGTTACTAAGTGCCTGTAGTTTTTACTACTTGTTTTTCGCACTGTCGTAATTATGTAGATTTCTTCCCGGAGCTGGAGAATATTAAATATCATTATCGACTCACTACGGCGATATTAGAGGTCTCAACCATCAAGAAGCAATATTGAGCGGTTTACAACCGTTTCTGTCTTAATAAGATTTCTTTTTAGGACTGTAAATTATTATTTTTCAACTCCCTTGCAGTTATTATTGTGCTCTGTAGCGTTTTTTTATTACTTACCACACTTTATGGTTGCAATAAAATGATTGTAAGTTGAATAATTATTTTGCAACTATTTAAAATTCATGATTTTTCTATCTTTGTATGTCTTTGGCAAATTGCAACTAATATTCATAATAGCAGATGAATTAAAATGTTTTAAATTTATAAATTAAGTGACAAAGGTTTACGTTTTTAATTTTAGGACTGACAGGAAGAATACAAAAAATGTAGGTCTTTTAATTTCACTAAGTTTTCAATTTCAACATCCTTCTGCAAACAATTCTGGATTTGTGGATAGTAAATAAAGAGATTAAAATTGATGTACCAAATAAGAATACAGAGCTACAGCAATTATTAAAATTCAGTAAATATGTCCAATATATAATGAAATACAACATAGTCCTCCCAATCTGTGGAGAACTTACAAATAGCTCTTCATTGGATTGAGACCTTAAATGTCTAACCTTTACACATATTTTCCAGCAAATTTTCATCTTGGGGAAACAAACTTCGAACAATTTTCCTGCTACGCCAATTTTTAACAACAGACAATTTTTACTAACAGACAATTTTAAACACATTCTGATTGCATTAAATTATATAGTTGAAAAAATTTTCCTATTGTAGAATTGTTGAATAAGCGATATATTACATTAATATAGATTATTCCATTGTCGCAAGCATAATTACACAAGTAGGATAGCTGATGTTCTTTTATGCTATAAAAATATCTCGATCCGAAATTCTCGGAGGGATGTTTTCATAACAATTATGACAGCGTTGCGAATTTATAGGGCAAATCTTAGGGTCTTAATTTTAAGGGAACAAATCAGTAAAACCTTTACCTATATAAACAACAAGTAAATTCATTATAAAATAGATACTCTTACATTGAAATAAACGTATTGATTTGTATGTACCTATACTAGAGTAGATTAAAATTTAAACATATCGATTTTCAGATGGACGCTGGGCAATTTGTAGCATCCAGAGAATTTGAAAAAAATGTTTAATGCCAACAGTATATCCAACGATGAAAATGTTAAAATGTTTACTTACCACAATTCCCGCAATTCCTTATAGAATGTACTTGAAAAAAATGATCTAATTACGCCACTGTCCAAGATTAGTGTTACCAGAAGAAGTTAATTATAAATGATTAACACCTTAATTAAACGTGAGATTAATTAATCTAAGAAAAGCATACATTTTTTTGATGGGAAGAAGATTTACTCAAATCCAAAGTAATACTTCTAAAGGGTTATAACTTAGGAAATCTTCTAGAATCTAGAAGTTATAATTTAGGGCAATTCTGTGGAGCGCTGATGTTCTATAATGATAGCTGCAATAATTCACTCATCATATAATTTCAAAATCATTTTAAAATCCCTCAAAAAAATGAATTCTTCGCCATCTGCCGTTGAGTTGGGAAAGTATCATGCGAGAAGTGTTGCCAACCCAAATATTTCACTGTGACTAGGGACTTACTAAAAAATGCCTAACAGCGTCTGACGTTTATTGTTCCGTGCGTCCGTTCCGTAAACAATTTATAGCAGCGCCACAGCGCGTTCTATGTCATTTAATTAATGTTGTCTTGAGCCCCAAGTGTTATCATTTACTTTTTAGTTTGAATTACTTTTTTTAAATAATCAAACTAAAATAGCAAGTCACCTCGAAGCATTCGGGTAAGTGCCATAAATACCACTCGTTCTGTTCGTTTTTATCGCAAACGGGTTTTTTATTGCGATTTATGTTTTTAGGTTTTAGGCCTGCTCCTACTTTTGCTGCAGCCGATTTTTTTCTTTGAAGAAACGGTGGTATGGTAAGGTGTGTTTATTGACCCAACAAGGCACAACCAGAGCTATGGACCAAGCATGCA